AATGTATAATAGTCATACTCACAAAACACTTAACACTTTTATTACACTCGTATTTCATTTTTTATTTAACATTCATTTTTTCTAAATTATATTTAATTTATTTAAAGAATATAATAAGCGTGATTATTAAGATTCAATTTCGTTTATCTGTAGTTGATATATTAATTATAATTATAAATTTTTTTTTATTATTAATGTAGACTGAGAAAAAAATCTTGCATTAAGAATATTATTATTATTATTATTTAGTATCATTTTTTTTTCACTATGATATAAAAATATATCAATCAGATCAACAATAAACAAGTGATTAATTTCAGTAATTTAAAATCAGTTTATTATTATGATAATAAATTTAAACGTTCATGCTAAATACATAAATTAGACTCATAACAGTTTGGCGTTAAAGTCACCATAAATAAAGACAATAAAACCATTCTCTGATTTCTTATTACCTTTATGGCATTAAATAAATGACTAGGAAGCCTGCATAGAAGCATCAAATCGTGTCTATTGCCAATAAATGTATTTATTCGAGTCTCTAAGTCACGTTTCAATACGTGACATTGTTATCCAAAGATTCACCAGCCTTCTTTATTATATTCCATGAATAAAAACCTGAGTATGTAAAGATATTTTTACCCAGTTAATATAATGCAGATAAATAAATTTACAGAAATAGCTCTCATTGCAAATATCAAAGATGTTGAAAAAAAATTTTTATTTTTATGATATTAGCTGCATTTAGGATTAAATCAGTATTTTACATAAATTTAATAAACTAAAAAGAAATTGAGAATGTTGAGAGTTTTTTGATGAGCGATAAAATAATGGCGTTTATTTAATCTGTTGTGTGAATTTGGCGTTAAAATGTAACATAAGATATTATTTTTATGGAGATGCCCGGGGTGAAACACGGGCCACAACGTCAAGGGAGACGAGTAAGAGAGAAATTTAACCATGATTTTAAAACCCTACGGCAATGTTGCTTTATTGCCGCTTTATTATCTCCAGACTCGCATACAATAAAAAATAATAACAAAAATAAAATAAAAATGGGCAAGTTGAGTAAAAAGTAAAAAAATTTTAAGACAAAAAAATGAGGGAGAGGAAGAAAGCAAAAGACCCGATCAGTTTCTCATTCTTTTTACTGCAAGAACATTACATGTAAGCTTAAGCCGAAAAAGTGCAAGCTGTCAGTCAAAATGAAATTGCGCGTGCCGTCGACTGATTAAAAATTATTTAAGTACGTCATTATTGTACGGAGCTTTCGTAATTACAAGAGTTTGTTTATTACCAAATAATAAATATATTCTTTAATTTTACGCCTGGCTTGTATATTATCTTCAGTGTTAGAAGTAATAGCGCGTATTTCATTTATTTGAATGAAAATATTTGTTAATTAATTATTTATATATTTATTTATTTATGCATTACCGAGATTTCAATGTAAATTTAGACGTGAATGTTTATACATTTATTTGAAAAGGCTTTTTGAAACGAGGGTCAAGATGAATAGCCTCTTAGTCTTTAGAATTCATTTTATTTTTATTTTTTCATTATTCGGGCGCCACTAAAAAAAACTTTTGCATTCCCTGTTTTATTCTGAATTTCGGTGTGAATTAAATTTCTTTTTTATTTTTATTAAATTTATTTAATTTACATATTTGTTGTTATTTTATCCCCGACCGAATTTTATGGGTTAATTGTTAAGCTTTAACCATTACTAATTTATTTTAATTGTAAAAAAATTTATTATGCTTTCAATGATTTAAAAAGGTCAAAAATAATATATCGTACTTGAAGGTTATTATTACGAGGGCGTTTTCAAGGAGATCAATTGTGGTCATGGTTAAATTCTGCATCATTTTATTTCTATAGAGAAATGGGAGCTCGTTTTTCTTACGTGTATGCATTACGTATTTATGCTTGTACGTGTGTATATGTATAAGTTGTTAAGTTCGATTTAGCTCGGTATCCCTCTCCCTTTGCATATATATATATATATATACCTATGGGACCCTTGTGAATTTGTACTCAAGGCACGTACTTGGCCCCTACTCGCGATCTGTTGCAGGTTTTAGCTTTCTTTGCTTTGCATGCGCCGCGACAGCGGCATTTAAATAACACCGAAATGATAGAGTGCCAAACAAGAATCAAATTATTTGAAAATGTTTTTCGATATTATTTTACAAGAACTTTTAATTATATCTGTACTTATTATTTGCAATTTTTTTTTAAATTATACATTTATACTTTAATTTTAAATTCAATTGGAAAAATTTTATTTTATTATTAAAGTATTATAAAAATTTTTCAATTTATAATTTCAGCAAAAATATTATTCACATAAAATTATTTTCAACAGCAAATAATTTTATTTCAACAAACTTAAAAAAACTTAAAATGTAACTACTCGGTTTCTTAAAAATAATTTTTATTCGAAAACTAACGACTTACAGCGATGATGTAAAAATAAACCTTTTGGATTTTAAAAACTCAGATATTTTAAGGTTATTAGTTTTTACAGTGTATATTTAAAGAAACACTTAATAAAATAAAATAAAATAAAATATATAATGTTAACGCCAGTAAATATACGAACAAAATTTTCGATGACTGTTGGGAAACTTTTACTATCTTAATTTTAATACTAATGACAATGAGTAAAGCAAACTATATACTATGCTCATCCACAATATTTGAACAATTATATGTGTATACATTTCATTAATTCATTGTTAATTCTGAAAGATTGCTGACTATCTTAATACAGATAAAATCCGAGAGTCATACACACTTACATCCGCAGCTAAATATAAATAACGAAAAGCCGGGTGGCATTCACGAAAAGGAAACATCTGAGAGTACGGCATACATCCTATCCACGGTGTCACGACTTAGACTCAGCGAAACTAAAACTCCAATACATTTAACGCCGGCTCAGGCTCATATTTATGTTTATTTAAATTTTATATTACACCGAATGTTAATGTACATTTCGGAGCTCGTTAAAATCCTTCTCCCCACATTACATCTCACATCACACATATTACATCTCGCATATCCATCCCCAATCCACCCAATCAAATCTAATATCTCCTAACCGCTTATACAAGTAACTAACGTTTCATGTCTATCCGTCTTATAAACTTTTCATTGCACCCATAAATTTCCACCCCTGCGTAAATAAATTTAAAAAATAAAAAAATAAAATTGTACATACCGTTTCTAAAATTACGTTTAAATCCTCGAGCGGCGTCACTTAAATTCCATAGAGAAAAACAAATAATAAAATAAATACTGAGCTTACTAGCTCCTCGTAAGTTTCTCAACACCATCTTCAAATTTTAATTATTATTATTAGTATATTCTAATAATAATTAATATTAAACTATTACAAAAATGATAACTCAAGTTAATTTTATCGCAAAACTCATTGAATAATAAAATCGGTTAAAATTGATCATGGCAATGACAATGATTGATAATAAAACAACACAACAATAACACTGATATTCGTATTTATTTCTGGAGCAGTAATCCGAGACGATGTAACAAGTCGAGAGTTACTCTACTTCTCAATCGCCCGGGGGATTCAATTTGTCAGTGTCCTGAATTTTTTAAGTTAAAAATACACAGTAAGTATATTAAAAAATCACCAAAAAAACATTACACATAATATATCAATAGTAATAATAATAATAATAATAATAATACAAAAGTCATCATCACAAGTTAAAAAAATCACCCATCACTTAAACTCATTAAAAAATATTTATTTTATTTACAATAAATAAATAAAACAATAAAATAAATAAAATAAACAAGCAGGGTGTCTCTAAAACTTCTAACTCGCATTTTTTCAGGATATATTTTTCCGCGTAATTTCATCGTGGGCTGAAAAATAAATCGTTTCGTTTCGTTCGTTCGTTACATTTGAAGAAAAAAAAAATTTTTTTTCTCCACCACAATTTAAATGAAATAAAAAATAAAAACATAAACAAAAATAGTGGCGCGTAATATTTAAAAAAAGGTAAATTAATAAAGATGTACAGTAAGAGAGCGGCCGCGCGTGGTAAACGCCGCAAGCGAACTAAGATCGTAGTCCCTGAACCAGACTGCCGCTACCTCGGTACAGACAACATATACACCAGTTGAGTAGAGGACGGAGAAGTGAAGAGGATCTGTAGTTTCTTAACGGCTTAGTTTTAGTATAAGTATGAGTATGAGCATGAGTTGAGTTGAGTTTGAGAGTTTAGGCCGAAGCATTACCGGTACCATCCATAATACAGCATCCATCGAATCTTTGAGAAGCAGAAGAAGATGAGAGATGAGAATAAGTTTAGCAAAAAAAGTAAACTAAAAACTAAATATACACCCCCACTAATTCGTAAGCTGGTCACTACCTCTCGATCGCCCAGGTATGGCCTCTACTCACCAACACTACACAGCAAATTGCAAAGGCTATTTTGGGGTCTAGACCTCTTTGGAGAAGAGAGATCGAGCTATATATATATGTATATATTATGTGCGCTATCCACAGTACAAAATATAAAACGCTGTTGGATTGAGAGGAGATGGAGAGCAGACTCACTTACCTTTTCTTTAGTTAGAGTTTTGAGTAAAAGACGCCCTCGAGGGGTTTATTACCTCCTGGGTAGCTCTCACCTGCACTGGGCTGCGCCTCAAACCTTAAATTTTCCAACAAAAGACTACAGGTGACTACCTGTCATGGTTCTACTGTTTATTTTTAGTGATTTATTTACTCAATTTTTAAACCTCGTACAGAATCCGTTCAAATAATTAATTATTTTAAATATTTAACATGTATATATATATAAATATTAATATTTTGGTTTTTAATAATAATGAGGTGCCGTCTATAAATTAAAGAATGTTGAATCAGTGCGAGACATGTGGGATGGCAGACGAGCAGATTAAAAAATGACAAGTATGTGCTGAGTGATTGTTATTTATTTATAAATTATTTAGAAGTCTTATTTAGGAGCGGCTTCTGATGCGCGCATGAAATATGTCAGCATGTCGATCGGAAGTGGGAAAACTATGGTCGAGTTTTTCTCCGCGGATATTGTGTTCAGAGTCTGCAAAATTAAATTGGTGGTTTTAGTTTATTTTATTTTCTTTAGATTTTAAATTATTGTTATAATTTACCTGGAGGTACCGAAGCTGCAGAGCAGCGGGAGAATCCCCGATAACTTCTGATGCCTCTCTCAACGCTCGGCTAGCCTTTTGTTCACCTTCAGCGGCAATTACCTAATTTAACAATTCAAATTTTAATATGTTATTGATTTTTTTATTTCAACTGGGCGATGATTGATTTTTGTTTATTTATTTGGAATTTTAATTTAAATTGTTGATGGATTTATTTAAATCGCAGCGCCATCGTGTGCTTTCATTTGTAAGTAACGCAGGCGGTCGAGTATCTACTTGTGATATCGCGAAGTAACGGACGGTAATGCCTGTTACTAGTTTAACAATGTTTGTTTATTTAAAAAAAGAATTGAAAGTGTATGGAAAAGAAGTTTGTAATTAAATTTATTTCACTTTTTTGTTATTTAAGGAATTTGGACACTTTTAAGATTTTTATGAAATTTTTGGTGTTTCAATTTAATTTACTTGCAGAACATGTACAGAGAATTTTTTTACCGCAATAAGGTTAAAAAGTAATGGAAGTTTTTATTTATAAAATCTATAGATAACGACAAATGTAATTTTCAGTAAATTCAATTTAATGCATCAAGAAATTTATTGACTTTTTCAAAAGTCCGTTCGATAAATTTAATTTTTTCTTATAAAATTATAATGATGTAAAACAAAATTAAAAAAATTTTTTCCTGAAAATATGCTGAGGTCCTTTATCAATTCTAAATAAATTTAAAATAAAATTTTCTTAAATTTGAGGACTTATATCATTATTACAGTCAAAACCGTTTACAGCGACATCGCTTACAACGACGAACCGGGTATAACGACGAAATTTCAAGGTCCCGTCTTAATGCAATATAAAACCTTCAAGCTTAAAACTGTTTATAACGACATCGCCTATAACGACAAATCGCTCATAACGACCATGGTTGAACCATCTTTTCGAAGAAAAATATCGTTTATAACGTCTAAGACATGCTTTTGCACTTGTATTTAGGTCTGTATTTGTTTTTCAGTAATTATATTTATAACGTCACAAGTTTTTCAACAGTTGAAAAAAGACTATGTATCTGGTACAGTTCGGGCAAACGTTCATGCCATCTTTGACAACTTTAGAGATAGACGAGTATATTGAGGTAGACAATGAGGTAGCTGTATGCTCGTCAATGAGTGATCGGAAAATTTTAGAGGATATTCAAAATCATGACACGATGGTTGAGAATTAGGATGAACAAGAAAATGATGAACAATTTGTAATACCAACGTCAGGGAAGCACTAATTGCTATTACTGTTTTACAAAAATTTGTGCTTGACGAAGAAGAATTAAGTTTAAGCAATAACAATGAAATATTGCATAAAATGTATTAGCAAATTCAAAATTACTGCGTATAGTTTCAGTACATTAAACAAACTAAAATGATAGATTTCTTAAAGTAATTTTTGTATAAATATTCATAATAAGTATTAGTTGACATCATTAACTGTAAGATGATATAACAATGCAATTTTAGTTTAATAAATAGTTGTAATGTATTTTTGAATGCAATGAGAACGTTTTTAATTATTAATAATAGATATTGGTCATAACGACTATCGGCTATAACGACCATAATTCATCGGTCCCTTCAATGTCGTTATAAACGGTTTTCACTGTAATTGACAAAATTTTTCAACTTTTGGAATAATAATTTTTGGTACTTCAACTATTCCTAAACTTTTGATTCGCAACTACCAAAATAATGAACTTTTAATTTTTTTTGAATTATACAAATTTATCATAGACAACTATTTGAAATAAGTCAATTTAAAATGATAATCATTAATTATAAATAAAAAAAATTACCTTTGCACGTGCTTCACGAGCAGCTTCAGCTTCTGCAGCCATCGCACGTTGTAATTGTACCGGGAGACGGACGTCTTTGCTATATAAGTAAATAATAAGATTAATTGATCAATTACTTAACGGGATAAAAAAGCATCAAAATAACATTTACATTTCCACTCGCTCAACTTTAATTCCCCAGGTGTCTGTCGCTTCATCCAGCGAAGCCTTAAATAGAATAAAATATTTAAATATAACTACTATCGACCGCGCAATTACCATTGACATACATAAGTATTTAATAAAGTTTAAGTCTTGATAGTTAACATAGCAGTTATTAAAATTATTATTGTTTTACCTGCATGTTACCGGAAATTGTTTCGCGCTCACTCAATATTTCGTGAAGCGGCCTCGTACCCATAGTATTACGCAATGTCGTTTGTGCAAGTAAACGTGTACTGTGATGAGCATTTTCCACATTAGCGATCGATATAGTTGCATTATTAACTCGGTAATAAACTACTGCGTCGACCGAAACAGTCACGCTGTCCTTTGTTAGCACCTAAATTTTATTTTATTTTATTTTATATTATTTTATTCATCCACTTATTTATATTGTTTTGTTTGATATATTATTATTGTGTAAGCTGACAATCTATCGAAAGAACTTACTTCTTGGGGAGGAATGTCGTATGTCCGGGTACGTAAGTCCACTCGGGCATAAGCATCGATGCAAGGCAGTATAAAAAATATACCTAAAACGTTTTAGTTGTTATTACACTATCGATTTTCTCCTGTTATTTATTTGTAATGGTTTTACCAGGTCCTTTGGCGCCACCGGATAATAATCTTCCAAGTCTGAATATTACAGCTCTTTCATATTCTTGCACCACCTATTAAAAAATAAAATTAATAATTAAATAATAATGGAGACCCCTTAAATAATTTTTTATTTAATTGATTGAGATTATCAAAATCAAAATCAAGCAATTTTAATATAATTCAGTTGGAATTAATCATAAAATTTTTCTAATTGATAATTGATGAGCACTTAGTTCATAATAAATATAGTTTTACATTCTAGCAAAGTTGTGACATACTCGATGAATAATACAGTACGATATTATAACCCTTACAATTTACAAGTCAATAATGAAAAATATTATTCACGTGGTAATAATTACAGTGCAGAAAGTTTTATAAATTTAGCTTTTTTCTTTAGCGACAAGTTTAATGGCTGTTTTATTTTTTTAATATAAACACAAACATTTATTATATGCGGATAAGAAATATTTATTTTAGTTGCTTAAATAATTAATGTTGCTCACATATAAATTTCTTTTAAAGTCACGAAGTTTTTTTTAAATATACATCGAGTTCTAGAAAGCTCAGAGGGCAAACAAATTTTTTTTTCTTGAAAATAAAAGAATGAAGTTATTTTTAAAAAAAAAAAAACGCGTTTTTAATTTTAAAGAAAATTAATTTATAAATTTTTTTTCTACGGAAAAATATTAATGATGTATTATAACAACCATTTCAGTGGAAATATTTAGCGAATTATATGGATGAAATATTAATTGAGTGTTCATGTCGAGCATGTATAAAGTATTATATGTGGAATATCGATTATATGTTATTGCAGTGATTTTCATCATGACTTTGCTATATTGACAAATAATTGTAAGAATTATTATCGTTAGTATATTTTATGCAAAGCAAATAATCATAAAATTTTTTATAATTACAATTTTTTCAGTAAGTATTTCGAAAAATTAAATAAGTAAATTTTTAGATTTAGATTTTGTTTATTTAATGCCAAGGCACAGGCCAAATGGCAACTTCAATTACATAGTAAATACAATTTTTACAAGAGAGCAATTTCTGTGAGTACATAATATAATATAATATTGCACTATTATTAATTTAATTTATTTATATGTAAACAAGATAAAAAAAAATCATATTAAACTTGAAACTTAATATATAGAAACAATAATTTAAAAAAAAATATAGAATTTTAATTTTTACATTCTTTAATTAAAATAAAATTGCAAGTATATTATAATTGAATTTTTTAATGATCACATTTTTATAATTAGAAAAAAAAATACTCAAAAATTGGTCCTATCTTTGAATAATTAACCTCAATTTACTAACTATAAAAAAATTCTATTTATATACATTGTTTACAGGTTTACTCATTTGAATTATCCATGGAGAAATAATCAATATCAGTATCATTGTAATAATAAATTTTACCTTGAAACATATAAAAAGTGAGAATGGCATGGTGAGAATAACCAGCACCCATGATAGTCCTATTAAAATATTTCCACATCTTGTTAAATCTGCGGTCTGAGTGTCCGCTGCATTAAAAAATCATAATGATAACAATGAAATTTAAAAATAAAAATTTTCACCCCTCAATAATAATATTATCTATTACTTAATAACAATAACATCTAATAAAACATTTAGAAAAAAAAAAAAACAACTTACCCCCTATCACGCGCTTCCGAATATCGTCGGGGCGTGAATTAACGACTACAGGTGTCATGCTATTATTGCCGTTTCCTACAGTCGTCATCTGAATTGACATATCAGGACTAACTCGAGATTCAAATCGCGCCACCTTAAATGATTACACAACCGTCAATCGCAATAATTAAACCTCACAATAATTAAAAAAAAAAAAAAAAAAACAAAAAAAAATATTTATGAATTTTATATAACATAAACAAAAATTACTTGGCGTTAAATAAATGTCACTAAAAAGTCTTTGCAATATAAAGTTTTTTAATACTCGTCAGAGTACACAATAAAGTCAAATAAAACGGATAATTAAAGTATATTCACAAATAAAAACAAGTTTAATTACAAAAAAGTTTGTCAATTAAAACTCGGGAAATTATTCACTAAGCTACTGAATTTATAAATATATTTAATAACTTCACTGGTTAATTATAAAAATATTCACCAACTAAAAATTTTATTTTATAATAAAAAAAAAATATACTTTATTTATTTAAAAAAGAAAAAATTTCACTTGTGAATAAAAAGTTTAACAGTAATAAATGAATTAGATTGAAATGCAAATGCGAGTGCGTCCGCAATGAAAGCTCGGGTAAAACAGCAGGGATATGTCCTTACATACCTTGATGTTACAAACTGGACGGTAGTATATAAAAGGTTGCCAAGACAACAGGTAGTGAAAGTCTGGGGTAAATCGCCGACGCCGTTACTTGTCACCCAATGATAAACCGTCACTGGACACCGACAATAACTTATTAAATATGCACGATATTAACATTTATAAATAATATATTACAATATATACGTAAAAACTAACATCTATTACGGGGTCGGGTTCCAATGGGGCATGGCTGTTATCTTTTGGTGATAGTTATAAAAATAGCGGGTGAACTCCACACACATGTGTAAGTCATTAAATTTTCATGCAGTACATACAACAAAGGGTACGGTTTATTTGGTCTTTGAGTTTGATGTCATTTTCATTATGGAATATTGTGACGCATTTAACCGCTGCATACACCCTTTTTAGATCTCAGTATTATTATGGTGCTCGAGGTGTTAGTAAATTATAGGGAATTTATAAATATTGTATAATACAAAGCAACGAAGTAATCACTTTGTGGTTATCAAGGTCTACTCTAGTTCACGATCATCGATTCATGACAGTGGCTTTAGAGTTATATTAAAATTGAATTTCAATAAATAATATACAGAGGGTAATAATGTGTCACTTCTATTTATTTTTATCGATTAATGATTTAATGAGTATAAGATGATAATTATTTCGTGGGATGGCAAATAAATTATTATTACAGCTATCGAAGTGAAAGAAGATGTTTAAATGATCATTTTCGAATTGATTGATTTTATTTTATAAAAATAATAATAATGATAACAACACTGTGAATTGATATGGACGAGGTTTAATTGGTATATGTTAAACAACCAAATAGAGTAAAGCTATACTGAGTGAACTAGGGCAAATTTCAAGAGAGAATTCTCTACGCGGTAATTGTTAATAGTTTACAAAATATTCAAAGTTTACCAACAAATTTCAACCATACAAGATAATTTTAATTATAATTTTTTAGAAAATATGTATTAACTCAATTAATAAATACTTGAGAAAAATTATAAAATTGATAAATTTTTCAATATGATTATGTGGACTCTTCACAAAAATTCACGTCAATACTAATTGAAAGTTTAATAAAAAAAAAAGTTATAAAATGACGATGAAATAATTTAATAACTTATAAGCTTTTGAGCATATTAATGACCTAGACTTCTTACCCAACGCACTTAAAAGTGAATTAGCCTGAATGTTATCATAATACATTGGCTGCCCAATTTTGAAACACAGTAACTGCAAAATTTTTATACCTGATTTTTTTTTTTTTAGTATTGCTGCATTTTTTATAACTTTTAAACCTTAATTTCAAGTATTTTTTCTTAAAAATATTTATATTTGAGTATTTTCTATTCATAAATCAAATTTGTCATTAATTTGGCGGGCAAACTTTTTTTTAATAAGAAAAATTGGAAAAATTTTTAAATGTTAGTTACTGTGTTTTGAAATTGGGCAGCCGACATGAAGAATATGAAGAGGAATAATTTAAAATCAAAACACAGAGATTGAAATAACTGAATTGTGATTAAGGAAAGATAAAAAAAAAAGCAGTCTATAGGTAAAACATATTGAAAATAAAATAACTCAATGAATCGTGATATAAACTCAAGTTATTATTTCAACTCGGGATAGTACTTAAAGACTTACCTCCATTGAGTAACAGTAAGCCTTAGCCTTACGAGTAACAGGGTTACTAGATCATCATACATTAACAAAATGCGGAATAAATAGCTACCGTAAATAAAAAAACTAAAGAAGGAACAGTAAACTTGACATAATTCCATGAGATTCAAGGTTTCCACCGATATCACATACCATTACCGGAATTTTACGACAAGTTCAGATGCAGTCTGCGTATATTACAGCCAAACGGACAGTACAATATATTGCGTCGCTCCAATTGCAATTCCAGTTCGCAAAAACGGACATCTATGACCAAACCATGCACGCGCCGGGAACTGGCTGCCAAATTCGACGATGCCAAGGGTATCATTAAGTAGAGCAGTTTTCAGCTCTAGAGTTTAAGGTCGCTTTGATTTAGGATTTCATCGAAAAGATTATTATGAATTATTAATATCTCGATAAATAATTAATTTCTTCATGGGTAATTTATCCAAACTTTATTATTTTTAAATTATTAGAAAAAAATTATTTATTTTTTTTATCACGGCTGCTATCACTTTTTTTGGTAGTAAAAAATTTTCTAATTAAAATGCTGACTAATTTGTACAAAACAAACGCAATTGTTAAAAATGTCACAGCAAAAGCGGCGCAGACATCGATGAGAGCTGTTTGGTACCAAGACAGAGAGCTGGCGGAAGACTTAAGAAAATTTCTGGCGTTTCCGCGAGCAATGTACTCTGCCCACCAGACCGCGGTCTGTAGCGGTGTCTCGGGCCGGTCACTCCAGGCCTTTTGAAGCAGGTTTGCATTCTTCTGGTAACTAAATAAGATAAAAAATAAAATAAAAATGACATATGTTCATTTCAATAAGATTATGTATTTACATTATTAGATCTCAGCTTGACCGCATTTACCTAGAGTCGTTGAACACACGATCAATAGCAGATCTCAAAGTTTTAGCGTTAAAACTGTTCCACTCTAACACAACAGCAACTCCGCGGTTTTTTGCAGCCGCCGCGTTGTTGAATTGGTCCCCGTACATTGGAACAACTACCATAGGAACTCCGGCGCTTACACCCTCGCTGATACCCAGCATACCCCCGTGGGCCAAATAACATTTAACATTTGGATGCCCTGGAATAATATTTATAAGATGCCATTTATATTCATGTATTATATATGTTTTTCTTACTTTGTATCGGAGTATTTTTTAGGGGATAAAGTAATTTGTAAGTCAGACAAGTGATGAATACCAATTATTCCAAAGAGTCGATTTATTTTTGTCTTGATATTTTTTTTTTACAATAAATAGTAGATAAAAATTTTTTTATTTCTACAGACGCTTATGATTAATGAAAAAATAAATTAATTTAATGAGCCTGCATTTAAATAATTATCTGTAAAATTAAGAGAAGCGAAAGTGATGATAAGACAAATTTTTCTCTCCATGTGGTTTTATATTATAGTTTTAATTACATGTAAATGTTTATGCTTACTGTTTATCGAAAATATACTTGACTTAAAGATTCTTTGAAAGTGATTTTTTTGTGTTAAATAACACACCCGTTGTGAAAAAATAATTTTTTTTTTTTTTTTAACTAATGCATCGTGATTTTTAATAGGAGCAGAAATATATGAATGCATAAGTTATTCAATTCATTAATTTTGATAAATAAATAAATGACGTATTTTAAAAAAGCGAATTCATTTTTTAAGTAAAAAAAATGTGCAAATAATAGAATAGAGTACAGAAATAACTGCGATGTAATAAGTAAAATGAAGAATCGATTTAATCTTGTATCTATACACTGCTATATTTATCTTGCATCAATCGCGATAACATTAAAATCATTATTTTCCTTTTTAGTTCATTGAATCAATACCAGATAAAAAATGCTTTATGTTTGCGATAATTACATGATTTAGTTGATATATTTCATTGTGCTTCTCATACAGATGTTAATATAAATTAAACGATATTTTTAATGGGAACTGGAGGTGACGGGTCTTTCTTATTGAAACGCAGTAATTTTCTTTATTTAATTTTAATTTTAATTTAAAATTAACGAAAAAAAAAAATATTTTTTTGATAATTTTGTGGTTAATCTCTTGTTACACAAAAAAGAGTAAATTATTTACCAAAACTATTGAAATAGAATTTTTAATGATTTACTTAACGGCAGTAATATAATATAATTTTGTAATCCCACACAGAGTCATAATACTCATTAACTGATAAGATATAATAATGACTGATAAAGATAAAATTTGATTTTTCTTTTAGCAAAAAAGTAAACTATCAACGCAGATTAGAAACTAATAATAAAATGATGTCAAGTAATAGAATTAATTGTATCCTTTACAAATGATTTTTTATTATTTTATCAACAAATAGTCGCCTAAGACTTTGAAAATAATAATTTATTAAGTCAATTATATTTATTAACAGTTAAAAAATAAATGGAATTAAATTTTCTATGACAAAAGTTAAAAAATAACAAAAAGTCAATAAGATTGCTCAATAATTAGTATTACAAGTATTTTTAATTACATAAAATACCGGCTTATTTGATAAACTGATGGGTTTTTCTATCGATAAGATATGTAATTATTGATCCACTGTATTTTTTAAGTAAATTGAAAGTAAAAATTTCTAAAAAAAACAAATTTATTATTTTAATTTAAAGAATCAAACATTTACAAGTTTCTTTTATTGAAACACCAAAATTTTCATGTCAACTTAAAAAAAAAAATACTAATGTAAAATTGACCGTTTGTTATTGGTATTAAATAATATTTTCAAATACAATTTAAGTGTACATTATTTTGATCTGTAAAGATAAGTTTCATTATTGAAAAACTCGACTAGTTAAAAAATTTGGAATTAACATTAAAAGACTACTTGAGTAACTCTTAAATTATACGACTGATCGACTTTACAAGAATCGGTGGATTCAGTAAAGAGATATCGAACGACAAAAAGAGCTGACATACATGTCCGAAAATAGTCAAAATGATTTCCTGTGACCTCAAGACATTGAGCCCTGAGATGAAAACTGGATTTAAGAACATGAGACCAAATCCAATAATTTTTTTAATCGAAAAAAATATTCGGAACCTTCACAGCTAAAAATGAGTAATAAAATATTTAAAATAAAATTTTTGAAAAATACTTACGAAGAATCGCGGACTGCGGGAGCCATTTTTTAATAAGAACATTCTTAGGTTTATTCGGTAAATTTTCATCCTCCCACTTCCAGACAACCTTCCGTGGGATACTGCCAAGAACCTCCAAAATATCACTGAGCGTTTCGTTTTTCATCGAGCTGGCTTTGATCATAGATCCCCAGCTGAAGAACAAAACTCCCTCATAAGCGTTATCGAGGTACTCCTGCAACTCTCCCGGCAATGAAGAAGGATTGATGTGTATCCCTCCGACTTCCACGACATTTGGCAAATGTGGTTTAGAGCCGTGCAACGAGTAATGCGTGTTAACCAGTATAGCAGCGGTATTACGTGCAATATCACTCAGCCGCTTACCCGACAGCCCCAAAGCCTCCTCAGCAACCTTCTCGGTCGCTCGATTGATTGCAAGTTCATAAAATATTTTGGCGTACACCAAACTGAATGCATTGCCCAACCGTTCGATAAAATTCATATTCAGGGCGAACCCGTGGAATAGCACTGGCACATAACTCGGATTATCCGGATTACCTATCCTGTCATTCGCCCATGGCATCAGGACATGTGAGGACAACCCAATAAACGGCGGATTATTGAGATAATTGACAACCGCCAGAGAACAGTCCGAGTTGAAAATTTCAGTCAGCATCAAGTCGAACTTGGGCTTGTTTTTCAACAAGTTTTTAACCTGCGGCAAATTGAGGGCGTCTTCGCAACTCTGCAGTCCCATGTTACGTAAGTGGTTCATCTCCAAAAAGCTAGTTACCGGCGTATGCATTATTTGCTTCAAATTGACGACATTAACGAACGGATTGAATTTATTTATCAAACTTACGTCATGGTAATTTTTCTGAGTGTTGTTACTTCGCGGAAAATACGACACCACTGTAATATCATGCCCGCGGTTCGCTAATTCATCGATCAAGGGCTTGAAAACGTCGAAGTGACTCTTCCCCGGGTGGCTGAAAAACCCGAGAATTTTGTACTTTTTCTCAGCACTCGCGATTCCACTTATACAACTTATTGCACATGAAAAAGCGATAAACAAAAGTAAAATCACTTTATTTAGTGTTATCATTGTCACTCATATAGATGATGACAGCTAATGAAATGACACTGCGTAAATCACTGAACAATTATCGGCCTCGTTTCAAACCTTCATTGAGTTAAATAATTTATAGTTTAAGCTGTGGATTATAATATATATAACAAAGAAGACCACTAACTGTATTGTATGTTAGTATTGCAACTGTGAGTTGTGTGGTAATAAAACAACAATCGAGACTTAACTGTTGACAGTGAACTGAACGCAGATCAGCCCTGGTTGTATAATCTTGCCCCACTCTGCCACTACTTGAATTACAACAACCTTTAGATAAAAATATTTCTGGCTGCTTCCTACTTTTTATCTCTGTCCGCAGTTCGATACATAATACTCTTGCTAAGCAGTAATTTTTAACGTTATCTTCTACATGTGCTTAGACACGTGTAGCGAAATTGGAGTAGAGTATGAAAAGTAGAAAAAAAAATTTTTTTTGGGAGAGTTTGTAACTATTCCTTGAGTAGATTCTATTACTAGAATATTTATAAGTCGTTAGTCTGACGTCAGAGGTTTAGTATTTGAAAAAGTTAAGTCAGATGTTTAGGCCAGAGCAATGTTGCCAGAATTTCAGTTTAAGGTTTTACTCAATGTCATAGATTATTATTTTTTATAATAACCTTGATAGTGAATTTTAATATTTCGTTTTGGGATTGATATTCAATTGGCTCTTTGGTTGATAAGTGATAATCTGATAATTGATATGATGTAATGAAATTTTTATCAATAACTTTATCACAAATTATATCACTAAATACTTCGCTCGTGGCGTTAAAAAAATACTATTTTACTCATGCGCAGTGCTATAGAAATAGAAATAGGGGACTTACTACTCCCACTATCCGAATTTTTTTGGCCCATGGACCCTAGACACAGCGTTATCGCTCAGGGTCAAGCTAAAAGGTACAATGGTATTTTATTTTTTTTTTTCTATTCTAACAAATTAAACAGCTAGTAATTTTTAAGAACAAAACTCTTTATCCAAATTTTATTAGTTTAATTGAAATAGTTTTTTTGGAGAGATGCTCCATTCTGACGAAACTACAAAAAAAATTATTTTTTTTTATTTAAAAAAAATAATAGATTTGTTCTTAAGATTTTTTTATTTCTTCAATTATGTAAGATGATACTCATAAAAAAATAAATCTTTTTTAAAATAAAAAATTCCCTCGGGATCTGTTTAACCCCGATTGAAAAAACTAAAATTTTTTATTTTTTTATTCCTAAAATTTGGTTGACAAAAATTGGCGCTAATTCGGTGATTAATTGGATTTAAAAAAAAAAATGTGACGTTTTAAATGAAGATTGAAAAATGACAATAATCCGATTCAATAATTGACCGTCAATTGGAAGCAATAAACCCACTGTGGCCTTGTGGCAAATTTTCATTGAATCGTTAACTGATTTAATTGAGGTACGTATTATTATGCGATGTCATACGCATGAATAAAAGACTCTATACTATTACTACTACAAGGAAACTTTCTTGACAGTGAACTAAATCGCGTGATTCGGCCCTGTTCATCATAATCAGACCTAAATGAGCATGAAAAATATTTAGCGAAAAAAATTTATTTTTCACGCAATGACTAAGCTTTCTGATAAAGCGCAATTAATTTTAATCCCCAACATATAATTCCATTATGTAATTAATTGTAATCTACTCATCACGCTGAACTGTGACTAAGCTAAAATTAAAAACTCGTTGTAATAATGAATTACTCTTTGCTTATAAGCAAAGTAATATAAATATTACACTGTTTATTTATAACAATTGTTATTATGATAAAATAATATTTTAATTACTGAAAAGAAGAGCGTAATATTTTAATAATTAAAATTTTTTAATATTCATCTAAATAAATAGCTTTCATCTTTTAACCGTAATTACGAGGTGAATATCCGAGTTATCGATTTTTTTCTTTTGTATTATCAGTAAATCGACGGAATATTATATGATGATTATCACTTGATATTTACTCAGGACACAAAAATCTATATAATTTCATGAATTATTTAGCAGTAGAGGAACTTGCCGAAAGTTAAATATTAATATAAGAGCTTATAATAAAATGATAAATTGAAAATCAATGTCACCTTATGTTTTCATTTAATACAACTTGTCACTTTATGAAACTTAAATAAATACACGCCAACCTTCAACATATATTAATATACGTACACGTATATTAATATAGAAACTTTAATAAACAGAGGTAAATAATTTACAACAATAAATCAGAATAACGAGTTTCATTGTCAGGTCGAAAAAAATATATTTAATATACTTTATATTTCCCTTTCTAAAACAATTGATAAATTAAAAAATTTTCTGTAAATAAATAATGAACATCTTGACAAAGATTTTTTTTATAAATATTTATAATAATCGTCGTTTGTATTGTCAAATAAATGATTAATGATTTAAGATAATTTGTGTTTTATTTATTCTCTTTTTTACTGCGTAAGTTTTTGTATTACCGATCAGTTTTTTATGGATGAAGTATTAATGAATCATTTGTTACATAATTATATTAAAATTTTATTTTCTGATTATCAGACTAAAATTATGTTAATTATAATAGTTAGTACCTGCCTATTATTGACGATGAGGTGATTATTAATGCGCGGTTGTGGTTAATGATGATGATGTATGTCGCACAATACATCTGCAACTTTTAACGTAAGATGATGAATTACAATTGTTGATTGTCTAATTGTCAACTCATTACGTTCTTAATTTTAAATAAATAATTTTAATGACAAAATAAAAATAATAAGATAAATAATTTGTATGTAGAAGTGTCAATTTTTTTCGCAACACAAGATTTCAGATTGCATAAAACATTATTATTTTTCTTTCTTCGTAGGCTATTTGGGAAGGTCACATTACTTGAACTTAAAATGATCGATTCGCATCATTTCTTAAAGTTGTTGCTATACTATTTATATAGAATGTCCGGCGACAAAATAATCGCAATGAAAAAAACTGTCTCAAATATAAAACAGCGTAAAAAAAAAATATTGATTTATGAAGCGGGAAGTTAAAAAAATAAAAATATTATGAATTATGATGATAAATTTAGCAGATATTTAATAATAATTTTTAACAAATAAATTATGGCAAAAAAAAAAATATAAAAAAAATTGACATGTAGAAATTTTGAAAAATTAAAAATGCAATTTTTTAAAAATAGTTTTTTGGGGCAAATTTTTTTATTAAAAAATTCTCTAGTGACTGCTAACTTCAATGTCATAAAAATATTGACTAAGTCTTCACAGATGTTAAAATTTTATCTCATTTAAAAGTCAATTAATGCAATTTAAATAAATTAAAAGCCACCAGTATATGAAAATAATATTTTATTTAAAAGAACATTAGCTTCAAGATACATTTCAAATAATTTAATAAAAAAAATAAATGTTATAAGAAATATTTGTACAATTTCGAAAATTTATAAACCGTATCACCGTCTGCAATTTTTATAAATCAAATAAATTCATTTCTTCTTGAAATAAATAGTCTCGAACCTTTTTCTTTTTTTTTTTTCAATAATAGCGAAAAATAAAACTATCTAAAAAGTGATGATTTAAATTAATAATATTAAAATTAATATAAATATTTTTTTACAGTAAATAAAAACCTACAATTTTAATAAAACAACGGAATACTTGAATAGAAATAATGATTTCACATACGTAATGCAATAAAATATGGTAATATATTAGATAAGTCTGGAAATGACATTCAAGATATTGCATAACATTGAGCAATATGGAATTTATCTATTACCATGAATAAACTTCTCGTTGACCCTGATCTTGACTCGAGTTCTTGGCTTGAGTCAAGATTCCATTAATAAACTCAGCATGGAAATGAATTTGCAAAATAAATAAAACCATCTATACGTTTATTGAAAATAAAAATAAAAAGCAAACAAAATAAAAGGTCGATTAATCGTAAAAAGTTCCAAGGAAAATCATCAGATGTCGTTGGCAGCCTAGAAAGTTCGAAAGCTCGGAAGTAGATCGTGAAAGCTCTCACCTAACCGGGTTGTCTGTTCGGTCAAAAGAGGCGCTATTAGGGTGACTCAGGACGCAAGTGTGAACGAACTACGTAATCCTTACCCCGTGAGCGTGACGTGATCATGAACCACTCGCCATAAGAGTATCGGTGGTGCGAGGGTGAGGGCGCGCTTAAAACCAGAGAGTGCGTGATCAAGGGCACGCGGGCCGGGGGTGTCCCCATCAAGGGCTGAGGGTCGAGTTGAGAGCGTCGCAGGGTGCAACGAACCTTGGACTCTCGGGGACTAGACGGCTGCAAAAGACGGAGTCGAGGTTCCCAGTCATGGAGATACCCGACCCCATAATCCCAGCCGCCCTTGAGATTAAAACCCGTAGCATAGAACAGACTCTTCTCCCACTAGTGAAACAGGTAAGATTTAAAACCGGCAACTAAATCTTACGGCTCACTTTTTATTTTTATTTTTATTTTTACACTTACCGGTGTCTGCATACTTGTCTCTCTCTCTCTCTCTTTCTTACTCTTCACTCGTATCGTTCTGTATTATTATTATTATCATTATTAGCGTCTATTAATAACAATTTTGTGTATTGTGTGAGTGTGTGGGTAATAATATTTATAATGTAAAGACGCAGTACAAGCACGAGAGTTCATTTTAGTTAACGCACTATTTTATCGTCTTGCAGCACCACCACCATAACCTCTGACTTATATCTCTGTGTTTATTATAATAACAATTATTTTATAAATACAATTATGAATTGATGATAATGATAATTAATTCTTCCAAGAAGTTGTTTATTTGCGATAAAAAATTAATGAAAATTAATAGATAGGTGAGTGATTAATTTATTGCTGATTTTTCGCCGTAAGGTACTACAGTATTGGGAATAATTAATAATATTTTCAATTACAGGTGATTTTAATGATTTTTATTGACAAATATAAGGGCATTTAGTGACGTACACGCGACTAGAATGATCAATTATTCTTTGATCCATTAATTTAATAGGTTACAGGGAGAAATAGTTTTAGAGTTTGACAGCTCGGGCGTGCGCTCTGCGTTCCTGCATTTTATTTTTGTGTTTAAAGTTTCGGGCTTTTTTTATCTACTTTCTAATAGAAGATACTTTGCTATTTGTTTTTAAAAGAAAGGTGGCAATTTACTTGAGGAAAGTAGTTATTAAAATTGAGAGAAAATTTAAGCAACAAAACTTTCTGGTAAAAAGCTTTTAGAGTTTATATTTTATGATTATAAATTATTAAAAAGAGGTAATTAATTATTGACAGTTTGATTTTTTAAAACTTTCTTTTTTATTAGAGATTTTAATATATAAAGGAAAAAGTTTTTTTTTCACTTATTCTATCAATATATAATTTTTTTTATTTATTATTTAAGAAAGTAACATTTTTATGTAAAACTTATATTAAATATTCGGAGTTTTGTTTTTTAAATAAATAATATGTGATTTAAAAAAATTATTTTGTAAAAGTAAACAAAATTATCGAGAAATTTTCAAAAGATATATTTTAATTTTTTTTTTTTTTTGATATTAAATTAAATTAAAATTAATGAAGACTTTGTCTGTCGAAAACTTTTTATTCAATTTAAAATAGAACAAATATTTTCATAATCAACATTGAGATAAAATAATAATCAAAAACTTCACATGCACGCATCAAATTTATTTTACACCCTTAAATTCGTCAATTTAACTCTAAAAATCCCGCTGTTTTTAGTAAAATAAATTTCAATAAAATATATAAAAAAAAACCACAATAAATCTAGCCCAGGAAAAAAGTGTATTTGCCCTTACTGATAAAAGAAATTTATTGTGCTTATAAATATTTATCTAAAAATAGTAGCAACGAAATATTGTTTAGCGCAAAGAAAGCTGTTTATCAAAGCGTAACGTCAGAGTTTGATGAGCCATTGTGTGCTGAGAAAACGTACCACAATAAAACTCCTAGTGACATAAACCGCAGGTGTCTAGTCACCGTATTCATCCTCTTCTCCCGTCCGGCTTTATCCCTCGGAGCAACTCGAATCTCCAGCCAGACACACATAACAGATAAAAGCCTGAATGAGCGAGAAAGTAAACCGAGTAAGAGAAAGCACAAGCGAGCGTACACACCCTTCAAATCCACAGGTGCATATCCGGGTGGATAGAAATCACTCCAAGTCCCGAAGTCCCAGCTCTATTTCATTTCATATCAAAACTCATATCGACTGTGTAGTTAAGGTTAAGTACAAATAAATTCAAGGGAAAAGAATGAAAATAAAAAAGTCAAAACAAAATAATTAAATCGTCTGTACTGCGATCGGATGAATGAAACCTAAAAATAGAGCCGACGAAGAAACGTAGCACAAAGTAAAGGAGTTAGCGGCAAATATTGACATTACAAGACTTAAATACATAGTATATAGTCTATCTATCAGAAGGGCGATATATATATACGTAAAAAATAAAAGTTAAATATATATATATATATATATATATATATATATGACAGTAGGTCTGGCACTAGCGGTATTGATTCTCACGGTGAGGATGCGCGTTGTACCTTCTACCCAGAAAGTATATAGCACACATTTTCCCAAGTACGAGTGTACTCAGTAGGTACTATATATGTACTATCGTACTATGTCCTATGTAATATATGTGCATATAGATATATAGACATATAATTTGTTGCAAAGTCTGAGTATTGGATGCCGTGGATACGATTCCTCGTTATCCTCGTCTTATTCACATCGGCGCTCAGTTAGCGGCATATACATCTATCTCACAATGGTGTACGCAGCTCACAACCTTGTTTTAGCCACCCTCCGTCTAGGCTGCAGCACCGTGCTTTTTAACCCCTCAGTCTTCCCTAGGCACTCAGCAAGCTCAGTACCTGCTTTGTATTTCAACTGTTATCCACAATTGAAGTTGGCTTCGCAGTCGTACATACTTTATTATATATATATATATATATATAGATACAAATACTTGCATACAAATATCTAATAACAATTATAATAATAATAATAAATACCTATATATGCAATACGATAGTTGAAAAATAATCCGATGGATAAAATCGCAATGTTGACGAAAAAAATAAATAAAATAAATAACGGTGTAAATATTTGGTAATAAAATTTTTTCTTAGTAAAAATAGTGGGTGGCTGTTAAAATAGTAATTTATTAGAAAGTCAAAAATAGCAGGAAGTTGTTTAAAAAATAGATAGGGGTGAGTGTTACTGCGTGACATATCACGAAGGGTGCAAGTAACATTGAGTTTAAATATATATCGAATCTCGTGACGTTTATTCAAGGCCCATTATTATGTTATAAGGTTTATTTGGCTTAGTTGCACCGACTTACTGGTACTTAGTATTTATCATCCATTAAAGAGTATTATAAAGATTTATGTATTTATATATGTTGATATAACAATAGTAATAAAAGAGCTGGTTGCTGGATATAAATGATAAAATGTGGCCAAAGATTTAACGAGTATAATAAGAATATATATCTGGCTCCTGGATATTGTATTGTTATTGAAATATTCTGTAAATATATTTATATACATCACGAAAGAGCGAGTCTTTAAGAAGAAATAACTCAGCTATAAACTGTAATAATGGATTACTATTTAAAAGTAATAGCGCTCGTTTATCTATTGACGATATTATAATTTTTTGTTTGGATAACTAGCAATTTAATAATTACTGTCAATCGGAAAATCAATTAAGTACAAGTAGTGATAATCGTTTGAATAGATGATTAGATGGTATATTTATTCTGGGAATAAATCAATGTAATTGTGCTCAACAAATTAATACTGTAGTTAAATAAGAAAAGAATTGAGTAAAAGTTCGAGGTGGAGGTGGAGGTGGAGTTTAAGTTTTAACTTGAAGACTCTTTTTTTTCCAACAGTAATAATAAAAAATAAAAAAGAAAGAGATAAGAAATGAATTATTCTGCATAAACGTGACAATATTCAAGGCCGTGCAATTAACTAAAAACTTAACAGAAGGTTTATTTAAATAAAACTGAGACTATTTAGAATTTTTTATTTATTTTCTGGCGCTAATTTACATCTGATATTTACGAAGATAGATATATGAAAATAATATAAATATAAATAAATAAATATATATATAAATAAATGAATATATTTTTGTCATTAATTTTTTACAGTACCAGAAAATTAATCGGACAATATCAATAAGTAGTTTATGTATACTTCATATCATTGTTGCGTGTAAATAAGGCTTGAAGGATAACAAGTCAAATCACTCATTGAATATCAAAAATATAAATAAGCAAGCTTTATTAATTAAAGTTAAATGTATATAAGTTTATCGTAATTAATGAACGAAAATTAAAAAAAAAAAAATGATAGCCTAGATGGTAGAAAAAAGGCAATATATGAAGATTATTAATTAATAATAAATGATAATTATTGTTGTTAAGTAAATTTGAAGTTTGAAGATATCATGTCACGGTTTTGAGTAACACTAGTTCAAAATACGTGATTACCAAAAAAATAATAAATAAATCTATTTACAAGAAGAGTAATCACTGGAGTATATTTGTGAATGCACATATCTATATGTAGAAATGTTGGTAATTGAGAGTATATTTTAATGAAGATTCATTTGGGAGTAATCGTGACAGAAACAATAATATTTGAACAAATTAATGTTAATATAAAGATAAATATAATAAATTTAAATAAGTTGTACTCGTAAGGACTGACTTGCATTTCGTTTTTCGCCGAGACTGATAGAAAACTATATAAAGATAGTCGTAAAGTAAAGTTAAATATATTTGAATTTAAATATAATAAAGCGAACGTCAATATATGAACTGGAGCAACTGTTAAAACTTTAAACGAGGGCTGTAAAAAGAAGAAACTGAAGAAAAATAGTTAAATAAAAAAGCGTATATAGAACAAAGAAATATCGCATTAAAAATGTACGAAGGAGGAATTACTACTGATCAGCAGGTATGGCTCTTTGTTCTTACGCGCTCAATAGTTGTGCATGTCCGTTTGTTTATCTGCATTTATATTATATTATATAAACGCAGCCTGACTTTCATGTTTCGAAAGTATGTGTTTCTTTTATTATGGTATTGATATTAATACTGTTCGTTTATATCACCAGGTCTGCGTTTACTTTAATCATCTTCATACAAATCATGTCCTATGTTTTTGTAAGCCATTCTTTTATTCATTCTTTTTATGCTCACTTTTATATTGGGTCGCATTATTCATATATTTCTGGGGAAGTAGATATCATAGTTGCGCTAGCTATTGCAATGGGTATGACCTTTCACTATAAAAAAAAATAATGTTATTTTTTTGCAGTAAATTTTATTTTTTTGGACAAATTAAAAATTTTATTTTAAAATAAAAAAAAAATTTTTTCTCAATCACCGAAATTTTGTGCCAAAAAAAATTTTTTCTTAAAGAAAATTTAATTCAATTGAAAAAAGTATTTTCTTGAAAACTATTTACTGATTTTTTCCCTGGAAAAAAAAAAAAAAGTAAATCCTTAAAAAAATTTTTTTTATTCAAACCATTTCCGCAGATTTGCGATAGAAATCTAATTAGCATTGAACAATAATAAATTCAGCATAATCGGCTTAAGCGGAAGAAAAAAACAAATTTTTTGATGAATAATCCGTCCGAGAATTTTCTGAGATTATTTCTCTACAATTTTTTAAAAACTAATTCCAGTATCAAAAATAAAAAAATTACTGTGCATTAATTAATAATCTTTTATCATAACTCCGACTTGATGTTGCAAAAAATCCGGTAACAATTAATCATTCTTTTTTTGGCAAAAAACTAGGTGACCGTGAAAGTAATTCTCGAGATTTTTCACCGTTTATAAAGTTCAACTCTAGTTTATTTTAAATTTGAAAAATGGGGTCACACCAAGTTCAAGCATTGTTTAAATTTCTGGGCTTCAATATCAAAGCCTTTAAAAAAAGTTCAAAAAAAATATGAAAAATTTACTGTGAGTTACTTTTTTTTTTTTTTTTTTTTTTATTCACGACTTTAAAATTCATTTAAAAGATATATAATAAAATAAAGCTCATTAGAATGACAAATGTCGACATGGTAGTTAATGGCTGATAGATTGAATTTTAGAGGCTGTTTCTCGATAAAATCATTTAATCAGTGATGAAATTCTAAAATGAATTGATGCTATTAAATTTTTTATCGAATATTAATTTTGTTTCTAGCGTACACTTTAAAAGGGACATAGGATTTCAGCATTTAAATACAGATTTTACTTGATATACGATACACCTACACTCTCACACACACACAACGGTGATTAAACTGATAACAGTTTAAAAATCACAACTGTTGTTAATTAATAACAATAAACGTACACACCTCAACGCTAGAGCTATGGCCGAACTAGTCAAAGTTCCGGTTATGTATAATACACGTTATAATTATAATTATAATTAATATTTTATTAAATTATCATTGTTATATATGTTTAAATTTAATTGTCATAAGTAATATAGTAATAAGCAATAAATTATAACAATAACTTTTAATATATATCGAACACTATACAATAATAATTAATTAATAATAAATGGATTGTTATTGGGGTGATGATAAAGGTGATTAACGGCGATATTATTTTGTTATTAGATTTCAACGCTGGTATCGCACCGAGAAAGGCCATTATGCTCCGACCGCAGTCTACGTGCTGTGGCACGAGTTGGCCAAGCGGTGAATCTTGCTGTAGAGAGATTTGTTACCGTCGGAGAAACAATAGCAGATGACAATCCTGAAATCAAACAGACCATGTATGACGCTTGTAAAGAAGCTAGAGTTGCTGGTAAATATTCCTTTTTTTTTTGTAAAACCGATAATTAATAACTTTTTTTATTTCATTATTTTAATGAAAATATTTTACACCTTCATTTATTTATTCTTAGTAAAATACTTCGTTATAAATGGGGCATTCCATACCAAATCGACCACTTTTGACACCGACCCTTTTCGATTTTTCTGAAATTTTGGTATCTTTCTCTACCCTATTGAAAACAATTTTCAGAATTTTTTCAAATTTTTTTACCCAACCAAAAAATAGTTATGAGTTATTACAAAAAAACAGCTTTTTTTTTGTTAAATAACTATAACTTTTTTGTAAAATTGACTTTTTGGGATGTTTTTTTTTTCGAAATTTTTGTCTTTTAAATGTACTTTAAAAAAAAAAAAAGTAAAAATAATAATTCGGGTTCTATTCAATGTTTTTTTTAACTTTTTGAAAAAAAACGAAAATTTCGGGATGATTGACATTTTTGATTTTCAATTTTTCTTTTTTATAAAAAACTTCAGTATTTTTTGCAAATTCCCTGAAATTTTCAGAGTGATAAAATTTTTCTTTCTATTTTTTTTTCAGAGTGGTATAACGAAAAACAAACATTTAAAAAAAAATTTTTTTTTTCATTAAAAAAAAAAAATAGAAAGAAAAATTTGACCACTCTGAAAATTTCAGGGAATTTGAAAAAAATACTGAAGTTTTTTATAAAAAAGAAAAATCGAAAATCAAAAATATCAATCATCCCGAAATTTTCGTTTTTTCCCAAAAAGTTAAAAAAAAAAAACATTGAATATGAATCCGAATTATTATTTTTATTTTTTTTCTTTTAAAGTACATTTAAAGACAAAAATTTCAAAAAAAAAAACATCCCAAAAAGTCAATTTTCAAAAAAGTTATAGTTATTTAACAAAAAAAAAAAAGCTGTTTTTTTGTAATAACTCGTAACTTTTTTTTGGTTGGGTAAAAAAATTTGAAAAAATTCTGAAAATTGTTTTCAATAGGGTAGAGAAAGATACCAAAATTTCAGAAAAATCGAAAAGGGTCGGTGTCAAAAGTGGTCGATTTGGTATGGAATGCCCCAAATATTTCATAAAATTCAAGGGTTTTTTTTATTCATTATTTTCCAACTATTGGAATTTTTATTCAAACTAAAAAGATAAAATTTTGAAAGTTTGATAATAAAACTAAAGTTTTGAAAAATAAAAAAAATTAGGTTTATGCAGAGCTTAAATAGAATGCAGGATTTAAATCTCCTTGAATGTAAAATACCTATTCGCCGATTTATTTACTTTCTTTAAAATTTATGGACCAGAATAGAATAAAGTTTGACGGTGCTTGAAATCGAATAATTTTATAAAGATTCAAAACTAATTATCAGCGCAATAAATTGAGATAGCTTCGGCCTCTTGTGTCAGTGTCAAAAAGAAGCATTGAACGTATAGTACTTTAGTCTCTTTTCTTCATACATGCAAAGTACCTCCAAAGTCGGCCACCGAATAGAAGTTCCTTTTTATCAAATAATAGGTATTCCCAGCCCGCATTGTAGTATTGTATGTAGTAGTTTATAGTAGAAAATTATATCCCCAAAAGTTTAATATCCCCTTTCTGCTTAAAGAATACTTCTCAAGTACGAGTAGGGTGACCGACTTAAGGATATTTCGAGCTTTTTTTCTATTCTATTTATTCTTACAGCTTAACATAACTTTACAATCAATACCCTAGAAGGAAAATGAATTTCAGATAAGATAAAGAAAATTACTTCACACATATATTTTTTCTCAAGGTTCACTCTTGTACTCTTGAAACCTCGACTTTTGAGTGTTCCCCCAAATCAATAGGCAATTTACGATCCAAATTCTCCATAATCGGATAAAAAAAATCCTCGATATATTTTTTATGAGGGTTTAAATTAGGGTACAAAGGTCAAAGTTGCCTCTGTTTATTCAAATTGTATAAAAAATGAATAAATTGTCACTTTTTGTGTTTTACGAGCCTGGTAAAGAATTTTTCTTGATCGAAATTTGATTTTTTTTTATTTTTCTATACTTGTGACGATAGCTACACCGTTATAGAAATTTATGATCCTCGATATAATGTCAATATTGTAAATCATAACAATAACCGTGTTAAAGATATGAATAAATAAATTTTTTATAAAAGTTTAGAATGTAAATTTTGGTCGAAGTTTGGAGCTTATAAACTTCAAACAAAAATTAAAACTCCAATTGATACCAAAATATATTTTCCAATATTGTGCCATTTATTATTTATTGAGAAAGTTTAATTAACACTTTTAGAGTAAGCTAAATTGGTCACATAAAATAAACATTAATTAAAAGATCCTTCAAATATTTAATTGATATTTGGGTTGAATAAAAAAAAACTTATTTTTAACTGAAAATATTCTAATAAGGCTCATACATAAATTAATACAAATTTCATTAAAAAAAAAAATTATTTGATGGCAAATATTTAATGAATAAATTCACCTAAAAAAATTCAAAAAGCTTGAGATATTTTTTAATTAAAGAAAAGGCGAGTAAAAGTTGCTCGCGTAAAAGTATTTCGAGCTTGCAGAGAACGCGGAGATGAGAATAAATTTATAACTCGTTTGCAGGTGGTGCCATTGAAAAACTGTGTGAGTGCGCGATGGAGGACAGTTTAACAGATAGAGGATCCGTTGTGAGGGCGGCGAGGTGTCTTTTGGGCTCGGTCACCAGGGTTCTGCTCCTGGCGGATATAGTGGTTGTTAAACAACTGCTATTAGCCAAAGACAAAGTGGCCCGCAGTCTCGGGCGACTCGAAAGCGTTTCAAACTTTACTGAATTCGTAAAAGCATTCAGTCAGTTTGGGGCCGAAATGGTCGAGCTTGCACATTTGACCGGGGATAGGCAGGTACGAAAATTTTTAACTTCAATTCTAACATTATTTGCACTTATTTATCCTCATTACATATGGGTCATGTGCATTTACACTTGATGCATAATTCATTTTCTATCCTCACATCTGTAATGGTAATGTAAAAAAATAATTTTAAAAAAAACATTTGTACGCGAAAACAAAATTCAATTTAAAATTTAAATTTCACATTTTACAGATCAAATTTATCCAGATACGGTATCGCTATCATATTAGATATTTCTTTGCAGAAAGACATATATTTATATTTGTATGTATAAAGAGTAAAAATACTTTATCGAATTGAGCTTCATCAAAAAATTTGCATCAAACTAGAATCGTATTTCATGTAAGAGATATATAACTTTTGCCTCTGCCTGTCTTCAATGTACACGTATACCAAACTTATATGTTATGTAGATCTAGACATAAGTATATATGTTGTATGAACGATAAATTTTATATAGATACACCTACATTTATTTCCAACAAAGCGTCTGCTACAGACATTGTAGGTTAAAGCATTTGTTCTTTTTCTTTTTGTCATAAAAATGACATAGATTTTCATTACAGTACGACTATTTGTTTTTTTTTTTTTTTTTTTTTTTAAATGTCCTTAGTGAAAAGATTTAAAAGTTATTCTATAATTAGTTTGATAAATCGATGTATGCTCTTTAATAAAACATTGAATCAAATATTTAAATTCTAATTGAGATGAAATTTGAATCCATTGATTTTTTTATGCATTCGGACAATTTAACGCTCGCTTCAACTTAAATTGGTGTCGGTGAAAAAATAATGACTTCAAAGAATTTATAAACCAGAAATATGTCACGTAAATATTTTTTAATGTCTAGTATTGATGAAACTTTTATATCTTTGTGCTATTCTACTTAAAAAAAAAAAATTCGTTAAATTTAAGTCGACAATCAGATATCACACTATCTTTAGTTAAATGTCAGTTTAAATTGTGACATTTTCTTGTGCCGCTTGGGGCAATTCACAATCAGAAGAAAAAAAAAAATTTCTTGATGGGATTTTTTTTAATGATTTTTATGTAACAATTTATTTTAATACATTTGTCAATATTAAATTTTATAATTTTAACGACGCAAATTAAAAAAATTTTGAAATTAGTCCGTAAAACTTCAATTTAATTCTAACTTTTTCGTGAAAAGCAAAACTATTTATTCAAGTGCTCTTTTATCCCGTGAAATTTTACAAATAATGACCTTGCATTGAGCAAACAGGGCCACAAAAACTAAAACTTTTATTTTAGTATATAAAAAAATGTTTTATTATTTAAATTTGATAAATAAAAAAGTTTCATTAAAATCAAATGAAAAATCCTTTTTTACGATATTAAAAAACTGATGAAAAATAAAATATTAAACTTATTAAAGTTCAGAGTGCAAAATTAAGCCCCTGATTTCTCTCTATAAATAAATGCGAAAAAAAAGTGAAACGAGAAGAAAGTAAAATGTGAATAAATAAATAGATTAAATTGAAAAAAGAAAAAAAAAAAAGGGCGATTGATGTTTGACTATTGAAAAAGCGAGATTGAAGAGTGATATGAAAAGTAATAGTAATATTAATAGCAATGAATTATTTTTTAGAATGATTTAAAAGATGAAAGACGGCGAGCACAAATGGCTGCAGCCCGGCAAGTACTTGAGCGAAGCACAATGATGCTTTTGACGTCAAGTAAAGCTTGTTTACGGCATCCCGAGTGTACCTCGGCTAAAGAAAACCGAGATACGGTATTTTGCCAAATGAGAAGGGCCATGGACTTGATTCATTATGTCGTGAAGGACGGAGTGCTTGACTGCAATGAATCTCAGTCTTACTCAAACGCACAGGTTTGTTATACTGCCCTGTTATATGTCGTACGTCTCGAGTGTCGAGCTTGTAATTTTGCCTCCTGCTGTCACACCCTCCAAACCACACCCTCTCTCATTAAAGCTCCCATCTTCACAACTATTACTATTCGCCCTCCAGTCGTATTTTTAATTTGTTTAAATTTAAATTTTTAGTATTTTCAATTATTAAAACATCGGATCACATCCCCGGCAATTAACTTTATCTCACCCCGAGTGACGAACTCATGAATTATTTATTTATCTTTTACGTTCAATTTAAAATCTAGGCAATAAAAATTTTCATTATTCCCATTATTACCTTTTATATTACACCTTCAATAGGTGGGTTGAAAAATAATTTTTTTTATTGCCTCGAGATACAAATGGTAGCTCATAATAAAAATTTTTTTACTTTTAATATCTTGTGTCCTAAAAATTTTTATATTTATATTTTTTTTTATTTTTTTTCCTCAGAGTCCTCAGCAACAAGATTGGGACAGCAGTACAGTCAGTTCAGCGCTAAAAAATTTTGAACGCATGGTTGAGACCACTAGAATGACGTTAAATTTACCTGAGTGTAGAGAAACGTTGACTTCAACGATTGACACAGTAGTTGAGAGGACACAAGACTTTACGGATAGCGCGTACACGAGTCATGAGCATCGCGAAAATATTTTACTGCTTTGTGATCGAGTGAAACTTGAACTAAATTCACTTTTGAGAGTTGGCAATAGCATGGTAAGTTTGCATTTTTATTATTCAGTGTTAATATAAAAATTTTAATCATTGATGATAATTTTTATAGCAAAACTATGAAAGCGGACCAACATCACCGAATTCGGAATTAGATCAAGCGGTGTTGGGAGTATTAAAAGCCACACGTGATTTACGGTTGCAATTAGCGACCACGACAATGGAACAGGCTGGTGATCTTGGACAAGTTACTAAAGCCGGACAAGAATTAGTATCGACAATTCGTAATCTCGCTTTAGCCAGTGAAATTGACAGATTACAGGAGAGTAGCGATCGATTCCACGAGTACATTGAGCATATTCTCGAAGTAAATATTTTTTTTTTGTTTTTTTATATCAGTAGGATCTATAAAAACACCAAGTAATATCTCAAAAAAAGAATTACATCCTTTTTTACGACGGAGAGCATCAAAAGTCAGACTATTCGGTATTTTTATTTCTTTTTAAATAAAAATGTTGCAATATAAATTTTATATTAGAAGTTAGTAATATTTAAGATATGTACATAAAATTTAAAAAATTTTTTATAATACAAACAAAATTTAGTTAATAATTTACTATTTTGATGTTTGCTATTTTTGAAAAATAAATTAACGAGATCTTTACTTAAAATTAGTCCCAAAATAATTTCTTGTTTTCAATTTTCTAATAAAAATTTTTTAATTTAATAAATAATAATAATAATTTAATTCAATTTATAACGTAGGTGTGTAAATTATTAAGACACATTGCACTGTCAGAATCATTACAAGTATCAGCGAAATTCACCGAAATAAACTTGCGTATTTACGGACCGCAAGTTGTTACCGCAGCTCATACATTGGCTCGTTATCCCACAAGCAAAATAGCCAAAGAAAACCTCGAGGTGTTTGCTGACATGTGGCAATGGCTTATGTCTGATGTGACAACTGTGGCCAAAGACGTGCTAGAGCTCTGTCAAAGTCGCCCGGAAAAGCAAGTTTACATGTCATTACCGCGTCCAGGCGTAAGTTTACCCCTAACGAGCTTTTATTTAAGATCTATGCATTTTTATCTAATTTATTATCTCTCATCCTAGAAACACGGAACAACAAGCAAGCCATTGAAGCCAGTGCGACTAGACAGCGAAGAGCAAGCGAAAATCGCCAAAGCTGGGCTGGAAATGAAGTTGATCACCTCGGAGATGGATGCAGAGACGGAAAAGTGGCAGGAGAGCGGAAACTCACAGCTAGAAGAAAATAACGACATCGTGAAACGGGCAAAAAATATGTCTTCCATGGCCTTCTCGATGTACCAGTTTACACGCGGAGAAGGTGCACTAAAAACTACCCAGGACCTGTTCACCCAGGCAGAGTACTTCGCCGAGGAGGCTAATCGTTTGTACAAAGTCGTGAGACAATTTAGTTACCAGGTCCCTGGTGGCCCCAATAAGAAAGACCTGCTGGAGAATCTCGATCGGGTGCCGACTTATGTCCAGCAGCTTCAATTTACTGTGAAAAATCCGACTGTTGGAAAAGCCGCGACCTTTACTAAAGTTGACAATGTTATACAGGAGACGAAGAATCTTATGAATATCATATCAAAAGTGGTTACTACCTGCTTCGAATGCGCAACAAAGGTAATTTTTTTTTTTTTACTATTATTATTATTATTAATTTTCAGATCCTTGATATTTATGGTTGATAAATTTTCGATAAAAATTAATTTAGCACATATTTAATAATTTTAATAATTTTTTTAGCAAATAAATTCTAGCCCAAAAAAATAAAAAAAAATTGACATGTAGAAATTTTAAAAAATTAAAAATGCAATTTTTTAAAATAATATTTTTTCTAAAAATTTATCAATTATCAATATCTCGCTAGAAAATTTCTTATATTACTAAATTATGAGTTATGCTAATATAACATACTTATTTTTATAAAATAGAAATAAAAATAAGCAAATATTAACAAAGTTATAGTCAAAAATGAATTTAAGTTAAAATCGGAATCAATATCAATAAAAACGGAAATTAGACGTATAACAGAGAAGTTATTAGTACTTATAAGCCCAACGACGGTCTTTAAAATTATGATATACGGAAAACGATTGAGGGTTTGAGTAGTTGAGTGAGAACGGCAATTACCATTTTATTGTTTGTTTCAAGTAACGATTGGACTATTATATTCAATGCAATAATTCCGCAACTTGACCTATATGGGCTCTAAAATTAATTTATACATGTTTCGACGAAATTAAGCTTATTAAAGTCAAGAGTAAATACCTTTTCAACTGTAAATTCACTTTGAAAAAGTTCACCAATTAGAAGAGTTTTGATTATTTGACTACAAATAGAACATAGGACGTGAGATCCAATTGACGGTTAGAATAACTTTGCTTATCCTGTTGCCCTCGTTGCTTTGTTTTTTGACGTCAATAATTGGAAGCTATAAAAAGACGCGAGTATAAATTGAGACCGTTTCAACGAGATCAGATGTCATTACTTTGGCGCAATTTAAAATTTATAGTTCTGCAAAATTAAGTTATAAATAATTAATTAGAGTTAGTTTCTTGATAAGATACACAAATAAAAAAAAATAATAATTATGAATTAAAAATTGAAAGTATGTTATCATTTTTTACGCAAAGAAGAAAAGATAAATTTATTTTTATGGATTCATACAAAAACTACAATTTTCACGGGTATAAAGATAATCTACTAACATTTTATCGCAACCGGATGAGTATAAATAGTAAAATAATGGAGACGGAAAATATCAACATCTATTTTTCTAGTCCAAATAGTTCTATTTTTCTATTGTTCTATCAGCGTAATTTTTGATAAATGTATAAAAAAATAATTCTAATTAACAAATTGATCAGATTTTATTATTATTATTATTTTTTTTTTCAAACAATTGAATCGAGAATAAAAATACATATTTTTTTTTTTTTTTTTAGTACAATCTAGATTTCCGCGGATTATCAGCCCGAGGGTCTGGTGGATCACCCTACCGAGGAGGTGACAATTCCGGAGATGGAGACGGTACCGGAGTTGGAGCTGATGGCAGCAAAAGTGGATCAGCCCCCGGCAGCGACCCGTCTGTCTGACAGTTTGGTATGGCCCGACGGGCCAAAGGAGACACACGGCGAACACGAGTTTCCTTTTTGTTATTTTAAACAAATCGGAAATTTCGTCATTGTTGTCTTTCCACCATTCAGCTTCCGTCTTCTCAGGCTCCGTTTATTTATCGTTATACCTTTGGGTTATACTCAATTATTAATTAATATTCGATTCGGTATAAATTACATTTAATTCGTAGCTATAAGCAGATAATTTATTTAATTTTTAATTACAATTAGTTATAAGCTGTTATTTATTACTCTTAGTTAATTTATTTTAATTTCAATCAAAATTTATCTGTTCGGTCAATCTGATTAATGTTAACGATTGTTTACTAATTCGAGTCGCCTGCGAGCTACATAACATTCATAAAACTTAATAATTAATGATAATTAGGTTTTTTTAATCATTGTTCACTCCGAGCATGGCTAGATTGACTAGATAGGCGCAATTAGTTTTTAATAAATAGCTATAACTAACAAATTTCACGGGACGATCAGTGATACGACGTCGGTGGTCACATAATAATGATAATGATATTAATAAACGATAACAAACAACAAATTGTAACATTAATAACAATAATTTTTTTGTAATCTGTACAATTAATATTTAACTGTCTTTCAAAGCATAAATGAATTTTTTTTTTGTTTATAAATCTATTGATATTAAATTTCAATATCAATTTTTTTATAAATATACGAGTGAAAAAAAAGATATAATTGAGTTTGTAAAAATTTTTTATTGACACACTTCTTAAATATCAGGAAGATATTTTGTGTATAAAAAGTATAATTTAGTGAAAATAATAAATATTTTTCACAGTAAAAAAAAATACAGATAAAATGGAGTGCTCGGATGTAATATTGTTTTTTTTTTTTATAAAAATACATGTAGGGTAAGAGAACAAACTAATGTATTTCCGGAATTTTTATTCAAAAAAATACAAAATATCTCTTTTGAGGTATTGTTATGTTTAGGTATTCGACTGCTCTACCGAGCTAGCGAGTTTGGTGAGCCAAATATGATGAACGCATTTATTTCATTCCACATTGTCTCGAAATATTCCGAATTACTCTTCTACATTTTTTTTTAAACTGAAAAGTTTTATTTATTTTTAGTTACATTTAAAAATTCTAAAGATTATTTTCTGCCCATTTTTATTGAGCCGCTCCATTTTGTTTGAACAGAAAATAAATTTATATCAATAAATTTTGTCCCTGTTACCCGTAAAAGTAATAGTAATAACCCAAATTTAATGTATTTTATTTTGAAAAGAGCAACTGGATAATAAAATACCGTAGTACTATAAATTGGTCTAGCAAAAAGAAACTAAAAAAACAAATTTGTATACAAAAAGTTGCTCAACTAAAAGTAGCTTAGGACCTCGCGTTACGTAAGCTTAAAAGTAAAGCCGTGGTGGTTGCTATGAATTCTTAAAAAGAAAAGTTACTTTTAACCGTTTGCTTGCTTCCGATAAAATAATGATAATAAAATTAGTTTGTAGATTTATTTGGATGGCGAAATAACAAATCTACACAAATACGCAACACATTGAAATATTTTGACAATTAAATTGAATTTAAAAACTTTCTATTGACTTGAATTTAAAAATTTTAATTGATCAACAATTCTTTTTTGAGCTTTTTATTAATTGATAATTAATTATAATGGAACATTTAACGCATATTATTAGCCGTCCATAAATGGATCTAGTAATTAAAGATAAAATAATAATTTATTTGAATAAAACAGTCATTTAAAAATTAATATATTAATTACTTATATATATATATTTATTGTAATATTATTGTATTGTATTATATAAATTTTGAAAGGCAATCACCGATTATATTAAACGCAAGATTGATTGAATGATAATCAATAACAGTAAAGGGGCAACTCTCATTTTATTGTCTAAGACACCACGAAAACTTAAACTCAAAGTTAATGATATTGTAATAATAATTTTAATAATAATAATAAACAAATATATGAATAATAATGTACATGACGATCAGAGAGCACTAATTAGAATGTCACACACAAATATACACGACCAAGATTTTTTAATGAGACATTTAATGTGAAGTAGAAAAAAAAAAAAAAAAAAACAAATAATGAAAATTATAATTTTTTTCCAATGGATTTAAAGTAATAAGAATTTATATATTTGAATGACGACTGAATTTGAATGATTTAATGAATCAGACGAACCGAACTACTGATTAATTAAAAATGAAAAGATATAAAAATGATAATAAATTATAAAATAATAATTAGTTTAAAATAATTACGAATTTATGTAATTCTGTGAAAGTAGCTGAGCAGCAGTGCCGATTCAAAAATTTTATTTAGATAAAAAAATTATAAATGATAATTAACTTAAATTTACTGAACAAATACAATTGTCTGAGCTTTTTTTTTTAAGACTTTTAAATATTTGTAAGTAAATTATTTAATAACAAATATTTATAATTAACAAGATTTAAATCACTGAAATGATATTAATAATATTTGAATTTTCATGTTTAATATTGTTATTATATGGGTAATTAGTTAGGTCGTTTAATCCTATGGTGCGAAAGTAAATTCACTAGTAAATTTGTAGTTGATCAATAGTTTAAATTTAACTTTTTAGGTACTTTAGTTACTTACTTTTATCTAATCAATTTATAAAAATCGACAAATACACGTTTTTGAACTTTATCTTTCCATAATAACTATTACTTTATCTAATAGGCTGGAAAAAGTTTGATCATTGTAATGTAATTTTGATATTGATTTTCAAAAGTATTTGATGACAATTTTTTGTTTAAAAATCAGTTAAAGGCAAAAAACATAAAAAGTTTAAAAATAATTTTTTCCAGTTAAAAAAAAAAAATTTTGTAATAATGATCAAAAATTTTTTGGCTGATTATAGAAATCTAAACATAAAAAAGTACTCTACATTGTACGGCCTAACGTCTAGATTATTCAAACTAAATATCTCAATTCTTAGCTATCAAAAAATTCATAAACTAAATAAATGTATAATCGACAATGTAAATGAGAATTTGGTAGGGATAGAGTGTAAAATAACTGTAGATTTATTATTTGGAGCACAAATAATTTTCGTATAACTGAGATAATAACTAAAAGCTAATTTTTGAACGTATATAACTATCGATTATTATTTAATAAATTTATCTGCGCATATAATTAAATGTAAATTGAAGCAATAATGAAGCTCACTTTCAAAATGTATGTAAACACAATATACGCTTATCATTAATCGTTTGTAAGTATATAATAAAATAATAATTAATAGATAATCGGTAATTAATATACGATTCGATATTGTGCACCACTCGATTGATTGAATTAGAAAAAAACATTGTTATTATCATTATTTTAAAATCCTAAGGCACTATTATTGATATTTAAAAAGTGACGAATGTGCCTTATAAGTTTTATATGCGACAAAATAGATTTCATTAGATTATTTATTTAGATTATTATTTTACATTCTATAAAATCAAATTCTCGTTTTTTATTTATATAAAACAGTAATAAAAATAATTTTTCAAGTAATATTAATATAAATAAAGTAATAAAAACAAATGAATAATTATTAAATAAAAATCCACAATTTGGAAGCCTCGATTCAACGCAAAAGTATTAAATAAATAATTAATAATAATATTTATGCTAATAATAATAAAAATTTACGTTATTGTTGTGCAGACTGATGAAACAAATGTTTATAAACATATAAATATAATAATAATAAAATAATAACAAAGAATAATTGTAGTAAAATATTTCTTCTTGTTATTATCTATACATTAGTGATATTAAAACAAATATCTGGGGGTATAAATATTTTACGTTTCCATTAGTGCGTAATCGGTTAATGCAAAATAATGTCGGCGAAAGAAGATGAAAATAATAAACTTAAAAAATTAGATGGAAATGTGGATTTAAAATAATGTATGAGATAAAGTTAATAGCTGCGAATTTGAAACTACAAAAAAACACCAATATTAATACTAAAAAAAAATATAATCTTTCACTTCTTCTCTTCTCGTTTTTTCTGTCTACATATATCAATATTAATATACATACATACAAAAACATACATGTATAATATATCAACATGATAACTTAAAAATTTTTATTTCTAAAATTAATTAAAATAAACGCAATACGTAACATCTAGTGTTCATTCTGCATGATTTGTGAAAACTTTCTCTGATAATGATAATAAAAACAAAAATAAATAAATAATTAAAAATCTGTTATTGCAAATTATTTGAATTATTACTTATCCTTTGTATCCCTGTAATTTTTTATAATAAAATATTCTAATGATAATTTTTTTTTTCTGGAAAAATTAATCATTAGACGACTTTTTAAAGTTTTTTATTAAATTTTTAAGAAAATTGATTACAGATTTTAATTTAATAAAAAAAAATAATTTATGAATAATCTTTTATATTATATTAGCCGAATTTGAAAAGTTCAAAGTAATTTTATTTAACAACTAACGAGTTTCTTAAGCGACCGCAAAATTATTCCAATAAAATTTATTGTTAAGCCGAGATTAATTCCAACCGATAAATTTGGAAGACAATTTAAATAAAAAATTATTTCTAGTTCACGGTATCTTCCGACAAATCTACCAATTTGAACGAATTTAACGGCAATTCCAAGGATTTATCAAGATTTAAATCTACTTAACTTTCAGCTCAATCAGATAACATATTTCATGTTATAAAAAAAAGTTTGAAATCTTTTTTTCCACTTTATTTTCTAGCTCAACTCGATAACTTGATACGTACCGATATTTACTGGAGTGTATGCCTGAATTTGTTGCCAAAAATTATTTAAATCAGTAAATCTGTTTAACAAATATCACAATTACATCCATGAGTACTTCGACGTATATCAATATCCTTGATTTTATAGTTCAAGAAATTTTATAATTCAAATCATAAGACAACTTTATTTTCACCGTAAAAATATTTATATTTTCATTATTATTTTTTTTATTATAACCAATTGAATAGCCATTCTTTATTGAATGCTTCATAAATTATTTTTCCAATTACTTACGAGAAATATTCAATAATAATATAACTTAAAAATTTTTAAGTTACAATTAGCTTACAATATTGCGCCTAAGCTTAATTAAATTTTTTCCAAGTACTTGAATATCAAACTTTTTTTTTTAATTTTCAATATTTTTTAATCAAAAATACCTCACAGCAGGACAATCAATCTTTTGACAGCTCTAATAAAATACTCAGTATGAAAATTTCAAAACAAATAGTATATATATATATATTCATGCTAATCATTGTTCGCATACCAATTAATTTGTATCACATCAGTTACAAATCAATATTCCGCCTATTACTTTGAATAGATATAATTAGTTTTACGAATTCAATGACCTCAATTAGTAATTCAAACTCAATATAGACGGTCAAAAATTTCAATATGAGATTATACTTTTAGATATCCCTTAGGAGAGATCAAAAATTGATATGAATCCCATTTACTACCTCGTTTAAAAAAGTAAAATGTAAATTCACTTACTCTTTAACCAAGTAATAAAAATTTTTTATCAGTCAAGTAAAAAATTTTTCAATAAATATTTTGAGACTTATAATTATTAAATTATTTTTTTTTTTTATCTTCATACTTACTTTATTTTTGTAACTAATAAAGTGAGATGGGAACAAGTGGAAGAGGCAGAGTAATTAAGAAAGAAAAAAAATTAGAGAAAAATAAACTAAGCTTTATTCTTTTACATATTATGTAGCAGGCAGTATGAATGAGTAGTCGCACGCCGATGATGTATTAGGATATTATGCCGTAATAATGACACAATTATTAATTTAATTATTATTATCATTATCGTTATCGTTATAATTATAATTACGAATAATAATAAAAAGGATGCAAATTTATGTATAACTGAATACCAGGAAGAGAAGATGCGATTATTAATCCTTGGTTCGCCCGAATAATTATCCGGGTCTTTAGCATTGTGTCTCCCTTCCGAAAAGTGAGTTGCAGCGAAGGGGGACAAGGGATCCCCCGCCGTGCGTCACGTTATAAGTGACATTAATTTATAAAGATTCGTAATTGTTGCCGCGTCGTTTGGCCTCAGTCTCAGCGCTTGCCGATATGCTGCTACGGCCTGACGGTACTTGCCGTTTAAATGCAATATTGCGCCTAAATTTGTGTGGCTTCCTGCTTCGTGCGGTCTTAAACTTGTCGCGTGTTTATACCATACTTCAGCGTCTTCGTCTCGTCCCGCTTGATGCAATGCTGCCGCTGCAGCTACCGTCAATTCATAATTTGATCTTGAAAGCTCGGCTGCTTTTACTTGTTCTCGTGCTGCTTCCGACAATCGTCCTTGAGATGATAGAAATACTCCTGTTCAAAAAATTTATTATTGTTATTATCTATTAATATAAGGAAGAGAATCAGAAAAATTGTCTTCGGTATATTTATATGATAAAATGGATTTTTTTTTTTTTTTTTTTTAATAAATTTAATATCAAATATTTTTTCAAAGTTTTAAATTACTTTCAGCGATAGTTAATTTGTTACAAATTTTCGGTTTGGTTATAAATATAATTTTATTTGTACATATCAATGTCTTTATATAGAAAATATTAATCCGTATAATTGAGCTTTCTCGGGGTTTGATATTTTACCGATCATAGCTAATTTATCTTATAAATGATTGATAGATAGAAATAACATTTTTTAACGGGGATATTTTTTATTTAAAAATTATTTTTATAGTTTAATTTGGTATCATCAGAAAGGTTTTGACTTAAATTTGAGCTTTTTTATGTTTTGGTATATTTTTTACTGATAATCAGTTTTTAATATCAAGTTTTTGGAGTTTTTAATAGTTAATTTTATGAAATTGTTTCGTCAAATTTTCCATTAAATTATTAATAATTAATCCTGTCATAGCAATATCACTTTAAAAATTTATTTTAAATCATCTATATTATTGTGATTAAAAAATTTCTGAGGCAAAATTTTTTTTAATCATAATATAATTTGTAATTCTTGGCATAGTTATATAATTACCTCAGATTGGTATTCATTATTATTATAATGAAAAATAAAATATAAAGAGCTTTTTTTTTTCATTAATAGTATTATTTTATGAAGTAATTGGCAATTATTGTAACTATTTAACAAGTTCAATTAATTAGCCCCATCAAGTAATACGATAATAACAAATTATGATGCACAGTGGACCGAGAATACCAGCAGCAAAAACATTAATTGAATTTAATGAGAGCCCTTGTACGTTAACTTTTAACTTAAATTTTTCACAGAATAAAACACACTCTTATGATAAAATGAAAATAATTTTGACTAATTAAAAGTAAATTTTTCATAGTTAAATTTTATAAATTCTCATAAAATGAATAATTATTTAATTAGCAAAAAATTTACCATAGCGATGATGAACATTCGGATCATCTGGAGCGAGCCTTGTTGCTTTAATAAACCATCTCTCGGCTTCAAGAACTCTGCTCGACTGTAAATTATTAATTAGCATTAGCGTATATTTCAGCGTCTAATGGATGTTTATGTATATTAATTCAATCCTGGATCAGTCATAATAAAACTACTAAATCTTACATTTCTTGCTAACAACTCTCCGTAGGTAATGTGCGCTGGTACGAAATTGGGCTCACGAATTAAACATCTACGGAACCACCGCTCAGCTTCTGCATACTCTTGCATTTTTAGTAGAGTCTCGCCCAACAGATTGTATAGTGTCTAATTAATTCAAATAATATATCATTAAAATTGTACATTGTGATAAGCAAATAATTATGCAATTTTTCTTAATTTTATATACAAATAATAACACCACGCAAAAGTGTAATTTTTTGGGAAAAAAAAAAAAAAAAAAAGTTCTTAATATCTTTCGTACAAAAATTTTCCCTCGTATATCTAGAAATAAAAAATATCTGCTATTAAATTGTTGTTCCGATAAAAAATCCTTTACTCTTAAATTCACTCGCGATATTTCAAACTCAATTTTGAAATAAATCTGTTACCTTGTAAATCGAAGTATTCAACTAGCGTATCGGTAAAAAATTTACTTTAAATGTTAAAAATCATTTTTTATGTTTCAACTCGTGAATTCAGTTGCTATAAACCTTTTTTATGTACTGTAAATATGAGAATCCGTAAAAAAACTATCATACGAACTCGAAAAAAAAAAAAATTGTCCGAGCTGTCATAAAAAATATACTTTGTGTAGTATAAAAAGTATTTACCAGCAAAATGACAGAGTTTACAAGAATTAAATATTTTTCTAGTCAATCTGCAGGTGAACGAAAAAAAATTAGCATCAAACATGTCGGAGAAAATTATAAACTGATGTAAAACTTTTTTTTTCCATTTTTGAATGTCTAATAAAAACATTTAACTATAATTATAATGCAAACTATTTATCCATCAAAAATGAAACGATCAAAGAAATAATTAAGAGAGAATTCAGTCAACTTTCCTTCTTATTAAACGATTCTTTTCTTCTTTGGATTTATTAATGAGTTTTATCTCGAGGTAAATATAAATAAAATATTTAGTAAATTTGTATAAAAAGAGAATTATAATTTTTATAATAACTTAAGTTGTTTTTTTAATCACTAGTACTTAATAAATATTATTGATTATCCGCCATATTGAAGTGCATTATTGAGCGACTTGTTCAGTGAACTAACATTATTTAATTACTCTCTACATAATTTAGATTTTCATCGTGATTGCATAACCCAAATACTCTATTACTATTTGATCGACTCGCAGAACTTTAATTATAATTTATTTTTTCGAGCTCCTAGCTAGTAAATTAAAATATGAATGTTCATTTACTGGCTGTCACCTTATTTTTCCTGGTATTTAATCTCTTGATATTTTAATTATAAATTTTGACTGATTTAGGCGTGACCCAAAAATCTCGCAATTACTTTTTTTTTTTTATAATTATTACCGAGTGTTTTAATTATAAAATATCCTAATATTATGAGAAAACATTTTTTTCCAAAAATATTTTTCATTTAACTCCTAATAAAATAAAAAAAAAAAAAATAAGTAAAAGTACTTGAAAAAGTTTATAAATCAATAAAACGTTGTACAAAAATTATAATTAAAAATAAACGTTAATACCGCTAAGAAACTGTAAAAATACTTTGTTGTAATTAAGTATGAATACAAAACAGTAATTATGATTGAAAAAAAAAAAAAAAAAAAACCAACGCTTTTATTTTTCATTTTACGAATTACTTTTTGAACGTCAAAGACCTTCAAGAGTGCAATAAAAATAAAATAATTAATTTGATGAAAAAAGTATTCAAAATAGTCCAAATCAGGTAGAGATTGAATTTAATAATAAATCTGTGCATGAGTAGCAAATGGAATGGCCTAATCCAACCACATATATATATAATAGATAATAGACATATATATGGTATAAAATATAGGAGGTACTATGCAGGAGCATAACTGGCACATAAACTTAAATTATTGATTAGTTAATTAATCTTGAATAGAGTTGGTAGATTGTTGAGATAAAGGCATAAACCTACTTGTGGAGGATAATAATCAGGTAATGCTTGCAGAGCTTCTCGATAAGACGACAGGGCTTCGTGGAGATGCCCTTCGTCAGCATACAAAGCGCCTAGACGTAACAATGCCTGTATTCTCGATGCCTCGTGGACCCTTTTGTCCTTTAACCCTGCACCATTTACTGCCGCCGCTGTACGTAATATATCCGCAGCTTCGGATTTTCTGCCCACTGATATAAGAGTTACGCCGAGATTTACATAAGCTTCTGCAAATAAACCCACAAGTAAATTTACTGTTGATAAATAAAAATATAAAGTATAACTGAGTTTTAACTGAGAACTCAACAAGTTTTTAAAGTTTAATGATAACTTTTTTAATGCCATATATATTTTAAATTTTAATACGTACGAATAAGTGATGGCCGGAAGTGGATTGCACGCTCGTAACTTAAAATAGCTTCATCGTAATTTCTTCTCGCTTGTTGCAGTATCCCCCTTTTAAATAAAAAAATCACTATCAAACACTTCAATAATTTAATGTAGTTTTGAGAGAACTGAAAACTTTATTTAGTGTATACTTTTTTAATGAGACATTTTAATAGTAAGCTATCGATTTATAAATCTACAAATTCTAAGCTCTTATCCAGTTTAATGACTGGATTTTTTTTCTCATATTTTTCATATTTTATACAGAGTGAAATTTTTTATGCAGAAGATATAAATGTTGCAAGAATTTTAAAAATCGCTTTCATATAAATAGCTTACAGATTGTAGTGAACGTCCGCCATGTTAGGGCGATAACGAAGAGCTTGGATGAACGCTTCTTCAGCTTCAGCGAATCGTCCTTGTGCGCTTAATATCCCACCAAGATTCCCGTAGGCTATAAAGAAGAAAATATAAATAGTTATTAATTTAAAAGTATCTCATTTTTATACCTGACATATATTTTTTTTTTAGTCCAATAGTCTTTTATTTATTTATTTATTTTATTATAACGCTAAAATTCAAACTGAATGCGTGGATTTTATTTAAATACATATTTACTCTGATAACGTAGTTTTAATATTTAAATGCATTTAATGGATGATTTTTTTTTTTTTTTTTTTTGTGTAAAATTGAGAAAATAAAGTATTCATTAAAGGATTAATATTTTAACGAAGTAATATGAGAATATTAAAATTTATAAATGAAAAGCAAGGAGATATAAAAATAATCAGTTCAGAATTAATTAATCTAATAAAACTGTCTGTCTGTCTGTTTTTTAGAAATTTTTACTAAAACGTATAAAATTAATTCTTCTATTTACAATTTACGTCAGGTGAAAATATAAAAATAAATTGGACCTTTGTCCTGGATGATTTCTCAATTGACATTTTTACATCGAGGGACATTAAAAATTCATCGAAAAGGATTATTGCCGACTTTCAATTTTACACATGTCAAAAAATCAAGTTACTTTGAATAGAGCTATGTGAAATTTTATATTTTTTGTGAGATCAATGAATTTTGATCCAAAAATAAATTATTTGTAATAAAAATTTTTATTACTATGAGAATATTGTAACTAAAAAAATAAACTTTTTAGAATTACAAGTCACAATTGGAAAAATGAATTATTAAAAAATCCCCTAACTGACCCTTTATCAATAAATATTAATACTTTTTATTGTATATACTTAAATTTAATAAACTAAAAATATTTATAAGTAAGTATATACCTTTAGGCGGATTAACGTGTAGCGCAGATCTATAGAGACTCTCTTCGTCATGCCAGTCCATATTGCGTCTTAAAGTTTTAGCAGCCATGAACCCCAGCAATACGGCGGTAACAACAAGAATCAATCTACCGCATGTTTTAGATCCGTGGCGAACGATCCGATAAGTTTCAGCAACACTGGCGCCGATAGACAGACAGGCGCCGACACTAGGTAAATAAAGTATACGCTCGGCAATGACAAAACCAACGTAAAAGAACAAATTGCTGGCGGGTAAAAATGGAAGCGCTAGGAAACCCAGTGATATGATGACAATGCTGACGGCTGATTTAGTGGTACGGCCAAATGGTGTGTTGGTATAATCGCTGCCAGCGGAGGCATTGGTGAGACCGACACCCCAGCTACCAGATGCCAAACTTGTGTGGGAAGAATGCAGGATCGGTTTAACTGTTGAACAGCAGCAATCATTGCTGTCGCTGTTGTTGTTATTGTTCGCCGCGCGACAGCCTTCGGTGTGACAATTTCCCGACTTTTTTCCATCGCAGACCGAGCACTTTGAGGAGGCGCGCTGGTATGATCCTATTTTCTCCATCGTTCGGTTGCGTACGTAAACTTCATTTGAATTAAAGTTCAAGTTTGCACTGGAATTGGAATTGGAATTGGGGCTGGTATTGGTATAGTTTTGACCGGAATTCCCGGAGGCATTTCTTGACTGGTGTATCAGCCACAGTCCAGCGCTGGCCAGCCCCACGTACAGGCATATTGACTCAAGATTCCGTGGATCCGTAAGAGTTATTATCCGCGGGATGGTATCCATTGACCAGTCAAAGCTCAGAGTACTAGGACAGAGGAACATACGGAAGCTAGCCGCTGGCAAGTAAAGGAATGTCAAGGCTCGTGTCAGTCTTGATGGATTTCGAGCCGTTGGATTGTCGGCAGTCGCAAATTCCGGGGTGTTGGCATTCCCGATCTTTACTCGTCCGAGTATCACTAGTATCAGGCCGCCCCACAGGATTCCGACGCTCCGATTTCGAGGCCAGTTTTTTTCTCGCTCCTGTAATTTAAAGTTTTGTGGTTTTTTTTTTTTTTTATTTATTTTTAGTTTTTGGTACCAATTAACGAAAAACTTTAGAAAGTTTGCATTCAATAGATGTTTCATTTTATTTTTATGATCATTATAGTTTGTAGTAAAGGTAAACTTTACTCTAATTTCTTCCCCCACATCTACCATCTATAAATTTTTTTCATACATGTATATTTGTAAAATGTATTTTTTTATAAAAATAGATATTAATAAATAAATATGTGTCGAACTTTTCTTTGAATTTTATCTTTACTTGCCACGAGATTGTATGTAAATATTTAATCATTGATAATTACGTTTTATGAAGATGGATAATATTAAAAAAAAAGTAACATAAAATTACAAAATTAGAATGTTAAAAAGTACGACAAGACCGATAAAAGTTAAAGTTTTAAAAAATACATAACTGTATATTTAATGATGTTCAAAATATTGGCATTATTTATTTATTAAGTTAAATAAAAATGTTGTTTGATAAAAAAAATTCAATCACTGCAAATAATTGATATAAATTAAACCAAAAATTATTTTTTAGTTCAAGAATTTTTTTGCTTGTTCAAAATAATCAAGCTCTTCAAAATTTTGTTCTTAGTTCAAGATTTTTTTGTCTAGAATCAAGCTAATTTTTTTATCAGTCTATTCAACAACATTCAATTTCTGAATGCCTTTTTATAGACTCATTAGACTTTCTAATTACAAATTAGTACAAATAATATTGAATTATGACTGTAATATTTCATTTGAGAAACTCGAGAATCAGCACAACTGAACGGGTTGTGCTACTCCTACATATACTCCTGTTTTTGTAAACATTAGAAAATCTTCTGTTCTTTAGGTATGCATAGCTTTGAGTTTAGAGCGAGCGAACTTCAAACCACGAAACTAATTTCTAAACTCAATAAAAGAGAAAGTTTATTAATTAATTATCGAAGCGAGCAAATATTTAGTGGACGTGGTAGGATAGTAAATCAAACGTCGTATACAGTTGTTAGATATTTACACTGAACAGTAAAATGTCCTCTATAGCTCATAGCTGTTCTCTGTGAGGGCCGAGGGAAGAAAGGGAGATAAAGTTATCCGGGTCCGGTGTGTGCATTCATCTCTGTGAGAATCGCCGAAGCGAGTAACGTATAAAGCCATGGCATACCAGTACAGAGAAAACAGCCGGGACTGAGTAGAGTCCAAGCTGGAAATATTTACCTTTTGTGTATTTGACTCGCCATGACAGAACTCCCAGAGTAAACAGAGCGCCAGTGAGGATATGCCGGTTTCCTTGGCGAACGCGGCCAGGAGAGAGGATGTCAGCGCGATGAGAAGCATTAGCGGTGAACGTGTTTGGTCGCAATGTGCCACGTAAGTGAGAAAGCCCCCGAGAGTCAGAAAGCAAGCCAACAAATCAGCCCGTCCGACTATACCGGCGACTGCCTCACTGTGGATTGGATGCACCGCAAACAGCAGCCCTGTGATGGCATGAGACAACCATCGTCCTGGAATAACCTGAAACCGTTCGTATTTGAGAGTGTTACATTATCAGTTTTATCCAGCAAATAAATATCCACTCTTACATTTTATTATCTTTATATCGTCATTTTTATATTTTACGGCAAATATTTACTTTGCTTTTCTTTGTCGTTTTTTGAAGATTTTATACTATCCGGTAATTTTATACGAATTGGATTGTATCGATCTCACAAAGCAAAGTACCGGCAGGCGCTAAATTTTATTTTTCCATCAAGACCAAATCTTCATTATTTTTTACGTTTTTTTTTTATTTAATATAAAAATCTATTTCCGGTATTTAGGAAAACTTTTAGAAAGTTGTCTACTCCAGGTAATGCAATTTCCAGTGTTTTCGTAATACCTTTCAGCTTTAAATTTCGTTTTATATTAGTTCCCCATTCGGATAAAATGTTTTTTTTTGTTTGCTAAAATTTCTAAAGCTTTTAGCCACTGTTTTCCAGTTTCAGAATTCGGATTAATTATTCGAACAATATGTAATTGTTAAAAAATTTTGCATACCAAAATATCTCGAGCTAATTAATTTTGATAAAACACTTTGTTACGTCATTACATACAAACATTGCTATGTAACACGAAATAGTTCAAAAGTTTTTGTAACTTTTGTTGATGCTTTTCATCTAGATATGGAACATGAACTGGCTGCTAGATTGAAATTATTCTTGATGTTCAATAAACAGGGATTTTACAAATAATTTATCATGTTAATTAAAATTCATTATTAAATTTTACTAATGAAAATTATAATTAATTATTAATTTACAATAATGATTTTATATTATTATTATTATTATTATTATTATTATGTTTTCAATTGTTGTTCAGTTTAAATTTACTGTGGGTTGAATTGAATGAGGATATTTATAAATTATTAATTTAAAAATATACAAGTAAAGATTAATCGATAACTTTTATCATAAAAATAATTAAATAAATCATTCATCAAGTTAATGAACGAAAATAAACTTCAAAGTTACTGAAAACCAATTATATGATCCGAGATTTTTCTCCCCAAAGAAACAAACTCAAGATACATCAATTTAATTCAAGTCCAGACTGAGCTTTGTTCACAGAAAAAAAAAAATTATTTGAACTGAATAAGATTTATTTGATCCAAAGATATCGTATACTTGGATATGGCCAAATAAATATTTATTTGTGAGAAATATACGATATATTTAAGCTATTTAATTGCGTCAAATAATTGATTTATTTGTTGTCATCAAGATATGATTTATTTGTGGTAAATAAATGATAGTTGACGCAAATAATGCATATTTTTAAATATTAAAAATTAATTGTAAACGATTGAAATTAAAATAAATTGATAAACAAAAACAGTTTCACTGTAAAAAAATCGCACCAAGTCCACGTTCATAAGACTATTAAGAAAAAAAAATTAGTTTTTTCTTTACAAAAAGATATAAAATAAAAAAATTAAAAAACCCAAGTAACCGATATGATTGTTTATGATTTACGGAAATTAAAAAAAATTTTGTTGTAAACTATCTCGTCATATTGTGCATTTCAATTTTTTTAAAGTCCTAGTAAATAAATTTTACGAATTTAATTAAAAGTAAAATATTTCGCAACAACGCACACTAAATACGTTCCAAAATTGTTTTTTTAATTTTTAAATTTACAAAAAAATTTTTTTTAATTTCCGAAAATCATAAACAATCATACCGGTTACTTGGATTTTTTAATTTTTTAATTTTATATCTTTTTGTAAAGAAAAAAAACTAATTTTTTTTTCTTAACAGTCTTATGAACGTGAACTTGGCGCGATTTTTTTACAGTGAAACTGTTTTTGTTCGGATAACATTTAAATACATCTATATCAACTTACAGAAATAAATTATGTTATTTAGAAGAAAAACATGCTTACCGTTTGCGTAACTTATAAACAGGAAGAGATTTTCGTTGTTGTTGTAAATTTAACGTATTCTTGTCATTTATAAGCTTATTTTTTTTATTTGTTTCTTTTTCAGTTATTTTATTATTCGACATTTCGCCAAAATTTACAACGGTTGGTTTTTTTAGTGTAAGTTTCATGAATTACTGTTATAATATATAATTTAGGAAAAAAAAGTAGCGTAGAATTAAATAAAATTTTGCAACCTCAAAATACCGTTCTGCTTACAGTAAACACAGTCGGTAGTCTGGCGCTCTGTTGACAACGGATTTGAACGGAACTTGGCGCCAGATTCTACCGAATCTGTGGATTTATAATTTATTTTATTAGAACAGAAATACAATTAAAAATTCAAATCACCTTTAGACATAATATGGTTGCCTTCAGCTGTAACATGCACTTTTATTGGACGAAGATAATTATTAATATTGAAAATTAAAATTTGTTCAGTTGTATTTTTATCAGGATCCTTTTAAATGATCATTTAAACCGACAGTTAAACAATTAATTAACAATTGTTCCATTGTTTCGATCACTATTATGAATTATTTAAAATTGAAAATTGAAAATTGAGAATTCATACAATAATACGCACTGTTATAAAAAAAAACAACAAACGTTTTTAATGAAAATGACGGTCACTTGAGAGTCAATTCGGGTGACGTCCGAAGAATATGCGCACGCAGTAGTTGAGAATTCAACATTTGACTGGTACCCTCAAAGATGCCGTTGTTTACCATAAACTTAGCATCTTTACCACAAATAAATGATATATTTCTGACTAATAATAAAATAATTCGAGTCAACTGTTATATTTACTTGTACCAAATATATATGGTTGTCACAAAGAAATATTTAAAAAAATGACTCAAATAAATTGATTTATTTGAGACAAAAAATTCTTTTTTTCTGTGTTGCTATTACGGTTATGGTATTTTATTACGTTAACTGAAACGACTGCTGGTGAAATCACAATACAATGAAACAACAAAAGGTCCGATATTAATTAATTACTCTCCGCAATTATTGTTTCCCTGTGTCTGACAGTCGGACTAATACAACAGCAACCGTAATAATAAAATAAAATAAAAGTTTACCTTTCTTGCCACTCGGACCACTAGGCCGGTACAAGCCGCATGTAGAGCTATGTTGACAAGGTGATAACCCTGCGGATTCAAACCGCCGAGCAGATGATTAAGCCGGAATGTGGCCACACACAGCGGACGATAACTCCCGTGTGACTCGCTGTCACGTAAAGGTGTCCCCCAAAAATCGTTTTCCAATAGAGGAAACCATGGGGAGTTCGGCAGCAGGTCTGGATTTGTCAGGATTGCTCGTCTGGAATATTTTAAGAACAGATAAGATATTTATTGTTATTATATTTATTAAATTTAGTTGATCAAAAAATTTATTATTTAAGTTTTTACGAAAAATAAAAAAGCAGCAAAGTTTTACAGCTCTGTAAATTAGGTATAAAGTATATAAAAGAGAATAATTATTGCTATGCTTTAATTAGTTGTATATTCATAAAAATTAATTAGAGCTCCTCTGTTTGAGCAGCAGAGTCTGTTGAAAAGACAATTAAATTATTAAGTTTTAACTTTAGTTAATTATTAATTAACACGGGCAGATTGAGCCATTATTATTTTGTCAAAGTTTTATCAATTAATTTAGTCAATTATTCTTTATCGAAAGTTACTCAGTTTTTATTAAGTTTTATTATAAGTGTTTATCGATTAATTTTTTCCATTAACTTTTAGAATTATACTTTTATTTTTATCAATTTTTTTCTTCATTTTTATAATCCAATTATAATGTCTGGAGTACGAACTATTATTAAGATAATTGTTAATTATCTAATAATAATAATAATTATTATTATTATTATTATTATTATTATAAAATGAGCTTAATTGATTGTGAATTTATATAGATTTTAATAATTGTCAAACTTAAAAATCATTACACATTTAAGTCACAATTTCATTACTTTTAATTACAATTCTACTTTACGGAGCGAAAATAAAGCTAGAAATTCTTTATTTCATAATAATAAATTCATAAGTCATATTCATAATTAAAGTCATAATAATGTATGGCAGTAGAGGACTATAATAATGATGATAATAAAAATACAGAGAACAATATTCACGAGTAAAATCAACAATATGAAAAAGTTGATATCATTGTTTGTGAACATGGAGTTTTTCAAGAACCGGATGCGACCGCAATATATGATATTAAAAGTAAAAAAAGCTTTTATCTATAATTAAAACTGTTTGCAAAGTATTCCTTGAAACGACACAATTTAAAAAAAACCTTTTTTAGCTTTACGGTGCTGTGTTTCGCTATAAAAATAGAACGATAAATCTTTCTACATTGTAGATAATTCATAGTTATTAACGAGAATGTCATACTGGGCAGCTTAAATCTGGAAGTAAATCCGTGATTATCGATTTTTTTGTTACTGGTCTTAATTGTATACCTCGGCTTCGTCGGCTGATTTATTTTTTGAATTTTTATTCTCAGATTATAAAAATTTTTTTTTAACAACAAAACTTTTTATTTAAAGAGAAAAATATCAGTAATTATTCCCGCCGTTATATTTGCAGAAATTACATTTATTATGTAGCCATATTGTCAGTGTAGAAAATTTGTTTTATTATTTTACAGTCTTGAATATTTGACATTTATTAAAAATTCACGAATTAAAATAAATAAAATATTCAACCGTTTCGTGAATTATTTCAGAACTAATAGTAATTTATTCAATTTCATAATAACTATTTTTCTCGAAACTTTGCAGTCAGACAAAAAAAAAAACTAGAATAAAAACACTGTGCCTTTTTTTTTTTGACTTTATATTTTGATGACTCTATTAAATTTTTTCTATACGTACGACAACATTATAAACTGAATTTGTATAGTTGTAAAGATTTTTAAACTTTACAAAAATTTCATTGTAATTTTTGCAGCTTTTACACATTAAAGTGAAAAAGCTTTATAATTATTTTTTATAGGACAAAAGTATGCGCCAATAAAGATTTGTTTTTTATGATTCTGTCTTTGTCTATGGTTATATTGTCGCGGTTTTTGAATGTCGATTGATATTTCATGTTGTGGTTATTTTGTCAGCGAATATTTGATTACTCATCAGTCCTTCAAAACTCCTGTAGAATTGCGGATGAAAATTTTTTTATCGAAAAAATTCTGTAGTCATTTACGGTAAAAAATTTTTCAATAGAAAAATTCAACATAAACTTTTGTAACTAACGCTAATGCCAAATTTTTAGGATTCAATAATATTTCAATTATTTATTTAGAATGAAAGCAACACACCATACTTGGAGTTTAAAAATTTTACAAAAAAATTCTGTTACCGAAAATTTACCTAATATATTCTGCTATAATTATTTATAATTAATTTGTAATTGATATATAAAGTACAACAGAAACCCATGTGAAATGTATATTCCTAAATTATGCTCGGTGTATGCTACACTCCACGGTTATTGATAAACCGAATGCTTCAGAGCTAAAAACAATTATTGATCATATTTTAAGAATATTTTATACGTAATTAATTGAATGTTGCAATAGCGTGCATTTTCGAATAAATAAATCATTTTAAAATATTGAATTTCATATTTATTAAAATAATTTTAAGGCGCGCAGTAGCCTATCGGATCCGGCCCTTGCTTACCAAAGCATTGGACCGGGTTCGAGTCCGGCGTACACCAATTAATATTTGCAATATTTAAGTTTATTATTCTGCTCAGCCCAAGAAATAAAACGAGTTCCAATCTCAAAAGTTTACCCCCTACCGTAGTCGCTCATGACCTTAGTAGTTTATGCGACATAACAAATATAAATAATGCTGTGAAGCGGGAAAGAATAGGAGTTACGGATAATTATTACGTGAAGCGTTCCAACATTCACGTAACAGGATATTTTGGTTGGAAAGGATTGTGGAGAGGATCATCTTAATGTGAGTTTATAGAATATGCGAGAAAAAATTATTAGATAGCTCGGACTAGAATAGAGAAAGAATAAACAAATTAAGAAAAAAAAAAAAAGTATCATGCAATAAAATAAATTAAATAATTATATTTCTTTTTTTTTTTTTAATGATGAAATAAAATATTTTATTTCAATATTTGTTACGAAAATCTCTGAATTCATTTAATTAATTTCCAACTGTTCGAATAATTTAAAAAAAAAACTATTTTAACAGTGATATGTTAATAATTTTTAAAAATTCTAATCGACATTTCAAACGAAAACTCATATCAAAGTAAAATATATTTACGGAGCTCAAGTTTTTCAAATAAAGTAAATATTTATGCAATATCTAGTAGAAAAATATTTTTAATATTTCAAATATTACTTGCTAAGTATTTGCCTGAAGGTGAATTTATTTTCTTTCAACTCAAACAGAGATCTCGGAGTTTAATTTTTCTTTGCTTGTAAACAAAATTATTATTCGATTCTTTTTCAAAGCAACCGGGTTGTTTAAATCTTTTGAGCACCGAAAATGTCAACCTATTTCAGCTTTCATATCGAAATTATCAAAACTAGATGAAATAAAATTTTTCCGTTGAACTGCACAATTGCTATCAACAAACAAGCATTTATTAATAAATAAATTCTCTTGTCTATGTCGTATTGAATTTCAATAAAAATTTCATGCTTGATTAAGTACTTATCAAAGAAAAACAATTATTTTATTTACTCTATTCCGATGGCCGTATAATTTTTGTTTGTGATATAAAATGTAAATTTCGAATTCAACGATAAATTCTGACAAAACATTTCTATCTATTCACAATTAAACAAACAAGAATATCGTTGGAAAAACAAATCTATAATATAATATTGTTTTCAATAAATTTTTTAAATTTCAATTTAATTGTTCATTTTTACACATTGTAAAAAAATAGGTTTTAATTCAATGCACAATGAAAATTTTAAATAATAAAAATCTCTTTAAATTTTTTTACAACGAGACAAAAATTAATTTGATTCAAGAGAAAAAATCTTGAACTAAGAAAATAATTTTGAAAAGTTTAATTTTTTGAATCGAGCAGAAAAATTATTGAATTAAGAAATTTTTCTCGGTTTAAGTATACTCTCCTTAATTTAAAATATTTTCTTCTTAATTTAAGAGGATACATTTTTTTAATATGATTTTTTTTGTTGAAAAAAATTGGTTTTCTCTTGAATCAAGTTAATTATTATTTATCAAAGTGAATTCTTAAAATTCAGCTAAATTAAAGCTTATTCATCTTTATTAAATTCTTCCAAGCGAAAATACATTTTAATATAAAATATTCTACATAAAATGTCATAATTAAATCATACTGATATTACATCAATAAAATCGTATAAAAGTTTTTTTTTTCCTTTTACTCATACTAAATCCATATTTCTGTCAGCATATGAATTCCCTGTGGAAGCTAGAAGAAAACTTGTCGGATAAATTCAGCTTTTTTTACATGGAAACTACATTACTTTATAAAAAATTATATTTAAAAGATTTAAGACTTTTCCAGACATATTTTAGTGATAAAATTAAATTAATAAGTAACGCGTTATGATGTTTAATAAAAAAAAAAGAAGCTAAAATGTTGAGAGAAAATAGAAACAAACTTTTAAAATTCATAATCGAAAAATATAACACCACGAGTTAAAAAATGTTGCAAAGAATTATGTTAAGTATCTGATGGGAAAGAAAATTAATAGTAGAATAATTTAGCATTATGTCACTTTACACATGCAAATGCGTGCTATTACATATTTTTATATTAATGTAAGCTCGAATTTATGAAAAGTTATACAACTAACTCATAAAAATGTTTTTACTAAAACTAAATAAATAACCGAATTATCTTCAGAGTTTTTTTTAATTTTCTTTGAACAAAGGATGAATTTTTAAACAAATTCTCAATAAAATAATTTTAGAAAATTTTCATACAATAATTTAGTACCAAGTTTTAGAAAATAAAATAAATTAAAAGTGATTACCTCACTGCAAAGTATTTATGTGTACAAACAATATGGAAATAAATCGTTTCAGTCGTTTATTTAATTAGCGAGCAATTATACAGTGTTCTATTTTCAATATTAAGCCATCCTAATTGACGTCTCTACTCAGATACATGTTGTGTTCACTTGAGCCAACAACATACCAAACACAAACATGGAAATTCTATTGTAATTGAAATTTATCATTTGTTATATTATATATTATATATCACTGAAAGTCATTATCGAATAATTATTTATCAATTTATCATAAAGGAACAAAATTAAAAAATTAAGATAAACAGTTTTAAATCATAATTGACAATTTTTGCTATCACTTTTAATTGTATACTTCTCTTAATATAAAAAATTTTTTTCTTTAATTGGGTTTATAATTAAATTAAGATATGAAATATGTTGAAACATTTTTTTATCAAAAATTCCTGAAATTCGTGCAAATAGCTATGAATTTTTTTCAAATTTATCTCAATATTCATATAAAAATTCCCTTTAATTAATTTTAATCAAGAGTATAGATACAACTTTTATCCTGATGCTCAAAAGCCCTCAAAAAAACATTGGATATTATCTTTATCTAAAATTCCATGATTTCTTTCAATATTTACTCGAATATTTCCATGAAATATAAATGATCACGAACAAAAAGCTTTTAGCTGCCATATTTTATTTAATAAACAAAAAAATTTGATACAATATCCACGGAGTAAACGGCATTGTTCTATTTTAATAAATATTTATATTTAATTCCTATAAAATTAAAAATGAATAAATATCTCTGAAAATGAAATCAAATGTATAACTGTGAAAATTAACATTCAAAAAGGGACTTAATACTCATATATTATCATGAAATTTCAGCGTTTAAAACAATGACCCGAATACATTGGGATTCATAAAGTAATAAAACAATAAACTCCTCAATAAAGCGTGCACAGTAGGGCGCAAAATTGAATAACAGTAATGAACTTTAATTCCCTTACAAAGAAACAAGCTGACTGACTCTCTGTCCTATTGATAATCAAAAGTAATTCCGAAATCCAGACAATATATATATATATATATATATATATATATATATATATATATATATATAAAATAATAAACCGCCGAACAGGATAGAGAATATTGTCGTCACATCAATCACTCTCATTACTCTTGGCGTATTAATTAATTTCGTCGTATTAATATCCATCGGAAGCATAAATTGTTAATAGTGTAATTGAATTTAGGATCGTGAATGACGACGTGATAGTAAAGTTAAAGAGTCAATTAATAATTGATGTACAAATGTCAGGCATGAAGCTATCCTCACCCACCGGTGCAATATAGCTTCACATTTATAGTGTTATAGACGAATATAGATTTAGCAGTGAGTATGAAATATAGATTGATAATTGGATTTCACATCTCAATTACTGACCTGTCATCGTAAACGAATCCAGCGTGTAGCGTATTGTAATATAGAACAGTGGCGATGAGGACACAGAATATGACAAGGATATCCATGTCACATCGCGAATTTAGCTTCATACAACTTTCCGTTACACAGCTCTTAACTTGTTGCACACTTGTCTCTTCTTCTCAATCCTTATATTTATTTTTACTCCGATTACCATTCCTACAGCTATTCATTCTCTTGATAAATCTTCGATTTTTACTCATCCTTTCCAGTACACAGTACTTTTGTTTCAATAATTTTTTTTATCCAATCAAAATTAATTCCCTCTTACCTTCAATTATTTCCTTCCATCATACAATAATAATAATAATAATTATTATTATTATTATTATTATTATTATTATTATTACTATCTAAAAATACACAAGCATAGAAGTTGAAGTTCAATTATTTCTTTCCATCATACAATAATAATTATTATTATTATTATTACTATCTAAAAATTCACAAGCATAGAAGTTAAAGTTAAAGTTCAATTATTTTTATTGTCATAAAAAATAAAGCTGAGTAATTTTTAAAAAATTACCCAAGATAATAAATACCGTTGTGCATTTAAGGAAGATACTTAGATAAAATAAATTATTTAAAAGTCAGTCGTATTAATTTAAAAGTTTCAGCACTCGAAACACCACTCAAGCTTGACATCAGTGCTGATAATATAATGAAACACTTCATCAATGAAAACTGGAGCTGGTTAATGAGGATAAAGAAGCGTACTAGACTTTATCAAGTTTCAATTCATCAACCAATTCCTTTATCTACTTTAATAATGTATCACTCGAAGTTATAACTAGAATAATAATAATTACAAACCCCTCTTGTAAAATTTAAAAAGACTGCTGAAAATATAATCCCATTCAATATTTTCATCAGCGTAAAAGTTTCAAGTCCACGTACCCTCAATAGTAAGACTCGCACCTTCACATTAAAATGATTGATGCTGGCATGCACTCCGTCCCCACGATTATCCAACCCCCCAGCTCCTCCCACTCACAAACTTAAGATATATTTAATGAGATATTAAAAGTCGAAGGAAAAACACCGTGACAATTGTTACTGATATCGGTTTATATGACGTTGGAATCGTCGCAGAATGGACCAGATGTTATCCCAGCCCTTTTCACCAAGATGCGCACAGTACCAATTTAACAATTCATCTGGTTTATTACTTTCACGCGAATTGTTTACCGGTGATAATTTTTTATTGTTTTTAATTTTGTTGTTGTTGTTGTAATTTGAGTTGTTACCGATAATTATTGTTTTATTATTGTTTAAATAGTTGTGTAAAAAAGTACCGCTTATATTATGGGCATCACAATTCGCAGTATGGTGCATGTTCTAAAATGTGTAATGATGAACTGTCGTGCGCCCCTCGCGAATGCGAGCTTTATACGCGAGAAACGGGCATCGATCCGGTGGGCGCTTGCGCTTACTTGCTTGTAATGTCGCTTCGTCCTTATTCCTTTCAGAGCTTTCTATTTTACTCTATAATATATCTATGTATATATGCCTACGTCTACATACATGTATCAATTCACATTTATGTTAACATATATATATATATTTCTTCTTTTGTATCCGTTAAACTCTTAGTATACAGAATATAATATAGTAAATATGTATAGAAAATAAAGAGGACGAAGGCTTAACGCACCAATATGAAACAATATATTTTATACATATATACATAAGTATATATATATATATATATATATTATTGGTACCCCTTGTGATTGTAGATTGAGATAACGAGTTAATGTCGTCGCGAGAAATGAGAACGAGCAATTTTTCCAATGTCCAGTTTTATAAAAAAAAAAAAGTTATAGGTATGAAAAAAATGATTAATAGTAATTTTTTTTGTGATAATTATCAGAGTAAAAAAATTTATTTTTTAAATATAATAACAATAATAATAGTTAAATATTTATTAATAAAAACGAAATTGATATTAATTAAGTGGAATTGATGTAAATTATAAACGAAAAAAGAAAAAAATATTTAATAAAGCTTCCGATGTCGGAGCGGAAATTTAATGTGATCAATGTAATTGGACAGAAAAAAGAGCGCTACGAAATAGCATTTAATGGGAGATATCATATTTTAATTAAGTTTTTTTTTCCTGTTTTATAGGAAGGAATTTTTTTTATTGAAGCGAAAAAATGTGTATAGATATTGGGGTAAAAATACTCCGATTTACCTCGGGTTAATTTTTATTGGTAGGTTCTTTGTTTTATTATTTAATATCTGTTTTATTCCCGTGATTCGCTGCTAGTAATTAACTCTATTAATTCACGGAAATGAAATTAATATTTTTTTCATGTAAAGTTTTCAGCGGTTTATTATAAATTATTAAACTGGGAGAATTAGTTTTGCACTGCTAATATCTAGAGCAATCAAAAATTTCACGGTATCATTTCAGAAATAGACGTTAGTTAATAATTTATTGAAGGTTGCCGTTCAAGAACGGCTGTTAAAAATTCAACAGTATTTCAAGCGTTAAATCATTAATTCGAATTAGGGTGACTTTTATTAAGGGGGATTTAATTTTTACGGTAATAAAATACATTATTTATTAAAATTAAATAATAAAGTTTTATTAATTTAAAAATATCTTTCGATTAGTTTCATCAAAGTGAATGCTAATCTTCTTATTATTTATTAATATAAAGTATTAACAATTATTCTCCATATTTTAGATGTACCATTTAGTAATTTTCCATTTTACTGGAAGGAAGTAGCTCAGTCAATTTCACTATTTAAGTTAAATAGACATCAAAATCCGATTCAACAGCGTAGGATTAAAATCCCTCTGTTCTGCAGCATCAGCCACTATTCTGATCAAAGAACTTTATACTCCTCTTAAAATTTTGTAATTCCTACTGCTCTTAAGATATTAAACTTTCAAGAGTACAAATCTTTTAATCGATAAAATTTCCCATCATCAAACATCAAACAAAACTGAAAACAATCCTCAACTAACGACGTAAAAAAATTTTTAAAACAAAACAATCCCCTATAAGTCTATTAAACTTTTTACCCACCAACAAAACATTTTATTTTTTTACATTAATTTAAAAAAAAAATACATAAAACTCCTCTAAAAATGGCCAACAAATATAAATATTCAATGCACTAAATAAAATCAATAAGTTCATCGAATGACACAAAAAATAACAGACATCCGAAAATTATTATATTTCAATAAATTATGAAAAGTTTAAATTTTATCTTCAAATACTTAAAAAAAAAAAAAATTGGACGTCAATTATTTTTAGTATCACATTAATATCAATTAATCATTATTCTTTCTTCACAATTTTCTTCTTCAACCTCGGTATCAAAAATTTCTTCTTTGACAATCAGCCCATCTTCACTGGCATTGTCTTTAATATTAGCATCACGTGAATGCCCTTCTTCCTCTTTTCGGGAATTGTTTTTCCTCCCCTCTGTAGCATTAACCATACAAGACATATTTTTATTCATATGTACAGCAGTAAGGTGATGCTCCAATTCAACTTTAAGAGCAAACTCGAGGTTACATTGAGGACAGTTATATGGACGGACGCCAGCGCTATTTTTCTCATGTGAATTATTTTCAAATCTCACTCCTATTTTATTTTCCTTATTCTTATTTTCATTATAAATACTATCGTCTTCTTTTTCATGCTTATTCTCATTTTCATTATCTTCTCCATTTCCTTTATCTTTTTCCTCTTCTTCCTCATTATTAACATCAATATCAACATCAACATCAATATCTTCCTCATCATTACAATTATCATCTTTCTCATTCACACACTCTAATTTAATGGATTTTAATTTACAATTATTTTCAACATTTCTTCGCTCGAAACTTTCACTCACTTTACAATCATTATCATTATAAAAATTATTACCTAAAATAGGTAAACCATTTAAATGACGTACATAACACCTGTTACAAACATTCAATTGTCTTTCATTACTTGTAACGTTGTTTGACAAAGGAATAACAGAATTATTATTATCAAATTCGCGTAAGCAAATACAACAATTAATAATGTTATTTATTAATTCCTTACGATTATTATTATTATTATTATTATTATTATTATTATTATTATTATTATTATTATTATTAATACCATTACTATTACTATTATTATTATCAGTAATTGAAACAGAAGACTGGGGTCGTAAATGATACCTGGCGTGTAATTGACATTCGAATTCGCTAATGAGAGTCTGCCTGCAGACAACACAATAAACGGGCGCATGAGTACTTGCTGCTGTAATACTAGCATTAGAGTTATTAGAGATAAGAGCAGTATTTGTAGCAGTATTTGTAACAGAAATTGTTTGAGTAGTTGCTGAAACGGGAGCTGATGCCATGGTTTCGTGTCTTTGTTGGTACGAATCAATCGCTTCGAAACTGTGTTTCTGTACGTGCTCGATAAAATCTACTTCGCTGTGTAAAACAACTCTGCAGACGGTGCAAACATCGCTCAACTTTATTTTGCAGTGCTTGTCTAATTTGTGCTCTGCCAAAATACCCCCTGTGGAAAATAATTCATCGCATATGTTACATTTGTATCGGCGCTTTCCTAATTCATTCGTCGAGTGGTGGATCCTTGTGTGAGCTTCCAATTCGCTGCGTGAATGCAGTAATTCACCGCAATAACTACAACTTTCTAGATTTTGCGATAATGATTTTGGTTGCTGCTGGAGATTATTTCCTACTGATTCGATTGATAATTTGTGAGCCAGCTTTTTATGGGCGCGAAGCTCTAATTCACTTGTAAAATCCTTTCGATCACAATATTCACAATTATTTATCTTTAATTTTTCATTATTGTTATTATTATTATTATTACTATTATCATCATTATCATTTAAATTATTATTACTTGGACGGTTTATTGTTAATCGTTTATATTCTGAAGGATTTTGTTGACATAATTCAGGTGTCAACTGCTTTCTTTTATGTCTCACCTGTAATAAATAAATTTAATTATTATTATTCATGAAGAAATTTAAAAATAGTTTCTATAATTATTTATTTATTTATAATTTAATATTTATTTAATAAATAAATAAATAATTATATTATCATGCTGTTAAGTAAAGAACTTTAAATTGAAAAAAAAGATAAAATAAAAAAGCAAACATTTTGTATAATAAAACATTTAGAACATTAATGTAAAATATTTCATGTAAGGATATAGTTTGAATTTATAATTTTTAAAAATTGGCTTGAGCACAGTCTTAACCGAAGCATTGCCAATTTAAATAAATAATCATTGCAAATTAATCATTTTTTGGAAAAAAAAAAAAAAAATAGAGTTTACATTTATTCATATTGAATATTAAAATTTATCCAATTAATTTTGTCATTTAATTTAACAAATCATAAATGAAATTACAGAAGAAATAAAGTTATTTTTTAGCGATAAATTAAAATTTTAATGTTTTTATAATTAATTGGTCGATTCAAAGAATAATGAGATGTTATTAATTAAATAACAGATTTTTTTAACATTAATTTCAATTGAACAATATTAATTTAAATTGTTTGATTAATTATTTTTTAAATGAATGAAATAATTAAGTGTTTTATAATAATAATATCAATTATAATTAGTGACGTTTGTATTTATATATATATATATTTTGAGATTTTAATCGATACAATATTATTTCCAATTATAAAATAAATGAAATTTTAAAACATAAGCAAAGCAGGGAAGCTAAAAAGTAATGTGAATACATGAATTTAAATACTGAATTAGTTCCTTTTATCTAAAATTGGGAGACGGCTCACTGATGACAAAAATATAACTTTCAAAGGAAAAAGGGAATAATCTATAAATAAATTCCAAAAGAATTAATATTTTTTTTCTTTGTACAAATTTAATAACTAATTTTACATTAATGATGAAATCAATTGAATTTAAAATTTTACTATAAATGTAAATTTAAAGTGTTTTTTACTTTCCCTATGTTTATAGTTTTACATTAAAATTTTTTAAGAATCAAGATTTTTTTCTTAAAAGATTGTTCAATGCTTAAATAAAAAAAAATTTTTTTTTAATGTTTAATTAACAAATTGCATAGTTGCCGACTGGCATTAATAAATAAATGTCAATAAAAAAAAAGGTTTTACCAACAAAAATGTAAAACAAATAAAACAATACAATAAAAAATGTTTGAACCAAACTCAATAGCTTATAGCAAGAAATATTCGGTTGAATAAAAAAAAAAAAAAAGAAATATTACCTCATCATGTAGTTTAGAATGATTAAAAACATTCTGACAATCGATCATAGTATCAGCTCCGGCAGGAGTTGTAGCAGCAACACCAGTATCAATAGCAGCAGTAGCATTCGGTGAGTTATTGTTATGTATCTGAGCAATGTGCTTGTCCAGCAAAAATTCAACAGTAAAACCTTGACGACAAATCGGGCATCTATAAAGGCACGTCGAGTGGGTTGCCAAGTGTCGCTGTAAATCAGCTTCCGTATTACAATGTACACCACAAAAACAGCATCGTAAAAATAATTCACCGCAAGCTCTGGTTGTTTCTGGTGCAGCTGGACCGATTCGGCCCTTTATCTGAGTAATCCGATCCTGAGCTTTCGCAGACGATAATGATAATGCCAACGACGAGGAACACGACAAATGAGCATTCATCACGTGTTTCATCAGCTCTGTGGAACTTTTAAAGACACTGTCTCTCTCCATTCTATTCTTATCACAACCCACTGTCTCTATCCCTTTTGTGAATCCCGGATTATTTACACAATCCGTACACTGATAAACAGCGCACTCCCGTGTGTGCTTAACAGTTAAATGCACCTGAATGCCAACAGCCGTCTCAAAGGTCTCTCTGCACACACTGCATCTGTACAAGCGCTGCGTGTGCTCCTCAAATGTGTGCTTTTTCAGTGACTCAATGTCTAAATAGTGTCTGTCGCACGCATCACACCAGTACTGGTGCTTTAAAATTTTTTCATCGCTCAGATAGTGCTTTGTCAAGTGATTGACCATCTCGTCCTGGGAGGTGAAAATCAGCTCGCACTTAGGGCAATTTACACTGAATTGCTTCTGGTAATTATTTACTTGCAAATGATGCGCCAGGTGAACGCGAAAGGACTCAAAGTCTTTCAACGCCGCTCCACATTGCCCGCAGAGCAAAGTGCTAGAAGAAAAAACCCCTGCGCTTAAATTGCTGCTATTATCGTTGGATATTTTTTTACCGTAATTAGTTTTTTCTGGCGATTTATCAGCGATAACTCGCCGATTTTCGCAGTGCTCGAGAACGTAGTGCTCAGCATAGACTGCAGGGGATGAGCACGATAACCCACACAAAGGGCATGATAACGTGAATGCTGATTCCGTTGCTGATGCTGATGTGTCATTATCATAGTTATTTATCGGAGCTTTATCATTATTACTGTGATGAGCTCTAATATGCTCGTTTAATAGATTTAATTTTGTGAATTTCATAGCACACGCGCTGTCGACACACGATAACAATTCGTCCTTTATTTTTAAATTAAAATCTTTTTTTTTACGCCGCTTGTAATTGTTATCGGTGATTTTGTTCGGCGAGGACGAAGGACTGAGGGTGCTCACAGCGAGCTCGTGGACAGCTTGGACGTGCAATTGGAGCTGCTCCATGCTGGTGAAGGTGTCTTTGGTGCAATACATACACGCGAGGGTCAGAGATGACCGAAGAAATGACACTGCGGGGGACGATTCGTTTGCCGAGGAGTCTGGTGAGTAGGGCGGTAGCTTGTGGAGAGACGAGGGTAGTGGCGAACTGACACTAGGGGATGAGCCTTCGCTTGGCCACAGAGAACTTCGCTCGTTTTCTGACATTTTTGACGGGAAATTCGTTAGTTGCTGTGACTGAGGACGCTTGTGAGTCTGCATGTGCGATGTTAATGCCGCTGCTGTGTTATAACCACGAGAACACTCGCTGCAGTGATACGGCTTTTGGTTGTCGTGAGTTTTCATGTGGATTTTTAGATGATCGCTGGAATTATTTCATTTTTATTAGCTGGTTATTTATTTAGTCACTTTTTTAGTCAATCAGAATAATTCATGGCGTGTGAAAATATGTGATTAATTTTAATTTAATATGAAAAATATATTTAGAATTTTTTTTTTTGTGAATATCTGATTTTTTAAAAAGTTTTAATTTATTTATAAAGTAAAAAATTGAAAAATTTCTACCATTAAAACTCAATAAAAGAATAATTATTTTTTCTAATAATTAACCACAGCGGATACACAATAAGTTATTTTTAAAAGTTAATTAATATTATTCTCGAATTTTTATTATTTTCAGTAGCATTTTTATTCATAATCCATTTCATTGTTTATTCAAATCATATTATTCATGTATATTTAAAATTTAATTTTTGCAATATTTTAAACATATCCAATATTGAAAATATTTCAATACTGTCTCTCAAATTTATACGATGAATTTACAACTAATAAATTGAATAAATCAACAAACAGCATGTAACCATACATTACCAAATATATGAATATAATATTGACATAAAGATTTTTAAAACATTGATAAAAATAAATATTAAAAAATAAATAGCGGCAAACTACCCTAGGGCCATTTTCTGATTGACTTTTAATTATAAATTTTTATTAATAAAAATTTATAAATACAACAAAATAATTTTATAAAAATACCTTCGTGAAAATGCAGCTTCACACTGTGTGCAACGATATCTTCTGTCACCAGTATGTAATTTTACATGACGATCTCTACTGCGTTTATGTTTAAACAATCTAGCACACCAGCTACAACGGTATGGCATTTGGTCACCATGAGTCTGTTAATTGAAAATTACAAATTAATTAAATTCTATTCGTCAGAATTTAAAAACTAATATAAATGGAGAAAATTAATTAATATATTGAACAATTAATATTAAAATAAACTAGGAAAATTTTAGATTAATTAGTTGTTTAAATTTATTTTTTGTTAAATAAAAATAATGAAAAAAACTTGGAATAAATTATAATTTCTAGTTAAAACATTTTCGTTGTTTATAGTCATGATAAAAAATTACATGACAGAACAAACAAATTATATTTATTAATCAACGTCATAAATATTTATTAAAACAAATTGTTGTGACATTTACCTAAAATTTAAAATAATTTACTGATAAAACGGAAACAAACATTAATTAAAGCATGCATAAAATTTGTTAATATTTATGAATAATAAATTAAAATTATTCCGGAAGACTCGATAAAATGTTACTTTATGAATTATTAAATAAAATGATTCCAGATCTATTTAGTAGAGACAAAAGCGTGTTTGCAATGCTGGTAATTGTGTTAATCGATTTAAAAGTCTGATAATTAAAGCTTACCTGCTCGTGTTTTTTCAGTTGACTCAAGCTGGGAAAAGATTTATCACAAAATTGACATGGGTATGGACATAGCCCAGAGGTGCTGCTGCTGTCAATACCATTTAATTTAACATCAACGTCAGTCTCTGTTTCTGAGGGGAAACTCAGTGATGTAGAAGTCGTACAAGAAGATGGTGTGCCGCCACCCCTCTGCCCATTAAGGCTATCGTCTTCACTGCGCCATGAGTAACTTCCATTCATCAGTCCTTCTATAAAAACCATCACAATTATTAATTACTAATCGTTCATTCTAATTTTAATTAATAAAAAAAATCAATTATCATTAAAGTATCAGACATTTAAAAATGTTCAAGTTTTTTAAATATTTAAATTATTTTTTAAAAAATTTTAATAATTTTATAAAACTTTTTTACATATTTTTTACATTTTTTTATATGAAAATTTGAAACGCGCATTAATACTCGGAAATATTATCATTAAAAATAAAATTCAATTATTACTTTTATAAATGATTGTTATTTCAAACTAAGGGGATTTATAAAAATAAAAATGATTGATTTTGACGCATAATTTATAAATGTATAACAAAAAAAAATAGCGAGTCATACGTCAATCATTCATTTAAGCTATTAATTTTTTTTTTTTTTAATAATAAATACTAACAAAAATATTTTTTTTTAAATTATAAATTAATTAAATATTTTCTAATAATCAATAGCAGAATTTTTAACAATTTTTCACATTGATATGTCACTAAATTATAAAAATAAATAAATTTTCTGATTTTGACTATTTTCAATAATTAAAAAAGTAAAATGTTTCTTGATAAAATAAACTCGATAGAAAATGAAACAAAAATAAATATAAGTGAATTAAAAATATAATAAAAAAAATAGAACTGTAAATTAATTAAATATACATCAATCATAGAGCCAATTAATTTCGATTATTTTCAGTTTTACGATGTCCTTTTGATGCAATTATCACAATGGTTTCATTTGCCATATGTATTGTATCTAATTTTATAATTATTTTGTGGATTTAAATTATGACAGGTAAAACTTGTAATACTCGTTGATAATTTACCGAATTAATTATACATTTGATTGTGATATTCCTGCGGACGATTAATGGAATCATTTGATCTTTCGTTGTTTTAATTTTACATAATTGAATTTATTGACAAATTAATAATTAAAAAAAAAATGTGTAAGGTAAAAGACCCAGTTATTGACACTTGCAATTTTATTTTAATTAAAAAAAAAACAAATCAACTCTGATAAATTAATAATTATAAATTTTAAGATAATTGGTTTTTTGAGAATATTTTATTTTTTTAATTAGAATAAAATTGCAAGTAGCCTAGGCCAGTGTCAATATTTGAGTTTTTTACCTTAAAACAATAAAATAAAAATTAATAATAATAATAATAATAATTAAAAACGGAAATAAAGTTGTTAGACAATTTCCTCATTTATTAACACGAATGTGTAGATATAATATAATTACAAGTTAAAGTTAAGGAGTGTATTATGACACCCACGGTGTAATTTTAAAGATTTTACAGAAATTCATGTAATTTACTGCAATCGCGTGGTCACTTGAATTTTAATCAACAGCCGCCCAACGCAATCGTGCAAACTCCGTTTAATAGTACATTATAGTTTATATATATGACTGTAATAGTAAAGTTCGAGAGTAAAGAGTGCCTCGTGCCTCATATCTCGTTTAAATCGGTTGCATCCTACACCCACTCGCTCTATATACTTTACTTGTTCCGTTGCGTTACGTTACGTACATTTTACATTTTAAATTCATTATCTTCTCACTCCCTCGTCACATCCACTTAATAGCTAACGTAAATGTTAATTTTAATGTTGCATAAACTAGGCGCCACTGAACCAACTACCGGAAATTTACGACTACCGGTTAAAGGATTATTTATTCGAGCAGTTAATAAATAATATTTGCTTTTATTATTCAACAGTGTGTGATTAACTTATCATATTTAAGAATTGTTTATCTTCATTATTATTATTATTATGATAATATGTGAGCATAGTAGAAAATTTTTAAAAAACGGAAATATGCTGGCTCAGCAGTAGCTGAAGGAGAAGTACCGTCCCTCATCTGGGTCTACAGTGTACAGAGTGCTACAACGTAACGGCGCGAACTCGTAATCTCCCTGGGGAGTCTGACGAGGGACTCCAACGTCCCGCTGTCCCAACGGGAGACACATAGGAGACGTTTGGGAGCAATGAGTCACCGAGTCTCCGTGTAATCTCGAAGGGAGACCACCAGGAGACTCGAGGATATTTCAATCGACCGGGACCAACCACTGCCAGTACAATATTCTAGGTCATTGTAAATTTATAAATAAATAATATAAATCCGACAGACACTTCTGATTTTTCTTTTCCAAAATCTCTCTATTATATACATTTAAATAGTTGCTAATAAAAATTATAAATAATTGCACTCGAAAAATAGTATACATTCTAAAGCTTATTTACTTAAAGTAAAAACTAACAAAAACTCAATAATTACAGATTAAAAAATGTTTAAAATAATTTTCTTAAATTTTTTATATCATTATTTTTCTAATTACAAACATTTAAATTATCAGGTGTTTGCTGTTTTGAGTGTCATTCGAAAATGAGTTAACAAGTAGTAAATATCGACGTATTGTTTGACAGTGTTTACGCGCGCACGCAATTATTATTCGAAAGTTTGTATACTCTCACAAACTGTTAAAGTCTTTCATTCTTTTTACAAAAATAAATAAATTTATTATATTTTAAAAATTTTACCTTTTGATCTTAAAGTAAAGATCTTGTCATCTGGAAGTGGTGAGGGTGATAATTCTTTATGCGCTTGAATTTTTTCAATTAAAAATTCTAATCTTGAACTATTTCCTTTAAATAACATTGTTATATTTATTTAACTAATTTATAAATATAGTTAAATTTTCATTCATTCACTTTACACACACTTCATAATAAAAATATACATATTAATTTTGATAATTATCAAAAATACTGGTTAAAATTTAAGAAGGCACCCTCAATAATTTTTCAATTAATTAAAAATACGAAATTCACTAGCGTTGGTAATTATTATTAATTTATAAGTAAAAATAAAAATAAAGTCGCGTGTTGACGTGAACCTCGTGGTAAATCCTTGATTGATTTTAGTTGATACCGCGGTGAGTAAACGGATATCTAGGAGAGTACTTGTTGTCTGAAGACTATAGCGAGTACTGAAGAGGGCTTCCGTTTATTATCAACCCCGTGCAGAGAAGAACCTCTACTCGAAGAACGAGGAACGAGGAGAAGTAGTTTACTACGGAGTTTGCGGACTCATAGTACAGTAGAAGGGACCCACACACCAAGAGGAGTGAAGGTGAGGAGGCCAGGGAGCCCCCTTGGGATACCAGCAACCGCATTGGACGGTAGGCGGGTTCGTGAGCACACACCACCCCCCGCGAGCACCCCTTCTCTATCGGTCGTTTATCTGTCATGTCTTCAGCTCAAAACTTCATCAATATAATTATTCTGATGACTTCTCATCACACTCTAAGCTCCCCAGTATTATCACAATACACCTGGTCCCTGCTCTTACGCTGGCTTTTATCCAAATACTTTTTTCACCCCAACTTTCTGCCAAATTAAATAAAGATAAATTCAACTTAAAAAACTATCACGTCTTGAAATAAAAAAATTTTCGGTTTAGGTATTTACCTGACTGTTGCAGACCCATGCTTAAATCGGTAACAATTTTAATAATTTATAAATATACAAAATAAAAAATTTTTTTAGTTACTAAAAATGATAAAATTTAGTAAAGTTTTTATTTGATGAAAAAAATTTTTCTATCTGTCCTTTTTTTTTTTTTTTTTTTTTTTTTTAATAAAAATTTTATTTATTTTTATTTAAAAAAATTTTTTTTTCTATTTTTTTCTATTACCATAATATTAATATAAAAATATAAAAAGTTGTCATACGTCTGGTACGTTGACTGTCTTAATAATTATGATGAATCATAAAGAATAATAAAATATTTGGGAACCTAAACTCGAGATATGAAGCAAGAAAACAAGTTGATGGAGATGAAGAAGAAGAAATGGAAGAAGAAAGAATGGATAGGTAAAGAAAAAAGTAAACGAGAATGAAAGCCCGAGGTGAAACTTATAAAATGGAAAAGAGTAAGAGATAGAGAGTATATTATGGGGATGCTAGAGTATTCCCATGGGAGATAAGGTAGTCAAGAGCACATGCGCCAAGCTGATTAGTTCTTCCGTCTCACTCGTCGCGAGCAGTACCGGAGCCAGAGGAGACCAACTGACTCCTTTGGGACATGATCCCACTCTCTTTCCTCCCGCTCCGGGATCACGGCTCTCTGGTCCTCCTCCCTTCAGCCACCTTCAGCTCCTACTTTATCCACATCGTCCTCGACTACTCTTGCACCATCCACTCACTTCTGCCGACCCGGGTTCCGTTACCCTCCACGCGCAGCCCTCCCCTGCTCAAAGTATTCCCAGTACAATTCCAACTAGTGGAGACTTTTGCGAGCACATTCGGGAGGAAAATAAAAAAAACATAAAATAATATTAAACTAAAAATAGAAAAAAATATAAAATCAAGAAAACTATTGAGAAAAATTTAACAGTAAGATCTGCTCTTTTTTAATCATATTTCAAATATTTATCCGAGATATATGTATTAGTTTTTTTTTTTAACTTTTTAATACAAATAATGAAAAATTACTACTATTTATAAAAATAATTACTTACAATAACATAATTATTTTTATGTAAATAATTTATTGGAAATATACAATCACGCGAAATGAATTCCTACTTTATTAAAAGTATACAAAAGCCTGGAACAAAAATAAAATTATAATAAATAAAAGAATATTTAATTAATTTTTAATTACAATAAATATCACTTACTCTATAAAATCATCAACATCCAATTCTCGTGCGCGTTTTTTACTCATTCCTTCGAGACGGTCTACTTTGTCACCTTTTCTTGTCATTGTAGTCAATACTTCTGTAATTAATTCCGTGATATCAAATCCCTCTGGTATTGTCTGAAATTCAATAAATTATTGAAATTAATTAAATATTTTTTTTTTTAGATTTATAATAAATAAGATAACGCAAATTATACCATGTTACAATTTTACAATTTTTCAAAATTTAAATAAGTTTGTAAGTGGAGATGATACAAATCTGAATTTTAATTCATTATTTAATATTATAAAACAGTTATGATTTATTAGTATTAAGCTGTAGGGTAAGAATGCTGTTAAAGAATGTCTTTAGTGGTTTATGGCTTTTTAGATAATTACCTCATTATTAAGACTGCAATGAATTTGGTAATTTTTATTGAGTAAAGTTTTCACCGAAGTTGTTTTGAACGCCGCCAGCAATGTTTTATTTTTCCTACCAAACGCTATTCTCGTTAAGCCGTCCCATTCTTTAAAATTAATTGCTGGAGGTGGATTACGTGGTTCAACTCTAACAACACTAGATTCAACTTTTGGCGGTGGGCGGAAATTATTTTTACCAACTTTTAACAGTAAATCAACTCGGGCTAATAATTGGGTGTTGATACTGAGACGGCAATATAAATTATCACCAGGTTTGGCCACTAATCGGTCAGCGAACTCTTTTTGGAACATGAGAACTGCACATCTAATCAAATTAACAAAAATTAATTAATTATCTATAATTATTAAAATTAAAAATAATAAATTACCTAAATATTGGCCTGTGGAGTAACAATTTAGTCATGAGTGGTGATGATATTTGATAAGGTACATTAGCAATACACAGGTCAAAATAATGTAATTTATCAGCCTTAAGTACATCTCCAATTTCTATGTTTAATTTCGATTTGTAAGGAGTACCCTGGACACGTTTTTGTAATTCAGCAACCATACGTGGATCGACTTCGTAAGCAATTACTTTTTTACACCTTTCAAGTAATTTCATTGTCATGTTACCGGTACCGGGTCCTATTTCAATTACAACGTCCGTTGGCCTTACTGCTGCCTTGTCCACCATGCTCTCGATTATCTTGGGGTTCTTCAGGATATGCTGACCAAGATTTGTGTTGAACAAAATACCTATAATTATGTCAAAAGATTAGTAGTTAAATTAACATATAATAATACTTAAGATATTTTTATTTTACTTTATATTATAGATTTTACTGTGGTTCGAATATTCTCTAACGCGAGTGTCTCCAAAGTCATTTAAAATATATAATTAAAATTACATTTAAAAATGGGATAAATTTATGTCAGATTAGAGAATTAACGTACATTAAAAATATAATTAATTAAGTAAAAATATGATTTTTTTTCTTGACATAAATGTATGATCCAAATAATAATCATCTGTCTGACGAATTCTTTTTATATACATATTTTAAAAATTATAAAAACAAGTATAGACATTTGACAATTCTTAAGTAAGTAGCTATAATTTTTTTTGAAGAAAATAAAAAAATATTAAAATAATTTCGTTTAATTTTTTTATTTATTTATTTCTCACAAAAATAATTATTTATTTAAGTATTTGAAAAATAAAATTAAATTGAATATCTGCTATTTTGATGAATTTGAAATTGTTTAAGAGTTAAAAGCAAATTATTAGACATTTTCTATTTTGATAAATTTATTTTCATTGTTATTGTCATCGATATCTTTTTCATTACCTCTAAACAATAAAATAAAAAATTAATTTAAACAATAAAAATATAAAATATGAATTACTAACCTTGTCTTGCTACTTTTTCATGAATCCGACTTTTCTTCTCTGTTTTAACTTTCGGCATTTTTTTTTTTTTTTTTTTTTTTTTTTTTTTAACAAATTATCAACAATTATATTTAAAAAAGTCAAAAACACGTGTGGGTAATAACCTCTCACATACACTTTAGTACTTATTAAAATTTTACTCCAAAAGATAAGACACAAAACAAAAGAAAAATCGCACTGCCATCTATTGAAAATTTAAAAATAATATCCACATGATAAATACGTATAAAAAGTTTGTATTTGCCTGTCACTCTTACTCTTCAACATACATTTGAAATTCTCTCTCTATCGCACTTGTTTAAATTATTTATTAATCATTATTTTCATTCGCCTAAATATAACAAACATACACAAACATATTAGTACATATATATAGTATAGACATATATTTATCAGAGTATTATATGTCTAGTAGGTTACAGAGCATAGTCAAGTCTAGACAAAACTACATTGAAAATCCAGGAGCTGGCGCAACGGTCGTATTTACCAATAAGACACTCCTTCTTCGTCGAAACAACGCTCCGAAGGTAAGTTTATCTTTGTTTAGTGAAAGCTGACGTCTCTTATTATGAGTTTCAACCAATAGGAAACAAGTACGAAATTTACGCAGGAGAAAGAATATTACTGACGTGTCCCCAAAAGTGATATCAAGCACTTTGGTAATTGATGATCATTCTCGAACTTGAAGCGTATTAAATCATATCGTGCGTTTTATTAAAACTAAATACACTACCACCTGAAATTGAGCTATCAGTTATCAAGTAAACAGTTTCTTGCAATATTCAGATTTAATTACTGAAAAAGAGTGATATAAAAAATCATAATAATGGCACCAACGTTGACTTCTTTTGTCAATTCCTTCACCAACAGGCTGTAAGTTATTATTTTTATTCTTATCGTTATCGTTTAAGATTACTAATTATCTATACTTTATATTTGCATTGTAACTGTTATGATATGCTCAACATTCAATAATAATTTACCATATTTTGGTGAATAACAGTTTAATAAAATCATGATGTAATATGAAGGACATTCAGAAACTTTTTGTCTTAGTGGAAAAATACATTTTGACCTTGTCATCGATAAAAAAAAAATAAATTTAATTTAAATAGTCATAATTATAGACATATCTATTCATACGTAAAAAAACAATCCTTATAAATTCACAACGCGTGAATGTAAGGGCCTTATAATCACGCGGTGTGGGTTTATCAGGATTTTTTTGCGTGTGAATAGACACTTTTCATAATTATTGCATTTTATTATTATAATAATTAATTTATTTTGTTTGTAAATAATTACAGTGAAACTCCACTCCGTCAACATCTAAAAAATGTATACGGTTGTTTAGCACTGTCAAGTGTTACCGCAGGAATTGGTTCATACGTCCACATTTACACTGACATACTCCAAGCTGGATTATTGAGTACATTGGGTGCACTCGGGTTGTTGATTGCACTCGGTATGACACCAGACAATGGAAAGAACCAAAAGTTACGACTTGGTTATCTACTGGGATTTGCATTCTTATCGGGCCTTGGTTTGGGACCGCTGCTTGAAATCGTTATCAGCATTGATCCGAGTATTATTGTCACTGCGCTTGTAGGCAAGTATCTCTATATCATTACAAGCTGTTGTACTTGCCGTTACCCGGGTTACATTTATTTTTTTCTTCACAATAGTTTTATGCAAAGTACTAATTTACCAACAACAAATTTAAACCTTCTATATACTGGCGTATTTATTAAATTATAAATTATAAGTTTCAATTTACTTTGACCGATGATTTTAAAACTTGTAATAAGAATTTTTTTATGGTTTCAAAAGGGCAATAGGCCATGATTAATTCAACTCTAGAAATTATTTCTTTTTAATTATCTTCACGGAAATTAATTTAGCAGACATTTATTAATTAAAAAAATTTTTTTAACAAATTGAAAAATTAAAAATGCAATTTTTTTTAAATAATTTTTTGGAACAAATTTGTTTGTTAAAAAAAAATTGTCAAGTGACTTTAATGTCATCATATTATCTTCTACTACTTTTCTAATATTTTAAAACAAGTTTAATTAATAAATAATGATAATCAGTGATTTGTCATAAAAAAAAAAAAAAAAAAAAAAAAAAAAAAAAAATTACATTTCTGGTCATGAATATTCTTGACTAGGTATTAAGTTAAGAATATTCTAGAAACTTGAAAGTATTCCGGTCATCGTTTTCTAGTTAAATCTGTTCAAGCGTATGTACGTAAAAAAAAAATACAAATATGGAATTAAAGATTAGATCATTATCATTATTTATTTTAAACGACATTGCTAGATAAATCATACTCTATCATTGTGACGCATATAAACAATTGATTTAATATTTTATCGTTAAACTTGTTGACTTGTTGTAAATTTTTGATCACGGAGTATGGTATAAATTTATTAGTTTTTTTTTTTTTAGACGATGACTATGCGGTTTGATTTAATCGAATGCCTACTTTATGTAGTTGCTTTAAATAAATAATTAATTGACCCGATAATTTATTACAGGAACAACCGTTGTATTTACTTCCTTCAGTATTTCGTCATTGTATGCACAACGTGGTCAATGGCTTTATCTAAGCGGTACTCTTATTAGTTTGTCAAACATCACCATCATCTTGCTGTTGGCCAACATTTTCCTGCGATCGGCGCTTGTTTACCAGGCGCAGTTGTACCTCGGATTAGCTCTCATGTGTGGATTCATCATTTTTGACACTCAGCTGATTGTTGAGAAATTCCATATGGGCAGCAAGGACTTCATTGGACACTCACTTGAATTGTTCATTGATTTCTTCAGGGTATTCCGATATCTAGTTGAAATCCTTGCCATCAAGGTATAAAAAACTCAAATAATTTAATACATAAAATAATTTTAATGAATGAATAATTAACTGATAATTGATTTGATTTTAGGAGCAAAATAATCGTAAACGTAAGGAGTAATTTAAATCAGGAGTAAGAAGTTACAGCATTTCAATACATAAATCCATGAGTTAGAAGTCTTCATCCTTTTTTTTCATCCTTCATGAGTGTATATATATATATATATATATATATAACTAATTATATACACTTATGTACACGTATACTTACTTCAAAAATCATAAATAATTAAAAAATTAAACTATATTTACTACCAGAAAAAATAACAAATCAATAAGTACTATTTGTTTATAAACATAGATAGTTATATATGAGTAACTGAATAATTTTTAATTAATTAATTAAAAAAAAAAATGATGTCAATTAAGTGGAGAATAAAATCCACACAAGCATCGCATATTTATTTTTGAAAACTGTTTTCAATCTCATAAATTTTCTTCTTCTATCTCTGTTAATAAAATTACACATTATAATTTTTATTATTAAGGTAAATGATAATATTACTTACTATTTACTTTTAAATTAAAAATAAAATCGAGTGTACTATATTTTCCACAATTAAATAAATTTATCAATTATAAATACACATGTTTTCATTTATTTTTCATTTTTTTTCCATCTCTACATTTATAGTTGTTTTGATTATTAAAATCTAACTTCGCTCATTTTGTTTTTTTTTCTTTTTTTTTTTTTTTACATAAAGACAATACATCCACTTGATTATAAAATGAAAATTCCATCTCACACATGAACTCTATGATTAAATGAATATTATTGTAATAATAATTATGTCATAAGATATATAAAATCAAATTTTCATATTTAAAATTATAAAAGAATGGATTGAGTAAAAGTTACACACCAATTTTACAATTGTGAGTTTAATAAATACTCAGGATTATTATTATTGTTTGTCATTGGTATATTAGTCCAATGAAATTAGTAATTAAATTTTTAATTAATATGGTCTTTGACGATCTCGGTCTCGGTCACCGCGTCTACAACAAAATAATTTTGTTTAATTAAATTAATTGTAATGAAAATAATATGTATTTTTTATTTAATAAAAAATATGAACAAATATAAAAAGTTTTTTTTTCTTACCCTCCACCACCACGCATGGGACCACCACGTCCGCGACCTCCACTTCGATCACCACCACGGAATCCACCTCCTCCTCGACCGCCTCTGTCACCACCTCTGTCGCCACCGCCTCCTCGCCCACCTCTGATAATTTAAAAAATCAAATAATTAATAAAAAATATTTTAAAATAAATATAAATAGCTATTCTTGTTCTTAAAAAATAATAAATACCTGAAGCCACCACCACGACCTCCACGATCTCCTCCACGACCACCACCACCACCACCACCACGTCCGCCGCCGCCGCCACCACCACCACCACCTGCTCCTTCCGGTTTCGAGCTTTTGCAGAGGTTGCACTCATCACGCCAAGCGAAGTTGGTGTTGCCACAGTCTGGATTAGGACATCTCCAGTCACCTCCACGTCCACCTGCGCCACCACCACCACCACCACCATCACGACCTCCACGGTCTTCACCGCCTCGATGCTCGTCACGATCGCGTCCTCCGCCAAATCCACCTCGGCCACCGCCACCACCACGTCCTCCACCTCCACTGGGACGTCCACCACCACCGCCCCCGCGATTTCCTTGCCAGTTGCTCTTATGCTGTGCTATCTGGACTTTAATCGTAGAACCCTTGAACTGCTTGCCGTTGAACCACTCAATTGCTGAGTGCGCTGCTGCTTGGTCATCGTAGGTCACTGTTGCTTCTCCTTTGGATTTGCCAGTGCTTTTGTCTTTGTACATCCATATTTTTGGTTTGCCTGTACGTTTATCATTCTGAAAAATAATTCAATGTTCAGTTATTTAATTTTTTTTTTTACTTTTATTTAAATTTGTAAAATTAAACTTTTTGTATAAAAATATTAAATGAATTTTATTTTTTAAAATATATTCAAAAATTATATAAAAGTATTGATATTTAAAGTATATCATTAATAAATTGATAAACAAACCTTGATAAGTCCGATTGCACCGAAATGTTGGCAAATTTCATCTTCAGTAATGTCAGTATTCATCCCAGAAACAAAGACTGTGTCCTCTTGAACGACCATCCTGTCATTGCCGCCATTGGAATCACCGTATCCTCCTGTAACACATTTTATCTTAAATTCTGTCGCAACAAAACTTTTCATCCTAACAACAATTTGATAATCCATTAAACTCTATCACTCTCATTCTACTTTGTACAACTTTTTATTCATGTTATAATTCTTTTTTTTTTTTACTTTAATTTTAAATTATACTCCGCAGTAAAAAGCCGAAATCCATTTAAATGAACGATTTTGAAAATACTTTGTTTTTTTTTTTTTTTAGTTTAAGAAATAATATAATTTGTATGTCTGCTTATTATCTTTATAATTAAAACAAAAAATAAAAATAAACATCGTTATGGAAGTTATCCCTTAATTATTATTACTATTATATATAAAAATAAATATAATAAACATGACCAACTTTCAGCATCTGAAAATATAGAACTGATAATGTTGATCATACACGGTGTTTGGTACCATATACTTATTAACTCTTAATTACTTTTGTTTTAAAATTAATTTATACGCCGCATTAGTATCGGCTGATTATATTTTCAAATAAACCATACTGTATTATATACGTAAAACCTTTTTATTACCACATTGGTATTATTTATGTATATTATTCTTTCAAACATCACCTACCTAATAAGTTACTAACACTCAGGATTATCTTTATTTCATTCAATTTCAATTACTTATTTTATTATAGCTAAATTATTTTTATCACGCGGAATTATTTAAGATAATTTTGAAATTTTAAAAAATACTTTGCGGGAAACACCAATTTTTCTACATTTACGTGTTACTTATTTTTCAACATTCGTAAGCCAAAACTCATTTGAATTAATAACTTTTTTTCGATATTCCATTGTTTAATAAATAAAAAAAAAATTAAAAAAAAAAAAAATAAAACTAACACTAGGTTGCAGCTTAACATATAAAAGGGCTGCGAACAAAATACAAAAACTTTATTATTTTTACTCGTGGGTATTCTTTTGATTCTTTAATTCATCAGCTGCTTCTTCACTTGGTTAATTGATAAAATAATTTTTTTATTAAATTTTAAAATTATTTGGGAAAAACGATGTATAGATCCCCAAGACATATTTTAATTGAATTTAAAAAAAATATTAAAATTTACATTAATTATATTTTGTGAAGTTGAACAACTTCATTTAAAAAAAAAAATGAATCCTATTTAGCAATAGTCTTTCACATAAGGATGCGAATAAAAAAAAATTATACATTTATCCTGAAGAATTTTTTTTATATTAATTTAATTACTATATTTATAAATATTAAAGTTTTTATTTTTAAATTAAAAGCAATTTTTTTTTTTTTTTTTTTTGTAAACTTTGGCTCAACATTATTTATTTAGACAGCAAAAAATTCTGCTGAATAATATAAAATAATTTATTTGCATCTTGAAAATGAAAAGATAAAAAATATTGATAAAAAGGTGAAAGAAAAAAAAAAGCTGTTGATGACATTAATCAATAAGACTGAAAAAATAACGAATAATTGACAGTAATAAGGCAGCCCTTTCATATAATAAAGTGTAGTAACCTCGTATTTTTATTTAAAATTTTAAATATTAGAGTGAATGCGTGAATAGCACCAGACTAGTACAGGCAGTCTGGTGCATTTACCTTTGTTATAACCACCACGGCCACCGCCACTGCTAAAACACAGAAGCAGATTAACCAATGAGACGACTCATGGGGAACAGATTGATAGATTGTTTGATGCGTGGCGATTCATATGCTGGATGCCACCCCTTCTGTCTTCTTGATGTACCACCTACTACTGTCTAAATGTCATCTGACTTTTACATTATAAAACAAATTCTATTCATGATTCAAAGAGTCCATCAATATCCTCCCGTCCGTCGGTCTGTCTGTCTGTCTCATCGTTAGATTCATTTAAATCACATGCATGACTCTACTTATTTATTTCATACTCAATTGATAACGATTTTGAAAAAGATAATATTAACAGCCGGCTGTTTTATTTTATTGAGATCTCAAGTTATAATTATTTTTATCCATAAACTACTCAGTCCGCTAATAATATTTATTTAAAATAAAATAAAAAATTAACTTTAAAAAAGTCGTATGATTTAATCAAATAACATCAATGTGTTGTACGTCAGTACTAAATTTATTTTAATTATTGAGTAAAACGCTGACAAGCCCATTTTATTTTAACGTTGTTTGTTTTATCTCTTTAATAAATTAATTAAATGTTAACGCATTTAGCATGATAGAAGAATAAATATATCGATAAATATTTTTATAATCTCAAGTAAGGATAGAAAGCGTCAGAGTACTAAAAATGTGTAGGGTGTAGGGTTGTTAATTATTTATCGCATTTCATTTATTCTCTCAGGCAATCGTTATTATAATTCATTTTCAACTACTTTATAGTTCAATTATTATTATAATAATGATGTCATTAATGTCCTGAGAAGTGTGTAAAGCTAAAGTTTGCTTATAACAAAATAACTTTACACAATTATTGGATGAATAATAAGATATAGTATAGGTGATTAAAATACCTTGTGAATAGAATGGAAAAAAAGTAATAGATGTACGAGTATATTCGAGTATCTATATATAAAAATAATATACTTATTTAAATGTTGAACCCACCACTAGCATCATCGAATTACGTCAATTTGTCGTATACAACCTTGTTATTATTACCTTTTATGTATATTTATATAAATACCATCAATACCTGTGCGACAAAACCTGTAGGCACACTTACAAACACATTAACGCCCAAAAGGCAGATCAACCATTTGTTATTTTTTATTTTTGTAGATCAATTATTCATTTACTTATTTACTTATTTATTAGGTTTTAAGATTTTATTATTTATATTACTCTGAATACCTTTGTGACAGCCATCGTTTCATTTAGACAGTAATTTTCTTACAGGATAAACTTTATCCTCTTTATTTAATATTTTTCCGCGACGCAACATTTGTTATAATTTGAAAAATAATAACTTACTTGTAACCACCGCCACCTCCACCGCTTGACCGATCGCCGTAGCTACCGCGGTCACTTCCATATCTTCCACCGCCACCACCTCCTTGGCCTTTAAATTATTTTCAATTTAATAAATGGCCGCTCAACTCTCTCAAGTAAATGGACAGTTTATATTTTTACTCCATTTTTATATTGTAAGATTTTAAATGTTGTATTATAGTATAAAAAATTCTACTCTTATTCACTATTAAATTAATAAAAAACTAACAACCCTGCAGTCACTATGTGACTTGTGAATTATAAATAAATAAAATTTTGCTTTATTAAATAATGACTTTTGTTAAATTGCACTGTACTTTTTTAACTATTCACGTTTTTAAAGATATAAGCTCATCCCGATGTTACACTCATCAAGAGCTTTCATTTGAGTACCCACATGCATTTTGATATATTTTTCATATATACATATATATATATATATATATATAAATATATGAAAAATTGATATGGGTACTCAAATGAAAGGTCTTGGTAAGTGTAACACCGGGATGAGCTTATATCTTTAAAAATGTCAATAGTTCACAAAATACAAGGTAATTTCTTAATTATGTTAAATTGCACTGTACTTTCTTAACTACTGACATTTTTAAAGATATAAGCTCATCCTAATTTTACACTCATCAAGAGCTTTCATTTGAGTACCCACATGCATTTTGATATATTTTTCATATATACATATATATAATATATATAAATATATGAAAAATTGATGTGGGTACTCAAATGAAAGGTCTCGATGAGTGTAACATCAGGATGAGCTTATAACTTTAAAAGTGTCAATAGTTCACAAGAAACAAGGTCATTTTTTAATTATGTATCTAGCGATAGAGAATTTTCAAATGCAGCCTAAATATTCATCATCATAAATTGACTATTGGTGAGAATGATATGAAACCTTGAAAAGGCACAAATAAAAGTCACGACCTTTGCAATGACACTAAATTTCACTAAAAAAACCGATTTTATCATATGACTATCCTGGATACAAAATTTTTCTTTTTCTCTTAATAATATACCTTACAAAATTTAATCAATTGTAGGAAACTAGTCCATTTACTTCAATAATTAAATACCGAAATAAAAAATTACCTCCGTATCCACTTCCTCCTGAATTACCACGATAGCTTCCTCCTCCACCTCCACCGCTACTTCCGTACCCGCTGCCGTAATTGTTACCACCAGGACTGGGATTGCCGCTGCTGTGGTTAGCTGCACCAGCTCCGCCGTAGCCGCTTGAGTAATTTCCCTGACCTTGGCTGGGTGAATTGTAATCCTGACCAGCACCACCGTAACCACCGCTGTTGTAGCTGCCGTAGTTACCACCACTGCTTGGAGGTGGTTGACTGTACTGATTGTAGTTGGACGAACCCCCGGTGGCTGGTGGTGGATACGAGGTATCCTGATCACCGCTTGGAGGCGGCTGGCTATATTGGCCGTAGCTCTGCTGCTGGTAGCTCGAATACTCTGTAAAAAAATAAACATTATCAATCATTTTAATTAATTCATGGTTAAATAAAATTTCAATTATTTATAAAAAATATTAATATTCATTTTTCGAATAAGAAGATAAAAAAAATAGATAAATATTTTGGGGCCATTTTGTGTATGATACACATGCATAGGTGCAAATATGGTGGATAATCATCGATCGAAAAAATTGTTTTTAATTATTTGCATCCGTTATTTATATTTAAAAGAATGTTGCTATAAAATACTTATTTATCTGAATGTAAAAAAATACATGCCAAATATTTAAGTAATATATATATATATATATGAGTTTCTGATGCGGTGTATTTTGTGGAATTTACAAGAATTAGCGTGCCTGAAGCCAAGAATGTGAGTAATTAATAAATTAAGTGCTTATGAGTAATTAAATTAATATTATTTGGAGTACTTACGATTATCCGCCATTGTGAATTAAAATTGACTGATGATGATCAGTAAATTTATCAATTAATCTGTAGAAAGCCGCGTAATGGCGGGAATTGATTTACTGATGAGATGGCATCAACACCATACACAAAAAGCGAAAAGGGGGTGAGGGTTCTGTTAAACTACTGATGCTTTTTTTTTCATGCGCACATCTTTAATCTGTTCCAGGTGCGCAGTATTATTTTTACTTGAGTCTAGTTGTTTTATTAGACCGACTTCCGGTTTTATTTTCGTGAAATATTTGAAAAACTGTTTCTATTGTTTTTATGTGTAAGTAAAATTGTAAAATTTACTCACATACGTCTCAAATGTAAAAAATGTAATTATTAATTTTTAAAAATTATGCTAAATGCAAAAAACACTTGACATCATTTTTAAATTTTTAAATAAAGTAATCAAAACGTCAAAAGAAATTTTTTTAAGTTGAAATGTATTTTTTAAAATAAATTTTTTATTTATTATTAACTTTATATTGCAAACACGACTTGTCAATCTTCAAAAATGTTTATTGTTATATAAAATTCATAAATATAAATATTTTTAAGAAAAAATGTAATTATTATAATTATTATGATTAATTTATGATAATAATATATAACAATATTTTTATATTTTGTTTTGTTTATTTGTTTAATAATAATCAATAATAAATTTACTACCAACATAAAAATAATTGAAAACAGTAAATATAGTAGTTATGGTCATTTTAGTCATTTTTATAATTTACAATTGATAAATGACAATACCTTAAGAAAAAAATCAATAAAATGACAAATATTAATTTTATATAAATTATTTATTTATTAAATCTTTTTCAATAATTTTTTATTTAATTATTATTATTAAATTAAAAAACAAAACTGTACCGGAAATAATGTACTGCCAGATGTCGTTAGTTTCAGAATCTGATCTGAATTATCATAAGTGAATAAAAAATGATGATGATGACTTATAGTTTTACTTCCAAGTAGTTGGTAGCAATGTTTAAAAATCGAGGGAAAGCAGCAGCGTTGTAACGGCTATTGTCAACAGACAACAAACTACTAACAACTTCTCACACGCTTTGTTATATATATTAATTATTTGTGTTTATGATATAAATACTCAATTAATTATCTCGGAGTTTTTTAATCAATTATTTAACTCGGAAGAACATTCATTTGGCTTGATAACCACAGAAAGTGGTAAGTTAATATTTTTTGCTCAGTTAATTAAGCATTTGTGGTTAGAGTATTGCACCGGAAAACTTTTCATTGTTATATTCATTTTATAAATTTTCATATCTTTATTTTGTTCAAATAAAAATCTCAAAAAATCAAATAAATTAAAAAAAAAATATTAAAATTATTGAGTGTTAGACTAACTGCTAAAGTTAGTCGACGTTTAATTTTTTCTCATTTATTAAATTGGAACAAAAAAATATTTTTTAAAAATTCCATTTAAAGTTTTTCATGTTTTTTACAAATGAAAATTTTTTTAATTTTTTTGTAATAATTTTTTCAATAATTAATTTTCATGAGTGCTAGAGTAATAATATTTAACAATATTATAACTTCTCTAATTAGCTTTGAAATTTTTGAATATCTTCGAATATTGCGATTGTTTATAAATATTATTGAAATTAGCAATATCTGCTATGTTCAGTGTAATTATGAGTAAACATTTAACTTAACACAAACTTATTAATCATTAAATAACTTAATCAGATGTAAAATATTTTTATTATTATAATTATTGAATTATTCGTTTGAATTTTTTAATAGATCACAATTGATCACTGAAAAGCCAAAAATGTTATCATCGAGTGATAGTGGTAAAGGCGAATCACTGAATACTCCGAAGAGGTTTCAAAAAAAATCATTCAGCGCCCTGAGTGTAAGTTCAACCAAAAGAAATTTATTTAAATCGGATGAACGAGACAAGCATGTTAGCCATGGATCGGAATCAGAATCTGATCTGGGGCCAATGTCACCGCTGGCTGTTACGGATAGCAGCTGCGAAAGTTCACCAGGTCGACAATACGAGTCGCCCTTTACTACACCCGAAAAGTCACCACGTTTTTTAAGTCTCACATGGGATCGACTTCGTCCCGCGTCTTGCACTCGTGATAGCAATAGCTTGTCACCGTTCAGCTCTCTCAGAAGATTAACTCGCAACGCACGCTCGACACCGCGGCGTCGCTTTAGCTTAAACTCACCTAGTAAATCATCCTCGGGCTCGAGCACACCGAGTCGTCGGCCTCTGTTTGACAATGTCATCCCCGAGACACCGAAAGACGCTAACACAAATATTCTCGATGCTTATATAGAAGACGAAATAATTCCAGAGACGCCTCAGAAAGATCCAAGCGATGACACGCCACACAAAGAAAATTATCATGAAGGTAAACTCATAACTCCTCTTGGTTCTGTCTGCAAACAGGCATCAATACCACGCTTACATAGACGTAAGTCTGTTTGTACGCAAGACTCTATTGATGGATCCTCACCGGAGCCTCTTAAAGCTGCCAAATTAGCAGCTACTAAGAGACATTTTAATGAGTCGTCATCGTCGATGCAGAGTGGCCTCAAGTTACTCAAGACTGATGTAAATTACACAATACCTAAAGCAAGAGCTTCACTATTTCCTGAAGAAAAAAGCACACCCCCGCAATTTTCAGCACTTAGTACAAAATCATTTTACAATAGCTCGAGTTGCGTTGATCAAAAACGTCACTCTTTTGGGTTTGGTTGGCGACCTGCCGAAAAAGAAACTAAAAAACGTCACAGTTTGCCGTCCCAGAAAAAATCTGGCTCTCGCAAATCACACTTTGGTCAAATAAATGCTGGAGTAAGACATGGAATCAAAAGACCCAAAATAAAACGTCGTCTTTCTCCCAATAAATCGCTTAGTAAGAAATCCCCTGGGACGGTAAAAAATTCAACAGAAACTACCGACTTACAGAAAATTAATCAACAGAATGTTGAAGTTGACGTTCATGTTGACGCTAATATTAAAAACAGTGACAATATTCACTTAGTTTTCTATCAAGAGCAAAAAGAAAATGAGCCTATGGAAACAAATGTCGAATTAATGGAAGAAAATAAAATTCCAGCGTCGCCAGTACGCGAGGATCCTAACAAAAGATTTTTTAAGACAAATAGAACATTAAAACCGCGTCATGTTGCTACTGTTACTGTCAACGACAAAATTAAATTGAAGGTTTCAGATGGTAAGATTGCTCTCAACCAGAAAAAGAGTAAGCATGTCAAAAAGAAGCCGAGGCTAGAAGAGGCACCAGTGACGATGGACGCGTCTGATTTAACGGTTGACGAGCCGGCTATCGATGGAAAGGCTATTGATAAAGACGTCGTAGATTTGTTGAAAGTGTTGGAGGATGATTGGGCTGATGACGAGTATGATACTATGGAGAATCTAGCGCTGGCTAATGTCAATAATCGATCACCGATTAAAGCCAGCCGTGGTGTTCGCGATGACGGAATTCTTATGTCGCCTGCTAGTGTTCTCAGTTCCATGACTTCGGAAATGAATATTAAGGATCAGGTTGTTCCTAAAGGCCAAGAGAAATCTGAGCCTATAAATTCTGAAGCTAATCAAAAATTGTTTCCTTTGTTTACCAAAGGATACTCTAGTAATGTTGAATTATTTGAGTAAGTTAATTTTAATATTTATATTGATTATTTTTATCTACTCATGACTTATGAGATTATTTTGATTTTAGAGAGGCAAAAAAAACTGGTCGAGGTATAAAACGTCCACATGGATGGCAATTATCGACAAAAATCAATGGTGGTAGTGATCAATATCAATTGGATGTTGGACAGAAACGTTTTGGTACAACACAATGTAATGAATGTGGTGTTGTTTATCAAATTGGTGAACCAGAAGATGAAAATGCTCATTTGATATTCCATAACAGTATTCGAAAATTACGATTCAATGTAAGTTTTTATTTTATTTTGTTATTTAGTCATAATTATGATATTTTTTATATTAATAGTCGATATTTTGTTTTGTTAAAGGGCTGGAAAAATGAACACGTTGTATATGAAGATGAAATTACTAACAGCCGTATTATTACAATAGAACCAAATGACCCTAAACATTGCTGGAAGAAAGTCGAAGAGATCCTTGAATTGATCAATCAAGATTTAGGGTTAAATGATATCGAGATAACTAACTGCACGAATAGAAAGGTAAATATTTACATTTTTAATTTGACTCACCAATTATTTTTATCAGATTAATTGATTGTTTTAATAAATTTATACAGATTTACTTTTACATACGAAACAAGTGTATTGTTGGAGTGCTAGTTGCTGAAAGTATCAAAGAGGCTTACAAAATGATACCTGAACTAATTGATTTAGATTGTTGTGAAGAAACTCCATCGCCTGCTAAATGCGGTGTTAATGTTATATGGACTGCTTTGAGTCATCGTAGACAAGGAATTGCTAGAAAATTATTAAATATCCTTAGGTAAACATTTAATTACATTTTTTTAATATTTATCAATTTAAAAATTCTATTTATTAACTTTTTTATTTTTCTTTCAGATCGCATTACTTTTACGGTTACATAATGACCATAGATGACCTCGCATTCTCAACACCCTCACTTGGAGGAAAAATATTCGCTGAAAAGTACACCGGAGCACGTAACTTCAAAGTTTATCACTAATTATTTTTATTCAAATCAACTTACTCACTTACTTTGAAAAAAAATTTTAAAGTGAGGTTTTTAAATCAAAATAACTTTTTTAATGGATTTTTCATATGAATTCAAGTTGATTTTTATCGTTTTTTATTTATATATATTTTTTAACTAACTTACAATAATTTTTCAAATTTTCTTCGAGCTTTACTATTAATTTATAATATTTATTTAAAAATTACTACCGTGTCATATTTTCAATTTACTATGAAAAATTTTTTTTTTTTTTTATTATATCAATTAGCAATTTAGCTTGAAAATCAAAATACTACGATCACAAATATAAATTACTAAGTAAGTTCTATCCCGTAAACTAACACGTATTTTAATATTAATTTAAACAAGAGATTATTGCTATACTCTCTCTCTCTCTGCTAATCAAATCAAATTGTTTTTAACTGAATGACTTATTTTTGTATTTATATAATTACTTGAATAAAATTAATTGTCAGCACTTGAAAAAAAAAATCAAATGTATTTATACTTATAAATAAATCCAAAATAAAAAAAAAAAAAAACACTAAAAATACTTACTGGATATAAAAATTATATTAAGTAGCTTTATTTATTAAACAATACACAGCTTTAAATACAGTCAAGTGGAAGAAAAGATTGCTTTTGTTAAACGTATTATAATATATATTTGATAACTCTTAACAATTGAGTCTTAAGAAAATTAAGTAGAATAGAAAATAATTATTAAATTTTTATCAACGTCTTGATAAAGCTCGTAAATATAATAAACATAATAAAGAAAGATTATTATAAACATTCGTTAATTTCTGCTAAATAACGTACACAATACTAATACATATACATAAATCTAATTAACACAAAATAATATATGCAAATGAGTGGAAGACTCAGATTATTAAATCTTTAATAATCTATTTTATTAATATATTATAATATTTTATTATTATATATTTAATTATAATATATTAATCCTGAAAAAGTATATCTTTCAAGCATGTTATCACACATTTGTACTTGGTCATTAAGCAGTCTTTAAATAGCAATTGACGAATGTTTGTACTTATCTTCTGTCTTTAAATTAAAAATTTTAGTACAGAAGTTAAACTATAAGTTAAATTTTGCGTAATTAATAAAATGAATCATAATTGTTACGGCCTCGACCACCGCGGCCTCCTCCACGTCCTCCTCGTCCACCTCTTCCACGTCCTCCGCCGCCTCCGAAAGAGTTATTGTCTCCACCACGTTCGCCGCCGTAGCGACCTCCTCCACCTCCACGAGCGTCCATACGTGCTAAATCTTTATCCTGAGCCTTACGCTCTTTCCATGCATCATAACGCTCGCACATTTTAAATAATTCTTCAGGTACTTCCTATTAAACAATTAATTGTTATTATTAAAAAAAAAAAAAAAAATTAATCAATTTATTAATTCAATCTAACTTTATGAAATTACCTGACTAGCTTCTTCTAAAATAGCGATCAGTTGCTTAGCAATAGCCCAATCACCACGAGTAACAAGACTAATACTCTCACCAGAGCGACCAGCGCGCCCAGTACGGCCAACACGATGGACATATTCTTCAATATCACGTGGGAAATCATAATTAAACACAAGCCTGTAAATAATAAATATTAAAAATATTTTTTTAATTACTAAAAATTTTTATTTAAAAACATTTATCTGTAAATACTTACGTGATATCTTCAATATCAATACCGCGGCTAGCGACATCGGTAGCAAGAAGAATTTTTACTTCGCCAGATTTCAAGTCAGCTAGAGCTTGTTCTCTGTCCGCTTGTTCGCGTCCACCATGAATACTTTGTGCATTTACACCGCTAAGAGCAAGTTCACTTGCCAAGTCATCAACTCGCGCTTTTTTACCGAAGAAAACCATTGCTTTGTCTTTTTCTCCCATACTTTGAAAGAAGTTGTGGAGCTAAATCGATAAAATACATCATTAATTAATTTCAACTAAGATTAATGATCGGACTTACGGATCTGAATCTCACAACTTACTTCTTGAGTTTTTTCAGATTCATCAACAATTCTAATTGTTTGTCGCACTGAATGCGTAGCAGCCAAGTCTAGAGAGCCAACGTAAACTTGGATGGGGTCATTCATGTACGACTTAACTAATCTTCTGACTCCGTCGGGCCATGTAGCACTAGAATAAATGAGTTTATGATTAATAAAAATTCTAAAACCATATAATCTATATTATTAAGAGAATAAACAAAATTTTGTGGCCAGTGTATTTTATATGATAAAATGGGTTTTTATGGTTAAATTTGGTATCGTTGGTAAGATCTTGAATTGAAGTTGTGCCTTTTCAAGGTTTCATATTATTTTCACCGATAATCAATTTATTATAATAAGTATTTAGGCTGCATTCGAAAATGCTCTATTTCTAGATACATAATTACGAAATGACCTTGTATCTCGTGAACTATTGAAATTTTTGAAGATATAAGCTCATCCCGACGTTACACTCATCAAGACCTTTCATTTAAGTACCCACATCAATTTTTCATATATTTATATATATTATAATATATATGTATATATGAAAAATATATGAAAATGCATGTGGGTACTTAAATAAAAGCTCTTGATGAGTGTAACATCGGGATGAGCTTATATCTTTAAAAATGTCAGTATTTAAGAAAGTACAGTGCAATTTAATCTGTTATAGTAAATAAATAAATAAATACCTGGTCATAACAGTCTGACGGTCAGGACGAACATCAATCAAAGCCTTGCGAATTTGAGGCTCGAATCCCATGTCTAACATTCTGTCAGCTTCATCCAGTACAAGATAACTTATTTCGCTGACATTGAGAGAACCAGCCATCACGAGATCATTCAATCTGCCGGGAGTGGCAATCACAATGTTAACACCCTTTTCTACACTGAGGACTTGTTCTTTGCGGCTTCCTCCTCCATACAAGCAAGTGGCTTTGATACCACGGTAGCTGTACTTTTGAACTTCGCTGTAAATTTGCAGAGCTAACTCTCTAGTAGGGGCCATTATCATGACATTAGGACCGACACGTTTATCACGAGGAGTCTCTTGTCCGTCAATGTGAATCAAAGCAGGTAGCAAGAACGCTAAAGTTTTTCCAGTACCTGTTTGGGCAATTCCAATCATATCCTTTCCACTCAGTAAAACCGGCCATGCTTGACACTGAATTGGACTAGGTTCTTGGAAGCCTTGCTTGCGAATCTCGTCCATAATTTCTGGATAGTGACGAAACGCTTGCTCGAATGTCGTCACGGGGTTCGGGACTTTGTTGTTCTCGGGATTCTCAACATCTTCAATCATAACGCGACAGTCTATGTTGTTCTTGGACTGACGGATTCGAGCCGCTTCTTCCGGAGACATGTTAGCGATTTCAGGATCTTCAATGTAGAAATTTTTCTTCAGTGGTTTTAAGTGTTTCCAGCGCTCTTGTTCAAAGTTCTTTTGCTCTTCGTTCACAGCAGCCCAATCAAAGTCACCGAAATCTAAAGGATCACGCTCTTCTTCCTGAGGCTGAGATAATTGCTGTTGTGTATCTGGCTGAGGTTGGTGCCAGCTACGTTGAGTGTTTGATGACCTCTGATAATTTTGGCTTTGGGACTGCTGATAATTTTGGCTTTGAGGCTGCTGATAATTTTGGCTTTGGTTTTGTTGATCGTTATCCCACTTTGCTGAACCGTAAGGTTGACGGTCATCTTGATGCTCATAAGAGTGCCTATCATTTGATCTGGAACCGTATGACTGTCTGTCGTCTTGTCTTGAATCGTATGACTGTTGTCTATCACCTTGTCGAGATCCGTATGATGAATCATCGCTAGTAATATTGTTGATCAATTCCTGTGCCTTTTCTCTCGCCTCTTCACTGCCGGTTATCCTGACTGATGTTCCAATACCATCAGTGCTCTTGTCAATCTAGATTATTGCAACATTAAATCTAAACATTAACTTCTGCGATATTTTAAGGATAAAAAAATTAATTAAAATTAAAAAAAAAAATTACACTGATGTTAGCTCCAGATTGAGCTTGTAGATCCTTAATAGTAGCACCTTGACGACCAATAATTCTGCCAACGAATTTCTGCTGAATTTGAATCGTCACTAAATTTGAGTCTTGTCCTTGACTCCCATAGCTCGCGTTACCACCTCGAGATTCTCGTCCTTGATTATTATTATCACGATTAGAATTTGTCCATTCACGGCGTTGATAACCATCATGGTTTCCTCTTCTTCCACCTCTGCCACCTCGTGATCTATTGTCACCCCAATTACTCATCTGAAAGGAATTGAATTATTTAAAATAAATAAAGTATAATAAAAATAATAATTTTAGATAGATAATGATATAAAGGTTAGAATTTACGCGTACAGTTTTTCTAAGAATCTCAAATACGATCTGACTTAGTACATTCCTAAGCCGTTGAATTTGATACGCTAGATATGTATATATATATATATACCACTAAGAAATAAATGACATTGATTGGTTTCAAGTTCTTGGAAGCTTTTCGATAAAATTCCTAAATATTTATACACTTACGTTTTTTGATAATTATTTTTATAATATTTAACAGATTAAATAAAGTTAAAAATTTTCTTATTCATGAGGCACTTAAGATACAATGGCAATTGATGGAAAGCGCCAGTAACTATTGAAGCCGGTAAAAATACACAAGTGCCGCAGTGTGATAAACCCATGTGTGAGAACAAAAGAAAAAAAAGACAAAGGGTTTGTGTTTGTGCGAATGATACTGCGCATGTGCGCATTGCATATATCAAACAGGAAGAGACGGTTTTAATTCTTATCGACTGAGTTACTTTTGTAGCGGTTACATCTTATTCTAGTTCTGTTTACATTCTCCATACTTTCAAAATTTTTATGTAGTTAATATTCCAACGGGTTTCATTTTAATAATATTAAAAATGTACTTAATATTTGTATAGTTTATCAATGATATTAAAGTAACCAGTCACTTGACCATTTTTTAATTTTATTTAACAAAAAAATTGTTTTTAAAAAATTGCATTTTTAATTTATTAAATTTTCTAAATGTCATTTTTTTTTTATTTTTTTTTATACAGTAATTTATTTATTAAAAAAATTCTTAAGATTATCAAATATCTGCTAAATTAATTTTCATAGTTTATCAATTAATTACGTTCATAATAACATTATTGTTAAAAAATAAATTTATGCAGTGGAAAGAAAAAACTTAAGTGAAGTGTGTTTAAATCTCTTTGTGCCGGTTTCAAAAATTTTTCTTCATTTTTAATAAAATTTAAAAATTTTCAACTGACTGTTAAATTTAATCTCATTAATTTTTCTAGTGATCTGTGTTATTAAGTAAAGTTTTATCTTGAGAATTGTTGATAGTGACATTAAAAAATTATTTAATCCTTAATTTTTATTCCATTGGTTTCCTCAATTTTTTAAGGTAAATATTTAATTTTTTTAATTTAAAGAATAATTTATTTTATTTAATAATTTATGTAATCAAACCTGTGATAATTTCTGAAATAAAATTTTATTTATTTTTAAATTTCAGGTAAGAAAAGAAAATTGCAGACTCGGTGAGTAAATATTTATATAAATTATATTAAATTCTATTTAAAGTTAAATTATAATTATAGAGGAAATTAACAAGTCAAATTGTTTATAATTTTAATCATTATTTTATTACCAAACGTATTACCAGCCATATTAAAAAACGATACATAAATTGTTAAATGACAGTTTGGTGTTTTTAAAAGTTTTTGTTTACATTGAATCAATATTCATTAACAATTACAATTAAAAAAAAATAAATCACTACAAGTTCATTCTATTTGAAGTTAGTATGTTTAATAAACACTGAGAATAAAAGATAGCTAATGCTTGAATTGATTTTAATCCTCAGCGCTCTGAGTAAATCATCGCATTTAGTGCGACCATAATTTTTTTTTTCATTTATCGTTCAATTTTTATTACAAAATACATTTGATCAATAAAAAAAAAAAAAAAAAATAGCCGTGTATTATCAGACTTTATGGAAGATTAAAAAAAAATTAACATTGACTTAAACGAGAGTCACAAGATGCATATTTCAATACAAGATCGACATAATTTATCTGTTCAGTTGATTAATGACCTAAAAGATATTGTTTATCATAGCTTTTAATTATAAAAAAAAAAAAAAATAATTTACAATATAACTGATAACTGCTAATCGTCAGAGTTTAAAAAACTATAATTACTTCAGCTTTTTTATTCTAATTTATTTTCCAAGTCAAGTAGATAGAGAATTAATTTATAATTGATATATTTCTAAATTTATTCAATGGACAAAAAAAAATAATTATTACAGTAGATTTGACATACAGTATAATCGTTTATAAAAACAAAAATTGGATAGTACATACTTGTAGTAATCATAAATTATTATTTTCTATTTACGGAATTGAAATGATGGTTTAACTATACCACTATGTTAAAAATACTTATTATGATTGGATTGTATGATGAGTTCGTATTTTTGTCTGTACTTATTTTTTATTTTTTTTTTTTCCATAATATTAATAATAATAAAAATTATAATTTTAGCTCATTACCATTATTTTAAAAGATTTATGTAAATAATTGATGAAAAAGATTATTTACTTTTTCATTTTTTTACACACTTTTTTATTTTTTTTTTTTTTAATATTGAAACGACAGGGGATCATTAATAAGGCCCTCGATCACTTCGTCTTGAACTGTAAGATGACCCACGATCATTTCCAGAGCCGTATGAAGATCTATCATTAATAACATCTTCAATGAGATGTTTAGCTTTTTGTCGAGCCTCCGGAGATCCTGTTATTGTTACAGGAATGCCATCTCTGTACCCAGATTTATCAATCTAAAAATAATTTAAAATTATTATGACATTACATCATCAATTAAATATTTCAATTATTAACTCACTGATTAATTAATAAAATTGACTAAAAATTCAAAAAATAATTACATTAATGCGAGCATTACTCTGAGCTTGAAGATCTTTAATATTAGAACCACCACGTCCTATAATTTTACCAACATGCTGTTGCTGAATATGCATGACAGTTGTGCTAAAATATAAATGAAAAAATTTAATTAAGAATAATAATTACCCAATAAGAAAAAGAATTCCATGAAAGCTATTATAAATCCATGCCGTGTATTACCCATGAATAATATAGCTCTCAAAAAAGATACCTTTTGATTCTTTGGCAATAACAATTTGTATGAATGTATTTGAATCAATATAAATATTTATCGAACGAACGAACGAAAAGGTGGCATTATACGACATTATTTGACAAAATGAACAATTGGACAAGACAAGCATTAACTATTGAACAGATTTTGGACATTATGTTAAACATTTTGAATTTTCTTCACCTCTGTCGATCATAGTTCCCATGATAAGAACCATTACTACGTGAACCATCTCTTCCACGACTATCGCGATAAGAATTACTCCATTCTTTACGTTGATATCCACCACCATTACGTCTATCTCTACTATCACTTCCATATTTGCGATTTCCATAACCTCTGTAACTTCCACCACCTCCTCCTCCTCCTCCTCCGCCACCTCCTCCACCGCCGCCACCACCTCCAAATCCTCGGCGGCTTCCTCCGCCACCCCCGCTGGTACTACCAGCACCTCTAGTGCTACCTCCACCGCCTCCACTGTTACTTCCACCTCCGCCACCACTTCCACTGTCGCTACGTCTCCTTCTGTTAGTATAATCGCGATTATAACTGTCACTCATCCTGAAAACAAAAAAAAATAATGAAAATTAATTTAGCATATATTTTAGAATTTTTTTAACAATTAAATTATGACGCAAAAAAATGACGAAGAAATTTTAAAAAATTATAAATGCAATTTTTTAAAAATAATTTTTGGAATAAATTTTTTTTTTGTTTTATAAACTTAAAAAATTATCGAGTGACTGCTTGCTAACTTTAATGTTATAAAAAAATATATTTAATTTATTTCATCATCTTTTTTTCAACCCCTCCGTCATGTCTAAGGACAAAAAAAAAGGAGCCAACAGTTTTTTTTTTTTTTTTTTTAAACCGATAAATTAAAATTTAAAAACGAAAAATTAAAAAAGTAAGTATGAGAATATTTCGAAATTAATATAGATATTCCAAAATTTTTTTTTTCCCAGTATGCATTTTGTTTATAAAAAGTGAGATGCTATTGGATATCGGCTATTTTCAGTTTCATTAAATTTATCATTATAAATTAAATAAATTATTTCACCATTAAATATTACGCATTATTGATCTCATATTTATTGATTTCATAAATTTTTAAACGTTTGTGGTTATTTGTCGCAACATAACCCGGTATAGCCATTATGACTATCTACGATCTCACGGATAATTGATAAAATTTTCAACAGGAGGAATAAAACCGAAACGTAGCTAAAAATTAAATTTATGAAATAATAAAATTAAAAAATAAATAAATAGTATCTGTAAACTTATAAAAACGTACTTACTTGATAAATAAAATCAATAAAGTGTCTTAGAATCAAATATACAGCAGTTTAGGTGACGATGCTGATGATGGTGGTGATAGACGTTAAAATTTTTTTCACAGCTTTGTATTAATATAAATGGAGACTCGCGATGGTGGATGGTTAGTAATGGTTGGTCGTTGCTTGTTGGTTGTTGGTAGTTGTCGTGGTCGCCGCCAAAGTTAACGTCGTCGTTGAGAAGAAGCTTCGGGTTTTTTCGGTTTAGACTTGGAACTTAAAGCCGCGGTTGCAATTGCTTCTGCGCCTCTATTCTAACCACTCACAGTTGGACACTTCTTGTACTCACTTGTATCAAGTGTATTGCTAAAGTGTCATATACAAAGAATTTTCTAATAAATCTTGGAAATAAAAATTCACATCCAATGGGGGTTACAAGGAAAACAATTGCCGCCATTTTTCGCCGAAAAGCCGGTAATGGAAACTTAAGGTGCATTTACAATTGTTTATTCGTTAAAGTGATTAATATTTTTTGTTTATTGTTATTATAAACAACTTGTCAACTTGTCAATAATTGTTTTTATTTTTTTTGCGTTTAAAATCACTTGTGTTAAAAAATTTAAGAAGACTTTTTTGTGTTAATAAATAAATAAATTAATTAATTATTAAAATTATAGTGATGAATATAAATAAATAATAAAATGATAATTAAGTTAGTCGACATTTAAAAATTTTTAGAATTTTTTTTTTATTAAAAAAATCATTACAAAAAAATAAAAAGTAATTTTCATTTGTAAAAACTATAAGTGCAATTTTTAAAAAATATTTTTTAGTTCTAATTTAGTAAATGAAAAATAATCAAAAAATTATAACATCATCAGCTTACTTTAGTATTATATAATAAAAATCTAAAATGTCAAAAAAAAAGAAAAAAATAGAAGCTTGGGCTGAAAATGGATTGGAAGATTGGGTAAGTAAATTTATTTATTTATTATTTTAATAAATTATTAATTAAAATGATTATTAATATTTTTTAGGGGTCGTATATGGCAGCAAAAAAAGCCAAGTTGGAAGATCAATTTGAGGAGGCTGCTGTCACTGAATTTACGGAGGCAACAAAATTGTTCCAAGGAATAGCAATATTTGTCAATGGTTATACACATCCATGTGCTGATGATTTGAAGCGATTGATGATGGAGCATGGGGGTACTTATCACCATTATTTGCGCTCTGGAAGAACAACACATCTAATTGCTTCTAATTTACCGTACAGTAAAATAATTATGTATCGCAAAAGTAAGAATCCACTCCCGCTTTGCAAACCCGAGTGGATCACGGACAGTATCAAAGCTAATAAACTGCTAGATTGGAGACCTTATTTGCTGTACTCGACTACATCGGTAACGCAGCCGCAGTTAAATTTCAAAAATGATAAGAAGGATCAGGAATCCCTTGCCACTGCGAGTTCTAATCAGCCGATTAAAAATTTAGTTGATACAGATGAGAAAGCAGTTGATTGTGACAGTAATAAAATTAAAGATCAAGAATTTTATGACAGTATGCCAGGTCCTTCAAATTGTAAACCGAGTTCTTTATCTAATATAGCTAATTTAGATAATGAAAATTTAAAAGGTAATAATAAGATTCATAAGATACGTAATGGCACAGCATTATGTTCTAAAAATGATGAATTTATTACTGAATTTTATAATAATTCTCGTCTGCATCATATATCAACAATGGGAGCAACGTTCAAAGAATATGTTAATGAATTACGCGCTAAAAATACTGGCTCGTATCCTGGATTCGATCGTTTGAAAAAGTTGAACCTTGATGGTAAATTAGCTAAAGAGAAAAATTCAGATGAGTGTAATGATTCTGATTCTGACGAATCGATATTCAACAGCGAGCGTATTTCTGCAATAAAAGCTCAAAAAGAACAAAACAAAATAGATGATTTGAAGGATGACAGCGATTCAGAGGAAGATTTATTTGACTTGGATAAGCCTACACCGAAAAGAAAATCACTGAAGCCCAAAGAAGATAATAAATTTGTGATAATGCACATTGATATGGATTGCTTTTTTGTATCCGTAGGTTTAAGAAATAAGCCAGAGTTAAAAGGATTGCCCATTGCCGTAACTCATGCTCGTGGAAATAGACCAACCTCCACAAATACTAATAATAATAATAATAAAGATGAGGAATTTTTGTCCATGGCAGAAATAGCATCTTGTTCGTATGAAGCAAGAAAATTAGGAATTAAAAACGGTATGTTTTTAGGACAAGCATTGAAGCTATGTCCCAATTTAAAAACAATAAAATACGACTTTGAAGGGTACAAACAAGTGTCTTATATTCTTTACAATACTGTGGCTTCATACACTCTGGATATTGAGGCGGTGAGTTGCGATGAAATGTATGCAGATGTTACTAAAATAATGACCGAGTGTAATTTAACGCCTGAAGAATTTGCTGACATAATACGGAAGGAAATAAAAGACAAAACTGGATGTCCTGTATCGACTGGGTTTGGAGGTAATAAACTGCAAGCTCGTTTGGCTACTAAACGTGCTAAACCTGACGGGCAATTTTATTTGACAAGTAGTAAAGTCAAGGATCACATTAGCAGCATTGGTGTGAGGGAACTACCGGGTGTAGGATACTCAACTATGCTAACGTTAAAAAAAATGAATATTAAAACTTGCTCAGATTTGCAAGACATTCCGTTGATTGTATTGCAAAAGGAGTTTGGTAAGAAAACCGGTGAACTTTTGTACAGCATGTGCAGAGGAATAGACACCACTAAATTAAATATTGAGCACGTGAGAAAATCTGTGTCCGCTGAAGTTAACTACGGGATACGTTTTGATGACGACAATGATGCAAGGGAGTTTTTAAAAAAATTATCCCAAGAAGTTTGTACAAGATTATCGAAGATCAATGCGAAAGGACGATGCATTACGTTAAAATTGATGGTGAGAGCCAAGAATGCCCCGAAAGAAACAGCTAAATTTATGGGTCATGGAATCTGTGATAATTTTACCAAGTCTAAAAATTTTATTTCCGCCGTTGATGATGAGGTTGTTGTCACCAGAGAGGTATTGGGGCTGTGGGAAGTGATGCAGCAGCCGGCTGATGATATACGAGGTATTGGCATTCAGATATCGAGGCTGGAGATGTTGAAAAAAAACGCTGATACTTATATGATGAAATTTGTAGCTAAAGCTAAACAGGCTGGTAATCAAGATAAGGAAGATAAAAATTTTGGAGGAAATTCTAAAGACACTGATAAATGTTCTGATGTTGGGAATAAGTGTCAGAATTCAGTAAATATTATTGATAAAAATAGTAAAGATGTTAATAAAAAAAATAAAACCAAGCCACAAGGTTTAAAGGCGTTTTTTACAGCAACAAAGCCGAATGTTAAAAATTTTAAACCAGTTGAAAATTTTCCAACTTCTACGGAAATTGACAAGGCTGTGTTGAATGAATTACCTGAGGATATTAAAATGGAGATATTAAATTACCATAAAATTGAATCTGGCACTTCGGTGGATGGTAAAAATAATGAGAATGATGTAAAGTTAATGAAAACGTCGTGTAATGTAGAAGTAAAAAATAAACCAACAGTTGAAATTGATGTTGAGGATAAAAATAAAATTTTAGTGCAAGGATCACAAGGGATTGATGAGTCAGTATTAACAGAATTACCGGAAGACATAAGAAATGAAATTCTGGCGACTAAGCCGATTGTTAAAAAAAAGTCAGTTCAAGAAATAGACAAAAATTATTTTAAACAGGTAAAACCTGGTAAATTTAGTAAAACAAAATTACCCGAGGTACAAGAACTTGATATGCAGGTACTGATTGAACTGCCAGATGATATAAGAAATGAGATAATGAATCATTATAAGTCGAGTAGTAATGGGCAGGATGAAGCGGAAGCTGGAGTGAGTGGGATAGCTCAAGACGGTGGAAATGAAGAGAGATCGGTTGAAAGTAATCAAAGGAGATTAATTGATGAAACTAATGTTACTTTTTCGCAAGTTGATCCCGAGTTTCTTGCAGCACTGTCTGAGGACATGAAACAAGACGTCAAGATGTACTGTCTGAGCAAGAAGAGAGAAAAAGAACGCAAGAAAAATGGTAATGAGCAAATTCATTTGCCGATTCCGATTCGCGCAAGCAATGAGGTAAAACCTAAGCGTGGTCGCAAGCCTAAAAAATTTATTCTGAACAGCAATAATAGTAATAGTGTAAAGACTAATAATAATAATAATAATAACAATGTGCAAAATAATAATAATAAAATTGTATCTAAAGCCAAAGAAGTTAAAATAAATGGTAATCTTGATGAAAAAAATTTAATGATAAAACGCAGAAGCTTTTTAGAAAATGAAATAAAAATATCGTCTAATGAAATGAGAGTTAATGATAGACGTGAAGCTATCAAGTCTCATCAATCAGTATTCCGTGGTCGCAGTGTCAAGTCATATGAACATCAAGAGATGTTGAATAATTTAGTAAATTATTTATTTAGTCTTCCATTGCTTCAGGTAATTTATTACTCAATAATCGAATAAAAAATTATTTAATGTTTAATTTTATTATATTATTTAATAATAATCAACTCATTTCTTAACTTTAATTAATTTTTAATTTTCTCTTTAAGGTAAAAAATCATTTACAAGCATGGATTTTAAACTCGCCATATGCTAATGAAATAGATATATTATCGATAGCTACATTTCTTAGTATGCTCCCAACTGAAAAACGTATTGAAGACTTGCATATATTAATGAAAACAATGTACAGGTAATTAATTATGTATATAAAAATTAAAAATATTATGTATAAATAAAGTATTTAATTAATTTAAATAAAAACATAAATTAAAAAATAACACAAAAATGTAATAAGATTTTTTTTTTCATTTACTTTTTTAAAGTAGTTCGTAATAAACAAAAGTGGTATCATGATAATAAAAATTACATTATTAATAATAATAACTAATTAATTAATAATAATAATAATAACTACATGTTTGTTTGTTTTAGATGTATGACCAAAAGTGGAAGTTGTGTTTGGCATGAAACATATAGGAAAACTGTTGAGCACGTTCAACATTATATGCAAATAGAGTACAATAGTAATTTATTATTACCATCGATAAGATGTAACCGCCGCGAATGCAAAAAGTGATTGATTCATTAACTTATTAATTAATCGATCATGCTATATTTATAATTATTATATATGATAGTGAGTGTGTGTGTGTGACGTAAATTTGTTATTGTTATTACTTTTATTTTAAATCATTATTTTTATATTTTTTAACTCTTGTTTTGAATAAATTATTATTTTATACAATTGACCTAATAGAAACATATTTACAAGCAAACATGATACTTACCTTCGACCTTAATGTACACAATACCACCATTTCATTTTTTTTTTTTTACATGTAATGACAAATCATGCGTGTTGGTTTTTAGTTATTTTTCATTCATTTATGTATATATAATTAAACGTAGCAAAAGGAGCAGTGCGTAATTCAGTTATGGTATAACTATAGACTCCCTTTAACTCATAATATCTCCATATATATAAATCAGTAATAATTTCATAAACGTATCGATTCGTAAAACTTTTTTCTTTTTTTTAATAGATATAATTTTTTAGTTTGTTTTTTTTTTTTTTTTAAATATAGTTTTTTTTGCTTTATATCTGATTCGTTACGCGCAAACGGGTGGTGAAAAAATATAAAGGAGTAAGTCGAAAAGTAAGTGTCTATTATTCCCATTCGGTGGTACCAGGTGGTTTTGATGACAAATCGTAAAGTACGCGTGATATCCCTGGTACTGTTGAAATTTCGGCAATCATTTTTTTAATAACCTGTTAGAACAGAAATTAATTACAGATTAACTCAAGTATATATGTACTATTCAATTGTTAATATTACAATTTTTTATCGATTTGATAAAATAATAAAAATATAAAGAACAATGCTTACATGTATTGGCAATTGATTGCCAGGTATAGCCGGTGTACCAGTCATAAAATCACTTGAACAGAAAGGCCTAAGTACAACAGAACGTTGACATGAAGGCACCCGAGATGCAGCATCTCGATCAAAATGCACAGGTATCAATACAACTGGCATCTGACTGATTGCATTCATACAGTTATTTGACACTAGTACTTGATTAGCCAAGTGATCGGCTTGTCGGAGTGTCGAGATAACATTTGAGGTGAGATGCGTTGGTGTAATGTCTGTTATTGGATGCTGAACTATCGGCCCAAATATATAACAGATACGATTCACGTTGTGACACACGCGAGGGATCAGTCTTGCTAGGAATAATAAATCTTCCCAGATTACATTCTCTAGTGGCAGTTCCTTATCTGGCTCAGGTCCCTGACACGACAGTCCAACCACGTAACTATAACTTCTTCGGTCGCCCTTTGGAAAATAAAATCAACATTTAAAATTTTTCTTCATACTTATTACTTATTACCTACTAGGGAAGTATTAATAAAATATTTACTTGTACTCCAACGCTGCGTATTGGTAACAATGTCGCAGCAATGTGATTTTCACTGGATACTCTGCGTAAATGTTGCCGTTCAGATTCACTTGTTGCACTTTCAACACGATTTAATAGTGCGTGTTTTTTTTGGAGCATTTGCTCATATTCAGCCATTATTTTTACGATTACCTAAATAAAAAAAAATTTTTTTATAGATCTAAATAAAGCTAGCTTAATTAGATCAAAACAAGTCTATTCAATTTTATTATCACATTAAACTTTTGACCTTTGATAATTATGTTGAAATGCGATAAAAAAAAAATTATTATCATGACATTAACATAAATATCAATGTAATAATAATAATAATAAATTAACTGTTAAAGAATGAATTTTTAAAAAATATTACCTGAGTTTCAGAAAAATCTTTGTCCATATAAGGCTCATCAGCACATAGAATACGTATTGCTAAACCAGGACCAGGAAATGGATGTCGTTGAACAAGAGGGGCTGGTAATCCTAGATCACATCCAATCTGTCTCACTTCATCTTTGTGAAAATCTTTAAGCGGTTCAACAACTCGTCCTTGAGACCTTAAAGCTCTCACAAGTTCACTGTCATTGTGATGTGTTTTAATAGCATCAGCTTTACCTAATTAAATAAATAAGAAAAATAAATTATAAATAATTAACTCAGTATTGTTAATTAGTAAAACATACCACTGGCAAGTGCGCTGGCACTTTCAATAAGGTCGGGCCTCAGCGTACCCTGTCCTAGAAAAACTTGCTCAGGCTTCAATCCCATTTCCGTCATTGCGTCGTTGGCAACGCGGACAAACACATCACCGATTATTTTACGTTTTTCCTCAGGGCTTGTTGTCTGACACAGCATTTTAGTTATTCTAATTCTCGGGCCAATAGCCGTAACGCCTATGCCCTTGTTGTTGGCAATGTTTGTCGGTGATACATGATCAAGAGGCACTGAAGTAGTACCTTCCATAAAATTGTGAGTTGCATTTATAACACGCAACTTTACTCCCAATTCGGCTAGACTTTGTTCAACAAAGGGTGTCTCGCCTTTGCGCATAAATCCATTATTAATATGTAAAGGTATTACTTGCTCTTTACTCAATGCTTTATGTAATAATGCCGCGCATACAGTTGAATCAACTCCTCCGCTCACAAGCAACTGTAATTATTTTAATTTAATTACTTAAATATCAATAACTCATTTTCAAATTTTACTCATTTTTATCAGATTATTTAATTTGAATTGTAATAGATATTACGGTTGTTATATTTTAATATTAAAAACTATATATAAATAAAATTTTGCTTTATTAAATAATTACTTTTGTTAAATTGCACTGTACTTTTTTAACGATTGACGATTTTAAATATATAAGCTCATCCCAATGTTACACTCATCAAGAGTTTTCATTTAAGTACCCACATGTATTTTGATATATTTTTCATATATACATATATGTAATATATATAAATATATGAAAAATTGATGTGGGTACTCAAATGAAAGGTCTTGATGAGTGTAACACCGGAATGAGCTTATATCTTAAAAAATGTCAATAGTTCACATGGTACAACGTCGTTTCTTAATTATGTTAAATTGCACTGTACTTTCTTAAATACTGAAATTTTTAAAGATATAAGCTCATCCTGATGTTACACTCATCAAGAGCTTCCATTTGAGTACCCACATGCATTTTGATATATTTTTCATATATACATATATATAATATATATAAATATATGAAAAATTAATGTGGGTAGTCAAATGAAAGATCTTGATGAGCATAACATCGGGGTGAGCTTATATAATTGAAAATGTCAATAGATTACAAGATACAAGATCATTTCTTGATGATGTATCTAGAGATAGAGCATTTTCGAATGCAGCCTTAATACTTATCATCAGATCAAGACTTTTCCAACGATACCAAATTTAACCATAAAAATTCATTTTATCATATAAGTACACTGAAAGCCAGAAAATTTTAATTATTCTTTTAATAATATAGATCAATTCAACTTACCAGTACTTTATTGTTACCAACAGTTTCTTTAATATACTGGATGCACTGTGCCTCCCGGTCATGCATCGTAAAGTTGCCCGTTAACCCAGCAACACCAAACAAAAAGTTATGTAGAATTTGCTTTCCGTTTGTCGTTAAATCAACTTCAGGATGAAATTGTACCCCGTACAAATTCATCTTATCGCTGGATATTCCAACGATAAAGTTTGTAGATTTTGCCGTAGCGCGAAAACAATCAGCAACCCTATCGATGCTATCTCCGTGGGTTAATAAAACTAACTGATCTTTTTCTAAGCCTCTGTTGAAAATAATTAACACTTTTATTAATTATTCCGTAAGCAATACGATTATAAACGGTGGACTTAGAAATAAAAAGTAATTACTTGAATAGAAGACACTTGGAGTCAACTTCTATGGAAAATTGTCCATCTTCACGGCCTTCTTTCCTCTGAACTGTCCCTCCAAATTCCTTATTCATCATTTGCATCCCGTAGCAAATCCCCAGTACTGGAATACCTATTCGGAAAATATCACCGTCATATCTCGGTGCATCTTCTGCGTAAACAGAACTGGGTCCTCCGGAAATGATAATAGCCCTATTTAAAAAATAAATTATTATTATTATCAAATAAAATAGAAATAAAAAATTTATAAGTCATTAATAAATAATTACTTGTATCCCTTTTCTTTAAGGGTAAATGCTGGAGTATCCAATGGCAATATTTCACATTGTACATTCAACTCTCGTACTTTGCGATCAATTACCTTCCCATATTGGGCACCTGCATCGAGAATAGCGACTCTCTCATCGCTGTTAACTAATGTCATAGTGACATCTTCGGCTCCATTGTTACGCTCTTGATGGAGTCCATCCGTTGTCTTATCCATTTTATGTTTTGTTGTTGTTATTTTTTTTATTTACTATTTTATTTTAAATATCCAACGTTAATAATTTGTCCACTGTGCGGTTAATAACACCAACCCTATTTTTAAAGACAACAAATTCTTAATATTAAAAATTTTTATTCAACAATTTTTCAAGTAAATAATAATAATATAAATATCAAATTTCACTTATTGATAACTTTATGAATTGTAAGAAAATTAATTTTAAAAACGGTGTAATTGATACGCTTGGGGTAACTCAAGAACTTTAGGTATATACGTGTGTATACATATATATATATGTGTGTAAAATATTAAATATAAAGAAAATTTCACCATAAAAATGTAAGAATTTTTTTTTTTAATATGTATTACAATAAATATTTTTATTATTATTAGAAATATTTAACCAAAGAATTGGAGTGATTAAAAATTTTAATTAACATGGTTGAAAATAATTTTAGTAAAAAAAATAGCCATTGTGAATTTGAAGCAATGCATGAATAATATCCATGACACGTCACGGAGAATAATATTATAAGTAAAATATTATATACCTGGATGTAATTACGAGTATATATATTAATTATAAAAGTATTAATGTGAGTATTTAATAAGGATAGTAACGACTGACCGGGCGTGCAATGATAATAGAGCACGTTTTGGAATACGTGCTGAGCAGTAGCAGAAGCAGCAGCAGCAGCAGCACCAGTAGCAGCACAGTATCCACTAATTTGTGTGAGTAGTATACATATAATATACCTTTACATATATATGTATATAAAAATATATGCATTGTATTATTAATTATTAATTTGTTTAGTTGATATTTAGTGGAGCAGTTTGTGTGGGCGGGTTTTTTATGGCGTAAGGATGGTAATAATTGGCACTTACCGATTGTAATGAGACGGCGAAATGTCTTGGGGATGTGTATAATCAATTATTAAAAAAATGAATTACAATAAAAGAAAATTGTCGGACCACACTGAACGAGGCGGCCATTCATCGCCAGAGCTATTCCACTGACAATAAAACAGTATGAGTATGAGGTGGGTACAGAAGGACAGAAGGGTAATATGTATATCAATATATCTATATGTCGCGCCCGCTGTGAAATATTGAAATATGTGTGAGCTTGGCTTGCGTGGTAAGTGCAGAGTTAGCTTGTCGCGATTTTAGCGCCGTTGGAATTTTTTTTTTATCGCCGGCTTTTGGCGGGCTTTTTTGAAATCAAAATAAAGTATGTATAATATAATCCTAAAGTTAGCCGACGTTTTAAATTTTTTGATTTTTTTTTTCATTTATTAAATTAGAACTAAAAAATTGCACTTATAGTTTTTCAAGTTTTTTACAAATGAAATTTTTTTTTTATTTTTTAAAAAAATTTTTTTTCATAAAAAAAAATTGTTAAAATTTTTAGATGTCGGCTAACTTAATTTTCATACGTATAATAATAATAATAATGAAGTTAGCCGACGTTTTTAATTTTGCTTCATTTATTAAGGGCCAGTTTTTCAATCCGGGATAAAATTTTATCCGAGATAAAAGTACCGCCAATAAAATAAAAAAAAAATAAATAAATAAATAACTCAGTGACGTGATATTGCTCTCAATTAGTTCTCCATGAATTTGGTCGTTTATTTAAATAAAAATAAATAAATATATCATAAAAATAATAATAACCTCTTATTGTGTCATTTAAATTATTTTAAATTAATTAACACAATTATAAATTAATAATAATAGATATGTCAAACGCAAGATATGAGCTCGAAGGGCTCAAAAGCATAGAACAGCTACCTCTTTGAGCTCATAAAGCTCAAAATAACACATAAATTGTAATTTGGAGCTTGAAGAGCTCAACAACATTAAGCGCTTAGATATGGAATCAGCAGGAAGTTACAGGGATCTCCTTCAGGGTCATTCGTTTTCCTAATATTTATTTTATTATTTATTTATAATCAGGAAGTTGTCACAGTTGGAGGTAAATATTTCTGTAACATGTGACTAATGTTTATTTATTTTAATTCAAAATAAGTGACTTGAATTCAAGAAGAATTACTCGTAGATAATATCACTGTGCTAAATTATTTATTTTTTTATCATAATGGCAGTACTTTTATCTCGGATAAAATTTTATCTCGGATTGAAAAACTGGCCCTTAATTAGAATTAAAAAATATATTTTTTAAATTGCACTTACTGTTTTTATAAATTTAAAAAAAATTCCACATGTAGAAAATTTTAAAAATAATGCATGGAATTTTTTAAATTCTAATTTAATTAATAAATTTTTGTCATTTAGCTATTTTATAAATATCTTTTTAAATTAGATTCGTTAAACTATTATTCACATTGATGATTTAAAAATTTCTCATTTTAAGTTTGTTATGTAAAAAAAAATTAATTTAGGATAATTAATTAATTTTAAATATTTAAATTTTAAGTTTTTAAGTATTCGGCCCTAGCGTGTTAGGCTCGTTTGAATAATTTGATCTAGTTGCATAATTTTAATGCACATATTGTTCAAATTCAAAATTAATATTATTAGTTAAATTACAATTATTACACAGTGATTAAAAGTTAACTTTTTCTTTCATATAACAAGTTTTCGATATTACTAAATTTACAAATATTAATAATTTAAATTGTACCTGATTAGCTGATATTTTTCTTTGGTATGTTTAAATTTATTCTTTACGTAACTTGAATTTACTTTACAAAACAATTGAATTTTACCTAGACACGTGGTTTCAAAAACTTAGTAAAACTATGAACGATGTTAACTTAACACTAGGTCTGGGGCAACGAGAGAGATTTTTGGTGAAAATCATGAAGGTATCGAATTTTAGGGCGTTACCAATTTCCACTGACTAGGGGAAACCATATACAATTATTTGTCTATTTTCTTGGGCCCTTACCCTCTCTCTTAAATTTGTCTACAATGTCGCATGAGTCCCCTCTACTTGGGTCAGAGTGCAATATCGTTTTCTCACTTACTCCTATGTTCTATTATTCATTTATGGGTTTGTGTATACGTAAGTGCATTTACGTATAGACAAAGACATACATTTGTACTGTTTAACATTAAATTATTTATTAATAAAATAATAATAAATAAATATGTACTTGAATCTAGCTAGCATTTCTTATGTATCTTGAATTTACTTATTTATTTGTAGAAATATTTCTGTTTTTATAATTTTATAAATTTGTTGTATTATTTTAGAATTTCATTGTTTAATATTTGTTTATTTTAAATTGTTCAATTATCAAATTCTATTTTTTTTATTTGATTAATATTAAATGTTAAAATTTTTTATTATCTAAAAATTATTTTAAAAAACAATAAGAATGATTTAATAATTTATTCTATCAAAAATTTATTTAAATATTTTACTTTAACATATTTATTTCTTATTTTCTATACTTAATTATTTTTTACATGATTTCTTATCTTATATAATGTTGAGTTCTAATATATAAATTAAATAATCATAATTTATTAAATAAATAACAATGAAAAATTATTTTACATTACTCGACTGAAGTAAATTAGAGCAATAACAGTATTTTTTATGACTAATAACAGAAATACAGTCAGCAACATGTTTATAAGAATTAATTCTACTTATTTCATGTTCAGACACTTGAAAGTTTTTATTTTCATCCAAATCTATGGTAAATTCATACACCGCATTGCCAGGCGTAACTTGAATTTGATAGAAAAATTTCCTAATACCCGTATTATTATTTTTCAAACGGATCTCATCAAACCGATTAATTTTTTTAAGCTCCAATTTGGCACATAATCTTCCGTCCTCATCTTCGTAGTCTTTGACAATTTCTTCGACATAGGACAAGAAATTTTGGGCACCCTTTATTGCGATTTTACTTTCAGATGAATGTGGAGTAAACTCTGAACAAGCACACCAGTGAGGCGACACTCCTACGTCCTCACAGCCTCTTTCGTCCGGAACAAATTTGAAGAGACTTTGGCAGGTAGAACAATCAGATCTGTAACTTGACTTGCCTCCCGCGCATTCCAAAATGTCTCTGAGTGTTTCGTGCAAGTCGTAGGGAGAAGTCAATCGACGCTCGTTCATTTTTAACGCCTGAATAATATCTCGAGTGTTGTATTTGTAATTATTGTTCGAATTCTTGAAAGTTTCTGGAACTCGGAGATACACAAAAGGCAGCCTCTCTTCGTACCAACCGACAGAAGTGTTTCTGATTTCGCCCCAATGCATTCCTTGGTCACTGAAAAGAATCACCAGAGTGTTATTGAAGACACCGTGTTGTTCCAAAGACTCCAACTTTTCCAGCAGATGCGAATCCAGTGACGATGCTGCGTTGATGTCATTATGAGTCACTGAATTGCTCCAGAAAAAACCAAAGTACGGTTTGTTTAAAAATGTGACTGCAAAATCTAACGCGTAATTTAAAATTCTTTCGAAGGATAATTCTGGTCCACTGCAATATTTATTATTTTTTTTATTTTTTTGTTTCAAAAACTTTTCTGTCGCAACGATATAAGATCGAGGATAGTAATCTGTTGAAGGATCAACGAATCCTGTTTGTTCAAAATTAAACGTGTTAGAGTTACCCACATCTTCTCCAAAAGCTGTAACATAACCAGCTTGTTTGAAATCCTTCCAGATGAATGGGAAATCGTCCAGGTATGGCTGCCCTTCTGATTTATAGTATATACTACTGGACGAACCATTGAGACCTGATAAAACGGCCATTATGTTTGAATAAGAACTCTCGCCAATTTTGTTGTAACCTTCCAGAGAAGTCCATCCAGTATTTCGTATAAATTTTTCTGTTTTTGGAAAACTGCGGATGAAATTCGAGCGCGACAAACTTTCAATCCCCAACATGAGAACGCTTATTTTTTTATTCTCATTTTTATCATTGAGATTGTCATCTTTAAAACGACTTTTAAATTTGGTAGAATTTAATACAACATGAATATTTTGATAATCCGGCGTGAATATCTTTTTGTTTAAGTTTTCGAATGATCGACAAACTACTTTAACTAATTCTACACCCACTGGTATCTGGACCTGATCCTTGAAATCTTGACACTCTGATACGCTGATGAAGAAATTAAATTATAAAATGAGTAAAATTAAATTGAAAAATAAAAAACATATTAATATAATTATTTTAATACTATACTAACTTGAATTCGATGTTATTATTAACTGTAGGTTTTTTTTCTTTGATTTGGGCAATTGACGACCAACAACAATTTATCAAATTATTGTAATGTTCATAGGCTATTTCTTCGTTAATAACGATACTGAAATTTCCATCAATACCTCGACTAATTGAACTGAGCAGTGGATTAGTCGATGCGCATGATTCAAATTCTCGCGGCTCAATATATTTTTTTATACTTTCATCCCAAGGATTTTGATCTAATAGACGACATTTTGAGTTTGATACAATATATTTATTTTCATCTATTTTTTCTTCTTCTTCTTCTTCTTCTTCTTCTTTCTTCTGAATTATGTTTTGATCTTCAAAATTATCAAATTCACTTTTATTTTCTCTTTGTTTTTCTTTTTTAAATATTTTGTCTTCTTCTTTCTTCTGAATTATGTTTTGATCTTCAAAATCATTAAATTCACTTTTATTTTCTCCTTCTTTCTTCTTTTTTAATATTTTTTCTTTTACAAAATCACTAAATTTGATTTTATTTCTTTCTTCTTTTTTAAATATATTTTTGACTTCATTATCATCGGACTTACTTATATCTTCACTTCCTACTCCTTCATATCCGTCTTTTTCTTCTACTTTTTCAATACTGCTATTACTTACTTTAACACCATAAAACTTTCCAAAAATCCCTTTTTCTCGAAAATTATTACTCTTAACTTCAACTTCAACCCTTTCAAAAACTCTATCATTGCTCACACTATCAAATTCCGCGTCAAAATCGCTATTTATAATAAAAAGTTTAAAATAAACAAAAAATACAAGGTAAAAACATAAAACTAACAAACTAATAGACTTGAAATTTTTCTTGTAATAATTAAACACGACTCTTAAAATATTAAACATTTTGCTACTTTCCATATGGAACACCACTTGTTTAATAACGCCTCAATCATTTCGGGAATTAAATGACAACTAATTCCTCCTTCCAAACATCGTTATCGGATTAAAACAATAAAACAATAAAAAATTCCAACAAGAAGATAACAATGTTTACATGCATAAAATTATTAAGTAAGCTAATTATAAAAAGCTATAATTAAGAATTTAAAGTAAGCAGCAGAAAATTTATTTCTTCATTTACAATATTATTAATCAACATTTTAATAGTAAAAATAATTAATACTGTTGATAAACTAAAATATTATTTTAAACATATGACAATTACTACTTAAAAAAATTATATATTGTCACATACTTTATTGCTTTTAAATGTATATATAATATATATTTATAATTTTTTTTCCTATAATTTATCGGCACTGAGAATCTTGTATAAAGTATTCTTACAAATATACACAACTGTTAATATTTTTAGATACAATTAATTGTTTTACATTAATAACTAATTTAATAATAATTAATGAATACAGTAACAATATTTTTTGTAACCATTTTCTAAGCACTTAGAATCCTTGGCATACGAGTTAATACGACTGACTTCTTCTTCAGTCATTTTAGAATCACCATTTTTGTTAAATAATACCGTTGTTTCAAACATCCCACCTCCTGGGCTCAGTTCAATTAAATAAAAATACTTTTCCGTGTCATCAGTCTCTAGTGTGATATTCGTATTGGTAAAATTAACAATCTGGTTGACCCTATGAATTTTTTTGACCTTTAATTTAGCACACATGCGCTTTCCTTTTTCATTCTTGTAATCCTTAATCACGCTTTCGATGTACGAAAGAAAAGTTTTAGCGCCTTGCTGGGCGATTTTGCTGTCTGGAGGCTGAGGATTGAAGGCTGTACAAGTACACCAGTGAGGCGATACTCCAGCGTCTTCACATCCACGTTCATACGGTACAGGTCTGAAGAGAGTTTGGCAAGTGGGACACCCAGAACTTGAATTAGATTTTCCTCCAGCACGAGCCAAAATGTCCCTCAGGGTCTCGTGCAAATCGAAGGGCGAAGTTAACCGGTGCTCGTTTATCTTCAGCGCCTGAATAATGTCCAAGTTTTCGAAATTTGTCGAGTTCTTCAATGAATCTGGGGCTCGGAGGTACACAAAAGGGAGCCTCTCTTCGTACCAACCAACAAATGTATTTCTAATTTCACCCCAACGCATTCCGTGATCGCTGAGAAGAATCACCAGAGTGTTGTTGAAGACACCGTGTCGCTCTAGATACTCCAACTGGTCCAGCAGATGAGAGTCTATTGACGAGGCTCCGTTCATGTCATTGTGAGTCACTGAATTGGTCCAAAAGAAACCAAAGTATGGCCTGTCCAAAAATGTCACTGCGAAATCTAACGCGTAATTGAAAATTCTATCAACAGCCAATTCTGGTCCTGTGCAGTACTCGGAACCAAATTTGTGTTTGGCTTTCAAAAATTTTTCTGCAGCCACCACATAAGGCCGAAGATAGTAGTCTGTTGGCGGATCGACGAATCCCGTCTTTAGATAATTGAAAGTACTGAGGGTGCTATCGTCTTCTCCGTAGGCTGTCACGTACCCGGCGCGTTGAAAGGCGTACCACAGGAACGGGCAGTTGTCCAAACCGTACGCTTCTCGAGGACGGCAATCCGCGTACGCAGAAGAACTGTTCTTTCCGGTGAGCAGTGCCATCAAATTTGGAAACGTGTTGTCTCCCATTTTGTTGTAGCCTGCGAGGTGAGTCCATCCTGTTTCACGCAGGTATTTGCTCGTTTGAGGAAGACTTCTTAAGAAATTAAGTCTCGATACACTATCAATACCTAATACTAGAACGCTTATTTTATTATTATTGTTATTTTGTTCGGAAAAATCCGTACGATTCACCAACTTTGCAGGGTTCACTATCGCATGAATATTTTCGTAAAGTATGTTTGATTTTTTGTTCTTTGGCTTATCTTTTGATCTACATGACACCATTACTGTCTCAATGTCATATGGTAATTGAACTCTGTCATCAAAATCAGCGCAATGCGATTTACTGCAATAAAAGTTATCTAATTAAGCATATCGCGTTGCAAGTAGGTACATAAATCAATCCAATAAAACGCTACATGACAATTCAAGTCTTAGGTTTTTTTTTTTTTCATGAGAATATAAAAGAAGTTATTTTGTTCGCATTTAAATATACTTAAAAATTTTTTGGAGTTACCAAAAAATTTCCAAGTAGATTAAAATTTTTAAAATTGTGATGTTAGCTTTTTAAAAATATGAAACTTACTTGACTTGAGAATCCCAGAGCCCGGTAAGAGGCTTAATAGGCTCAGTTCTGATAATCGACGACCAACAACAAATAAATTTCTTGTAACTACTTGCGACTTTTGAGTCAATCACCAGAGTAAAGTTGCCGTCAGCTTCTTTGACAATTGAACTAAGCAACGGCTTTGACGAGCATGGTTCAAATTTTTTCTTTTTTACATATTTTGATATACTGCCGTCCATCGGGTTCTCCGACAGCATATGGCACTTGGGATTCCATACTAAATAACCATCCACTATTTCTGTAAATTTAAAAGATTTTATTATTACAGTATTGTCCACACAAAAGGTCATTTCGCTTTCATTATAAATTATAATAGTATTCTTTAAATGCAAATTAAACTCACCATACTCGGGATTGTAGAACTTTTCAGGAAAGTAATTTTCAAGAGGTGAATATTTACCAGAAATGTAATAAAGTGTTACGATAAGTAGACACGGAAGTAATAAAATAACTATTCCAGGTTTTTTTTTAAGGCACTCGATCGCACGTAAAAATTTCGCTTCCCTCATGTTACTATTTTTTTATGCTTAGTTCTTCATTTTGTGGACTTTTAAATAAGTTTTTTTTTTTTAAACTCTCGTGAGTTTGAAGCTCTATTACCATATGTGTTAAATATCATCAGTAATAAACGTGCTGTAACTCTTTGTGACTCGAGATCTTGACATCCTTCAGCATTTTTTTCTTTTTCGCTGACATAAGCGCAACTGAATGATTCTTGTTCTATTGTCTTTTTAATTTCTTGTGAAATCTGAATAATAAAATTGAAACAATAGATTAAATTGATCCGTTAACAATCACTTTTACATGTTCATTATTGACTAAAATAAATATGATAAAATACTTAAAATACTTTCTATAATACTAATATATAAACGTATTTATTAATATAAATTTTAATTAACTTAAAAACGGTTTGAAAAATTTTTATTGTATATTTCTTCAGCTCTAAAAGCTTATATAGTAGATTATACTTTAACGCTGAAGATTTATGTTAGGGATACAGTTGGAAAGTAGTCGAAAATCATAGAGAATAAAATAAAAGAGTTAGTTTTCATTTTAACTTTTTCTAATATATTCTACTAGAAAAACTGAACGCGCGCTTTAATATAGAACTATACATATTTTTATCCTTATGATATATTTGACACTTCATCTTTCTTCTCAATTTTATTTTATAGACTATAATTGAGAGACATCTGATAATTGAAAAAAAATTTTTTAACAAATTAATTATAGCAAAAAATATTTAGTTAAAGAATTACATGTTTAAAAAATTATAAATGCAATTTTTTAAAAACAATTTTCTAAACCTACTTTATGATACAAGAAGAATTAAAAAATTGTCAAATGTCTGCTAATTTTAATGTTATAAAATATTAAATTAAATAATACTGCATTTGTCAGGTTGCTAACGTCATTTTTCCCGCATAAAATGTTTTGTCCTTTTTCAGACATTATTTGTCCGTCAAATAGTAACATACAAAATTGAGTTAATTAAAATAATTATAATTTAATGAGATTAAAGTAAACTAACACTGAATTTTCATATAATTTACTATGGTTATTACATCATTAAATATTTTAACGCGTAACTGAATTAAAAAGAAAATTCATAAAAATAAAGAGAATGATTAAAAATTAAATGACTAATAATAAAAAATAAATCCAACTTGAGGAAAATAACTAACAGAAAACTAATTTACAATGTTAAATAAAATATTTTCCATTTTTACACTGAATCATTGTTTGTCAACCACATTTATCATCATATCAAATGATAATTTATATATATATATATAGACCGGATATATGTATCTTGTGGTGCATATATTAACTCCCGCATCAAATAAATTTTCAAGTCAAAAAAATTTAAATAAACTTCTTAGTTGCGTGAAAAATAATTAAACTTTGTTAATAAATTAATTTTTATATTGAACTTAAAGTTTTGATAATAAATTTTGTTTTTCTCTCTATAGTCTAGTAGAATTAGAATGATAATTTGTTCGAGTACTTCAGCAAGTAAACGCGTGTGAATATACAACGGAAATTAACAATAAAATAACCAATGCAAACTGGACCCAACTGGAGATAGAAATCCTTTAGAATCAATTCAAATTGAAATGTCACCTGCTCTACTAATCTACTTTTTTATTAGAAAATTTTATTATCAATAAAGCAATAAAAAAATATGAATTAAATTTTTTTATCTAACTAATAATTTAAAAAGTATTTTTTCTCAAAATAAAATACTAATTGAAGTACTCGGAAAAATTATTAAATACAGTGAAGGAAACATAACAATTCTCTAGTCATAACACTGATTCATCTAGCGTATAAATATTTCAATCTCCAGATAATTAATAAATTAAAATAAAAATTAAATTTAAGAATTTAAGTTATTTTATTTAAATTATAATTTCACTATTTAACATAAAAAATTATTTACTAATTAAAAAAATAAAAAATTAAAATTCACTCACATCATAAAATAGGGTCATTTCACAAAAACATTTATTTTTTAGTGACGATTGCCGATAATAATTATTTTGATAACAGTAACCGACTAAGCTTAAACTTATATGTAAACATAAAACTATATTAGCACGTTTTCACGCTGACGTTTCGGTGGTTTCTGAGCAAGAACAGAAGGTTTGTCCGTCAACACCAGCAAACTGAGTATTGACGGCAGTACTAGTCCACGTTGGAACGCAGACGCGATTTCATGCAGAATGTACCACGTACTTTATACATAATGCCCTATATATATATATTTATTTCATTGAGCTTGTTAAATACTTTAAATATAATTCACCTATACTAACGTAATATCTCGGTTACATTACTAGCTTTATATTATTAGCTCAAGCTGTTTTGTCATTGTATATGCGTTAATTAAGCTTACTTCCCTCTACCATGATTTATATTTTCACTCAAATTAATCGTATTTCATAAATAATAACTATTGATTGTTTATTTTTACATTTCTCTAGTTTCTGTCGACCTTTTACTGACCTTTGATTCCTATAAAATAATTGAGTTCTTATTATTTATTTTTATCAATTTTTTTTCCACCTAATTAAAATTTTTGTTCGTTTTTTTAAATTGATTGTTAAATTAAAAAAAAATTTTTCATTTACATAAATAATGATTTTATTGATTTTTATAATTATATTATCTTTACATTGCTTACATTGCTACAAATAATTAATTAATAATAATTACTTTAAAAGTATGCCTTATAAATATTTAAAAAATATAATTGTATATAATTATTGTCAGTCGATAAGTAAAAGACATTGAATTTTATTATTATGAACAGTAATAAATAAATAAAAAAAAAAAAAATGAATTGTAGGCTTAAGTTGCCAAAAGTCAAAAATTGATACCCAGAATTTATGTCGTTAAAAATCAGCTAAGAGAACATTAAAATAAATGTAAGTTTGATATTTATTACTATTGCATAATATCAAATTATTTTCCTTTAACTAATTTTAATTTATCATAAAAAATAAAAATCATAAACTTTAAAAATAAATTGTAAAGATATAAAAGTCCTTAGTGTGATAAAAAATACATCAAATTAATTATTGTTTAATAATACAATTATGTTAATTAGATTTTTATTATTAAGTTCTTTGTCTACTTAGTGAATCGCGTATTCTTTGGTCATACGTGCCAATTGCACATATACTTATTTACCAAATTATTATTTATTTTTATGAAAAAAAAAAAAAAAAAGAAAAAAAACATTTTGTTTGCTCGCAATATGTCGTGATAATGAAAAAATAAATAATCTATTTATTTTTGAGTTTATGCGACTGCTGGACATCCTGAAAAAAAAAAAAAGAATTATTGTTTATAGTCATTGTATAAATAAATTTCAACATAAATTAAATTGATAAATATATCTGGTATATTATCAGACGTTTTACGAGAAGACTATCATTTATTACTTTTCTATGAAAAAAATTGTTTTACATTCAATATTAACTTTATTTTTAGATCTCTAGTTTGAAAGCTTTATTGTGACTCACTGATTTTTTGCTTGGAAGATAACAAGGCTTCAATTGAATTATAAATCAAACTATGAAAAGTAATTACTTTTATGGTCTATAAACCGATAGTATAACGATTAAAATTCTGATTTTATTTACTTTGTAATTTTTTACTAATCAAGCGTCAAGAATAATTAATTGAACAAAATATTATTATTGTTACGTTCCCGTTAAATTTATAATATTTAATTAAATTTTTAATTCAAAAATTTTAACTGCTTCGTTGATGATGAATAAAATTCATCATCAGCGAAGTGACGGAAATCGCTTGTGATAAGAGAGTCGCCGGGCTCTAGCCTAAACATCGTGAGAGCTGGACTCCGACGACTTCTCTAGGATAACCTGAGATGCAACGTTGTCAATTTTATTAATTTTTATAATTCTTTGTACTCTGGATGCAAATCCAGAGCAGTCAGCCTGAGTAAGTCAGCCGATGAACATCTTCGGCCCCGGACTTATGTTCGGAGATGAACTGACTCCACCCAAATTATTAAGTTTTACAATATATTTTAACTAACGAAATTTTGTTGATTTATTTTCAATAAAACCATTCCTAAGGTTCTTATAATTTTGAGAGAGGGTCTAGTGACAAGGCCCACTTGGAGTCTGTCGACTACCTAACGCGGCTAAGCCTGAATGATAATTAAATTTAAATATCTCAAATTTTGAGAACGTAACATTATGAATTTTTTATAGTCATATTATTTTTATTTATTAGAAAAAAATGAGACAGAGGAATTTTTTTTATCAAAAAAAAAAAAAAAAAAAAAAAAAACAAATGATGTTATATTACTTGATGAAATAAGTTGTAACTTTAATTATTGTTTAAATAAAAATTTCTTAATTGCCTTATGAAGAAACTTAACTTAATTAAATTTTCCGTGTAATTAAAAAAATTTTAATTCGATTCAGTAAAATATTTATTGTTCCCGATCAATACCATATTTATATCGGTTTAACTGCAAATAATTTAAGTGTAAATAAAACATAAGTATTAAAATAGCCATAAAAATACTTACTGCAAACAGAGCAATTAATTTCATCGGAATTATCACCGCATCCGTCACGTCCACTACAAGTAATGGCATCAGACCTACACTGGCCATTAGCACATCTAAAAGGACAGTTTCTTGCTGAAAGACGTCCACGGTAACGAGTGCGACAGGCACCACGTGGCTCGTCACTCCCGTCTCGACATGACACTACTGCATTGCAAAATTCATACGCAGGAAGACATTGTCCATTATTGCAACGAAAGCTTCCTTCCGGACATCCTAAAAAAAATACAAATAAAAAGTAATTAATAAAATAAAAATGAAATAAAAAATAAAAGTAAAAGTAAAAACTAACGTCGTCGATTTTTGCAGCCCTCCTCGTCTTCTCCATTAGGACAATCGATCCTGCCATCGCACTGTCCAGCCTTTGAAATACATACTTTGCTCTTCTTACAAGCGAACGCTTGATTTGGACATTGATCACTGGCGCATTCCTCGTCAGAACCGTCACCACAATCGGGCCTACCATCGCAGACAAAGAACCAACTGATGCAAGTACCAGACCCACGGCACTGAAATGTACCAACTGGACATCCTGTTCTTGTTGCGCCGCATGGTAAGCTTCCGTTTCCACGAATCGCACAGTCACACACGCCGTTTATGCACCGCGAGTGTGTGTCTGCCATCCGACACTCCAGATCGTTTGTACATCTAAGTCCAAGACTTACTGCTGTTAATGTCGTCGTTTCATGACGGTCCGCTTTTGTTGGTGCTGATGTTCAACAAAAAAAAACAAAACAAAAAATCAAACAAGTGCTATTACTATTAATTGTTATTTAATTCAATTTAATCAATTAAATTTTACAACGTAAGTATTGATTTTAAATCCTAAATTTTTTTAATCGAACTTTTAAGAAAAAAGTTGGCAAATCTAAAAGTGCACGACTCATAATGCTCATTCGTTTAATAAATAAAAAAAAAAATAATATTCTGAAAAAATATTTTTTTCTATTTTATTTAAATATTACTTTTGCAATTTACTATTTTTTATTGGTTTTCTATTTTTTTTTTTTTTTATTACTTTAAAATACAATTTCTTTTTTTTTATTTTTTCATTTTAAATATCGTGTGGTGTTTTAAATTGATCATGTGCACTGAGTGTATTTTTTTCATTAATTGCATGCCTCATAAGCCAAGTGTTGAGATTGTGCTCTACTCTCGACATTTCAAAAAAAGCAGTTTTCTCGAAATTGAAATTGATTTTTTGTTATTTATATCGTACTTACAGGTTAAGATGAGTATACTTATATCAAGTTAAATAATTTGTCAGGCACATAAAATATATTTCAATAACAATTTTTTTGTTTAACATAGTAAATAATAACATTAAACATAATCTTTTTTGGATGTATTATTTTGCTTTTCATATTTTATTTTAATCAATTTTATTGTGAAAAATGAGATTATGAGGTGTGCACTTTTGGATTTTCCAAATTTTTTTAGTTTTTTATTAATAACAATTAAGAAACACTAAACAAGATAACCATCTTCAATGATAATCTCCGCCAAGTGGATGCTAAGTTAATAAAAAAAAAACTGATTGAATTCGTAAATTTTTACGCAAGTTATCTTGTTTTAAACTGAAAATTGTGTTGATTGACAGGAATTTTCTTTTAACTATTTTGATATTTTTTTCTGGTTCTATTATCTTAAATTAATTTTTACCATAGTGACAGAATTAATATCCATTAAATTATCTATCAAATGATGCTCAAATTAATTAGACTACGCCGATTACCAATCGTGTAATTAATTAAATAGTTGCAAAATCGAGGCAAAATAAATTTTTCTATCGTAAAGCACTCTCTGATGCTTCGCATTATGATTCGTGCAATAATAGTAATTGAATTATTTATTTTTTACCTGAGGGTGTTGTTGTCTGAATTAATTCAGTTATCGTATCAGCGTCAATTATCACAGCGTCGTTGTCTTCTGGCAATTCATTAGTATCTTCGTGATGAGGTCGTGGTGTACGAAACATCGGATGTGTTACTAAATTTGTTGGCAATCTCGGAGTTGTCATCGATGTTGATAATAAACGTGTCGCGTTTTTCAACCATGAAATTTGTACTCCTGGTGAGTTTTAAGTAATAATTAATTTTTAACTGTTGTATTTGTCGTTATAACATTGATTTTATGAATGTAATAATAACAAAAGAGTTATTAAAGTAAAAACGATAAAAGTAGTTTAGTTTGTTATCTTAAAAAAGTACTTACCGGTATCGTTATTGTTTTCTGGTTGATTTCCCGGACTAAAAGTACTGTCTGGGTCTATTTGCGTCGTCTCGTCGAAGAAATTGTTTAAGTTGCTGGTGGGATTATTCGATGAAATAACTGGTGGGATAACGAGGTTGTTAGGGCGGCAAATTTCCCCGTCACGTTTCATTGGAGCTGTGCATTGACAGCGGCCAAATAAGTCAGGAATCAGAAAATCGCAATGCGTATCACTGTCCCAAAGACGACAGTGCTCGTGACTGTAGCACACTTGTCCTGGTTTTGCAGCTAAAAATTTAAATGAAAATAACATTACTCTATCCGCTGGTTTATTTAACTCAATAGAAAATATTCTGATTTAATTACTGCTAATTATTTATTAATTAAACAACAAAATAATATATAATTTAATTCCGTTACATATTTAATGGATTCAGTTTTAAAATTTTAATCTACAATGTAATCCATCGCATTGATTAGTGCTCTGTAATTATTATTAAAAACCAGCAGTAATCATCAATTAATAATTACCACTTACGTGTTAAACAAGTATGCCGTCTATATTGTAAATATCCATCATCGCATTGGCAAACTCCATCTAAACAAGTACTGTTTGCTACTTTCATTGAACACTGTTCCGAAACGTAGCAATCATTGCCCAGCATCGTCGCTAAAAAAATATAAATAAGAATCTTCAATTAATCATTTATCGTTAACCAATACAACTTACAATTAAAACAATTATTTTAGTACATTCTTCAATTTAAAAAAAAAAAAAAAAAAAAAAAAAAAAAATCCGAGGTAACATTTTATTCTTAAACTGTATTTTGACCCTAATCGACTTACACTAGCCGATCCAATTACCGATTGCCGTTTAAAAGCATACAATTAAGACGTATTGAATTTTTACAGGTTTCTTCTTTAATTTTAATTATTATTATTATTGAAATGAATACCAATAATAATAAATCTACTTATTTACAATAGTCAATCTCATCACTAGACGATTTAAAAAAATATATGTGTCTGACATCTGATACCGGAATATTTCTTCAAGTGTTATTGTAACATATATAGTAACGTATATATCTGGTATTATGTATTGTATTATATTACATCTTTATACTTACACTCAACACAGCGGGTTTCATTGTAAGCCGCGTAGAAGGGTTGACAGCGACAGTACCCTAAATGACAGCGGCTGTTCTCGATGTTCTCACAGTTTTTGTCTCGAGAGCACTCGTCGTTTAATTTTAGTGTTCCTATCGCTGGCGTTGTTACTGCCAAGTCCTGTTAAAAATAAGAAAAATAATGTTTTATGAATTATTAATTAATAATTATAATTATGCAAACAAATTTAATTGGTTTAATTGCTTAATCAAATCAATTAAAGATGAAACAATTCTCAGTGATGATACATTAAAATCTAATGGGTGTTTTTAAATATAATAATAATGATGATACATAAATAAAATTGTGAAAGCATCCGTGAATTATTAACGGAGGCTCTAGAGTGATGAACCATTTGCCTTGAGTGCAATGAGCTTGCTGATGTTAATTTTATGGATCAGATATAATAATAATAACAATTACAATTTGTGATTTTTAAATTACAAATTTAGTCGTATTGGTAGTAATTAAAATTTTATTAATTTAAAGTAATAATAATAATAATGATAATTGATAATATTATTAAGATGAATAAGTGTTATTTTTTGTATGTCTTGTAACACGTGTCCGACATTTCCGCCACTTGATTACGCGTCTGAAAGTGCATTCTCATGCCAAGCAAGGTGATTGCCAGTACTTGCACTTGATGTAATGTACTTTAGCATTGCATTCTTTAGACTCATAATATATTTTAGCTTGTCCTCGGCCCTTGTTGTATATATTCGCGCTCTTACGCTCTGTTAAAGTTAATCACTTCCCGGTTTCCCAGCATTTACAAACAATGTCATGTTTGTTCCTTAATGCTCCACACTAGATTTCTCATCAAAGAGTGTGACGAACCCTCTGATGTTCAATTTTACATACATAGACAACAATAGACCTGTCATATGTGTGCAGAGGTACACGTATGTATGATGAATGAATCATCTTCAGTCGAAATAATGAATTTTAATTCCAGCTAATGGAAACTGTACTTTGAAATAAAATTACAATTTTTTTTTTTTCATTTAAATTAATTCAAAATTTTACTAAAGTCTAAAATATTTTTTTTATTGAAAATTAATTTTTTTTTAGCTAGAAAAATTTTTAATTTGTTTTTAATTTTAAAGTTATCAAAGAAATAAATTTTGAAAATTTTTATAATAAAAAAAAAAATTTTAAGTAAAGATTCACTTAGGCGCCAATAACTTGCAATTGTAATTATATTTATTATTTATACCGTGTGTAATGTGGGATGTTGCGCAACATATCGTGCGTGCACCGTTATCATGCGTCAGTCACAACGGAGAATAGAGAATAGAGGATAGTATAGAAGTACATAGGATTTACAGTACAGGTATTCAGATGCACGTATGTATATCGAATAGATATGGCAGTACAGAGAAAACTCGAGTTAAACTAGCGTGGATAAGAGTCGGGAGACATGAAGATCACTTCCATGCTCCCAAGAAAGAAGAAGAAGAAGAAGTTGAGGAAGAGGAAGAGTTTCTATTTTCTATATAATAGTATTCTGTTTCTGTTTAAAAAGCACCAGTATTAGGATGAGTATATTAAAAGAAATACAAAATAAAATAAACCTCCGGGAACTGAGGATTCCTATCCATAAGATTTCCATGATTTTACAAGATCGTGCACTGTCTTATTCATTTGCATAAACTTCTTCCTCCCTCTCGGCAAATCCATCCTATATCTATATGGATATTTCTACACCACAGGTTGTTATATTATATATAGATGGTATACACATTTAAGTATCTTTGCTGTATACTTGTTAGCTGATGTTTAACTTCCTGATTTATCGTTAGCCATTTTAAAACCCATCAGTTTGTAACGCTGATGTTAATTTCTATATTTAATGCCAACTTATTTATCGGTTCTTTCTTCTTTTTTGATAATAAAATTTAATTATTTAGGGGCACTAGTTGAAAGCATTATTTTTTTAATTACTGTTATCTGTAAATTCACAAATTTTAGTTAATTTTTTTCTTGTAATTTTAATTTATTCCTCAATTTTAGCTAAATATTTTCTTGTTGCTGAATAAGTATTTTTTTATAAGAAATTTCTGATCCAATAATTTTTCCGTTACAAAAATTACTTTTGTATACTTTATCAGGTAAAAATAAAGTCTAATTCTGAATTTTATTTATTACTTTAATTTATTTATTATTAAAATTTTTTTTTTTTTTTAATAAGGTGATATTATCATTCTCTGTAGTTAAAAAAAAAAATAAAATATTTCCTATCACTTAGCTTCACTTAAACTTTTTACAAATGATTAAAACAAAAAAATTCAATTACTCTTACGGGAGTTTTTGTTCCGTATTAAGTATTTTTATCAATATGAAAATCGAACGTAACTAATGTCCCGAAGACGGAAGACCGCGACCACCTTGATGATTATAAATTATTCTCACTAAGAGCGTGTAAAAAGTACGTGTTTTATTTATAACGTTATTACTGTAAGATCAGATGGAATTTATATAAAATAAGTATAAACACATAGGCCTAGTTGGCTTATATAAGATAAATTGAATTAAGATTCAGGAGAGATCCCGGTAGATATGTAGCAAGTTAAGTCCGCAGAGTTGAAGCCAGAGTCAGAGACATATATTTTAGCATTGACTTGTAAGGAATTAAATGGATTCGTGGCATTGAACTTGTAAACAAGCGAGGAATGCCCTTTTTTAGATTTTCTCATATAAATCGAAAAAAATAAAATAAAAGGAGATAAAAAATAAATAAAATGAGGAAGAGGCTTTACTTGAGATAAAGAGTTTGAGTATCGACTTGTTACTGTTACTGTTACACCGGTATGGGGTCTCTCTCTTTCAAGTTTTCTCAAAGATCTTCCCTTTGCTTCCCAGTACAGCGCAAGTAAAGAGAGTGTCCTTGGATCATACAGATGGAATTGTAAAACTCACGATTGCCCAGAGAGTTCGCGTATATTTTTCTTTGGATAATCACCCGATGCATCTATGCGAGTTGAGCGTTCGCCTGCTATGCGCCGGGAGAACAATAACGCCGCTGGAATGACGGTAGTAACATCCGCCTCTCCACAACTCTTATATTATTATATATACCTGTAAATACCTGTAAATACCTGTACCTATACCTGTACATATAAATTGTGAAATAATAAAGAAACCCGGCTCGGCAATACTCTTTTTCAAGTCTATGAATTTTCTTTAGCTTTAGCTTTAGCTTTAGCTTTAGCTTTAGCTTTAGCCGAGCTCGCCGGGTTTAAACTAATCACCACCCTTCGCTCGCCTTTTTCATACACATAACAATACAAGCTCGTGTCTCGCCAAGCTCTTTAATGTAATACTTCTCGTTCTCTATCTATCTATCTATCTATGTTTCTACAACACCGCGTCGTACTTAACTTTAATTATACTATTGTAACTACCAACACATTTTGTGAACATTGTAATTTAAACAGATAAATAACACTACAATTTTTTACTCCATTTTCATTTTTTAAACTCAGATTATAAAAAATCATTTTTAAATCCGATCGTTATTATTATTATTATCCTATACATTCGTTTTCATAAAATTTAATGACCCAGCATTTTTTTTATACGCAATTATCTGTCAGAAAAGTTTGTATCTTCGGCAAGTAAAGTGACGCGAGTTCGAATCCCGAACGGGACTTTAATCTATTTTTATTTTTGGGAAGTAAACTGGGACACCGTTAAATCTTTCACTGTTAAAAGATTAAAAAAAAAATGAAAATTTTTAATACAATATAGCATTAAACTTCTAAAAGATTAAGGTCAGAATTTTGGGTTAAATTTTAGTGGGGAATTTATTTCTCAACTCCAATAGAAAAAGAAATAGTGACAATTATGCATGAACCGATTAACCGATAACTTGAATAGTTTATTGTAAAACGGCTCGATAACCCGAGAATGTCTACATCTATCGAATATAGAAACAGATATATGGAGCCGACGTCGATTTATTTACATTAGAGGGAAGCGATCCCACAAATATCAGAAGCATTGTTTGCGGCTAAACATAACACAGAGTGCGCAGAGTGCACAGGACACCGGGATTGTAATTCATTGCATTGTTGTCATTCTCAACCCCTCTTTTAGTATAAAGTATTCACTTTGAAAGGTCTTTAGACAAAATAAATAAAGTTTAATTAAAAAACACCCCGGATAATTTATAGGAATAATAAAAGACGCTATAATAATAACTATTAACTATAACTATAACACGATAATTGGGTGGTTAGTTGCAAAATATCGCGGTATAAAATATTAAAAATAATAATAACACAGGGGTTTTATTATTTTCTTACGGACATTTTATCAAGCTAATTTAATAGTTTCATGTTAAGAAATTCTTCATAAGCGTGAATAACGAGCAAGTAATATCTTCCGGGCGTATGCCATTTCTCCGCATGTAATACCGTGGCATAACATAATATTTCTGATGACTAGAGTAGTTCAGTAATAGCACTGCTCTACGTATACGTATACGGAAAATAATCCAATGTTCTGGCCAGTATTTTTTCCACCCATTACCTTGTACCTTTAACTTAAACTTATTTCTCCTCCTCGCGTTCACTCTTATAACTATATATATATATATATATATATATATATATATAAAGACTTTTCTTAGCCTGAACTTATATTATTCCATAATCCTTGCTTTACTTATATTCCCTACAGCGCTACTTTATTCCTCCATCTCCTCTTTAATACTCTTATCTTACCCCCCTTTTTTCCTTCGGCTCTTCCACTATTTTTCTCGGGCTCAAAATAACCAAACTATCAAGTATAACCTTGTCAGAGAATGTGAAAATTACCCTTACTCTAAATTACCCATTCCCACTTAGTTTTATAAAAAAAATTAAGCAAAAAATAATCCACAATTTAATCTTTTTATTATTATCCTTAGACACCTGCAAAAACTCGAGATAAAAATACCGATCATTTCAACTTTAACGGCTCTCTTACATCGAATTATTTTATTTATAAAAACTTTCATTGACACAAAAAATAATCACCCGCGGGAATTTTTATTAAAAAGTAAATCTTACTCTCGTAACAGTTAGATGATCAAGTTATTAAGCTAAAAACAATCGTTAAACGAGAGTTTTCTTACAGGTGGTCATCTAATTTCAAGTATTTATGTCTCATGGTGTTTGTACAATTGTAATTTATAATTTATTTATTTATTTATTTATTCAATGTTTATGTCAAGGCAAAATAGCCGAATGACAATAATATACATAATTTTTATAATAAAGTACACGTATAATAATATTAAATATGTAATACTAACAACATCATATTTTAAGAAAGTTAATAATTTCGAATGATTAAATAATATAGTTGCAAAATTCTATATTGCTGTACTATTTATAAGAATGAGAGCAACAATAGAATCAATGAGCAATATTTGAGAGCTAATTTTTAAAAAGGTAACATATTAAATACTTTAATAATTTAGAATGCAAATTTTTTAATTTTAAATTTTAAATTTTTAAATGGCCTGTTTGACATTTATTTAGTTGTCAGCGTTTATTTTCTATTAAGACATTAATAAAATTATTTTTTTTTCTTCATAAAATAACTTCAGTTGTGGTTGTGGTTTTATTTTTTTACTGCTTTAATAAATAATTGAAGAATAAAAAAAATACATCAGATAATTTTTTTTAAAATTATTGATTTCATAAAAATTTATCTGTAAAATTTCAATTGAAAAAATTTACGAAAAAAATACAACATTTTTCTCTCAGTTAAAAAAAACAACCGAGCCAATTATCAAAACGCGAACATCACACCTGAAGACGTTATATAACGCAAAAAAAGGATTAAAAAAAATAATGTATCCTTAACGGAATCGATAGTGAGTGAAAATAGATATAGAAATGAAATGATCGAACATGTTAAAGAATTCTTAAGTAATATCAAGGCACCTATACAAACTATTTGCTACCACGGAAGCTTCTTCTTATATTATCAAGCTATTTATCATTGAGGAAGAGAAAGAAGTGTAATTCAACATTGAACTAAGTTTACAAACACATTTATACCCAGAATCCTCATACCAGTGCAGACGAGTAACTCTAGTAAGTACAAGTGCTAGCACATAAATATAGATATATATGTATTTATAAAAGATAGTGCACATCGAGTAAGTTGGCTTATAATGCACACTGACGTTATCTATAAGTATCTTCCTGTGCAGATCTAATAATCACATCTCTGCGGATGTGAATATTTTCAATATACATCCACATGCATACTTAGTGTTGCCCATTACTATGCCCGAGTTCTATTCGTGCGAACCCCGTAAGTCAGAAGAAATTGAGTAAAAAAACACAAACATCCCATAGGTAGTTAAGTTGAGAGTTTAAAGTCTTGTTTGTTATTTTCATTTATTTGCATATTAATATCACTTAAAAGAAGAAAAATAAAAGTTTAAACTGTCAATGGGTTATCGGCTAAAGTAAAAGTTATGTTGATAGTTTTTTACTTCTCTTTGGTGCAATTATTAACCGCTAGACTAAATTATTATTTTAAAAGACTTGGAGTCGAATAGAAGCAGAGCGGAATGTGATGATAAGTAACGAGTTTAAAGTTGGCTCAATATTAAATTATGTATTATTAATATTAATGCGTAATATGCAGTGTGGATGCATGTGTGTAATTAAGCTTGTGTTATGATTTACAACCGGGTGCATTACAATCCGACTCATCAATGCCGGCCACGTTGTCAATAATACCGTTGGCTGTTTAGTTATTTACTTATTTATTTATTAGATTATTTGCGTTTGTAACGCTAACAGTAATTATTATTAGAATTTTTAAATTTATGCCGGCACCTGTTATTCGTTGATCAGGTACTGAGCTTGGCTGTTTATATTGTTTAAATATCCGAGAATAGTGGATATGGAAATTAAGCTTTTATAAATATTTATTTTGACAGACAGTTTTATGTTTATTAAAAAGTTATTTGTGAGGTGAGAATACTGAGTCAAGTCGGGTTGTGTGAGTAGAGGTGAGCTGAGCTTTTGTTGTAGACAGTGGGATATGGGTACATCCTGGCATTGAACACATAAATATGTATTTATATTTTTTTAGTTAGAATATTCAACGGAACCGGCACTTAAGTTAACCTTTTTTTTATTCCGCGCGCCGAATAGTTTCGTCTTTATGTATTATTATGTCTAGTGGGTATTAGTATGCGTCCGAAAGAGACAGATAGAGAGTGTAATTGTGACTGGCTCGTTGTTAATTCAAGTCATACCGACGTTTCTTCGTTACTACGTGGTAGGCGATACTTTGAGTACTTTTTTTTAAGGTATCATTTTGAAGAGTTATGACACATCTTCATTAATTCCAGTCAATGAACCCGTTATTTTTTTTTAAATTATTAGTTATTTTTTAGAAAAATTTTTTATCATTTTAAACTTTCGATTTTTAATAAGAGGTATCTTTTTAAAATTTTTTTTTTAGAATTAGAATTCATTATGTTTTTAAGTCAACTATAAGTTTTAGTTAAAAAAAATTTTTATTTTGAAAAATTTTCTTTTAAAGTTTAGAATTCATTATTGAACTTTTTTTTTTATTTGAAATTTGAAATGTAAAAAAATTTTTTTTAATAATCTAAATCTTTTGATTTTTAAGTAAATTAAAATTTTTTAATACCTATTTATCATTTATTAAGATGATTTTTTTAAAAAAAATTTTTTTCAATGAAAAATATTTTCTTTTCATTGATTTGAATTTATAAAATTGATTAAAGATAATTTATTAAAAATTGCAATCCATTGAAAATTTTATAAAAAAGAAAAAATTGAAGTAATTCAAATATTAAAATTACTTACCAGAAATAAAAAAAGACACGTGCTTAGAAATAATTTCTTCATGTTAAATAATTTTTTTTTACAGATAAATAATGCACAGTTTTAAATCCACAGTACTAAATAAAATATGATAAATGTAAAATAAAATTAATTAAGTAAAAAAATCAAGTAAAAATTACGCGGGAACATACAAGAGTACGAGGTGTACGCCTGCGTGATGACTGAAGACTAAAGAGAAACTGAATAGAACGAGCCCGTGGTATGGAGTTGCGGATAGGACAGGACAGACAGGACTATCGACTAGATGAGAAGTGAAGAGTCGAAGAACATCCACCATTCAGATACAAATAAAAGTACGGAGTAGAGAAGTGGATGCGTGTATTATATGCAGAGCATTGTATTCAAGAAGAATGAAGATATTTACTACCAGTTAGTAGTTTTGATTCAACTCCCCTCGAATCTCATTCTCAACCTTTCTGTCTTTTTTTTTTTTTATTTATTTCTATATCTTCAAATGTATTTAGTTAGACTACTTATTCTCTCAGATCTGTTTCAAAGGACTTAAATCATTGCTCAGGATCCCCGATACAAGCTAAGCGGATTTCGCTCCAACCGCCCCTGTTTTTTTTTTGTCAACGACATTAAATTTACCCCAGGAAAATAAAAAAGTGTTATTGAAGCATATCACAGTCGGGTTCTAAAACTTTTTATCATTTTTTTTAAATTTATATTATAACAATGACTCATTAAAAAAAAAAAATAAAATGTAATTGATGACGAGATCCTGACCTATCATTTCATTTTATTCCTCTTGAGCCCATAAAATTAAAAAAAAGTATCATGCAATACAAACATTTTTATTTTGTTTGCTAACAATTTAAGTTTAATCCAGAAACTGGAATAATAAACATTTGATGCTGAAGCTGATGAAACTCGCACGTGATATCATCTTACCTTACAAAAGGTCATGACTTGCTTTTATTTCCTTTTATTCTTCTTATTCTTACATTTTCATGTTAATACACTTGACCCTGAAACTAAAATAAAATTTTAATTGAATAAATTTAAAAAATTAATCCACTGTGATAATTTACTCACAATTAAAAATTTTTAATCATTATCTTAGATTATAAAATATTAAATAAAACCTCATACGAGTGTCGCAGAGAATCGTTGTAAAAAATAATAAAGCTTTGAAAAAAAAAAACCGCGGAATGCAAGTGAGCAAGAATATTAAACATTTTTTACTCTTCACTATGAATAAAAATGAATATTACACGTACATTTTTACCCGACCGCCGACAGTTATGCGTAAAAAAAAAAATGTTATATATTTAGAGATTCATGATTACAATTTTAAAATGAATAATGAAGTTTTATTAATATAAATAAATAAAATAAAATAAAAAAAAGCATCCTTGATACTTTCTTTTTGTCAGTAAGCAATAAAGTTTGGTGATCATTGGCATCCAGTAAAAGCTATAAAGCAACGATTGCAAGTATCGTAAACGCAAGACTCTAATTGACAGTCGACTTGTATATAAATATATTTCTGGTTTACTTTTATATATGTGTATAACATACGGACGTCCGTTATTTTCATATAAGTATTGTGTTATTTAAGTTCAAATGACTTGCGAGTTGCCAGACATTTATTGCTGCACAAGAATAATATTATAATATAAGAAGAAACAATTTTATCTTCTTTACAATAATAATAATAATAATAATAATGATAACATTTATTATAATAATAATAATAATAATGATAATAGTATGAATAGACAAAGATAAATAATTATTTTTTTTGTTAATCAATATAAAGTATGTCAATTAATGTGTAATGAGATAGTAAATTGAAGTTAGATCGGATAAAAGAATCCCGGGTGGTTCGTAGATTCTTGATCTCGATCTTGGTCTTCATTAATTTAAACCACGCCGAAGACATAACGACAATGTCGTATAATCAATTGATAATATATACTCAGAGATATACTCGATTTAATGCTATACCATTAAATTAAATCGCATATGGAATAGAAATTGAAATTTCAATGGAAACGGGGAATGTAATAAGAACAAGTAAGAATAAATACGGTGACATTGACATCGAAAAGATATTTTATGCAAACTCTTGGTGAAGTTTCATTGAAATTCATTATTATTATTACATTAATAAGTACAGTACGGTGTGAGGATTGTGTACTCTGTGGTCTTGTAATGAACCGTTTGCTATTATTATCGCCGAGTCAAGGCAAAGGCTGTAGTTAAGACTTTCTCAGCAGGAAGTTATAATAAGTTTACTTTGTTGTTTGAGCGAATCTGTGAAAATTTTATTATATTACTCAGATGGTTGTCATTTTTTACGGTGATTATTAATGGATTGAGGAAGAAATTATTATTTTTATGCAAGGGATCTCTTCGCATAAAAATTCTTTAACCGAGAAAATTATTTTCAGGAGTTTTATTGTTTTATCAAGTTTAATTTATATAAATTAAAAAAAATTTATCAGTTCAAGAATTTTTTTTCCTAAAAACAAGACAGTGAAGTTCTTCAAAATTATTTTCTTAGTTTAAAAATTTTTCAAGTTAATTTTTTTTTTTTTTTAATTGTAATTTTCTAAAGAATTCGAGTAAATTAAATTTTATTAGTAGAGAAAAAAAAATAATTATATATCAAGATATAAAAATACAATGAAATCTGCGCTCAGATCATTAAGGAGACAATAAAATAATTTGCTGAGACAATGCGATAGATATATCTATACGAGTCATTAACTTCGTTGACTTCTGGGTCACGCAAAATCTAGTTTGTGAAAAATTAATAATTAACGATTATTTGCTTAGTAATAATTAAAAATGGTAATAATTTTTATATAAATTAGGTAAGTAAATATTTTAAATCGGAATTAAATATAAATTCAGTATTTATTTAATATGTAATTGTGAGATGTTGTTTTATTTTCATAACGATTCGTGGGTAAGATAAAAAAAACTTTCTCAGTGATAATCCGAGCTTTACTATTGTATTGTTTTTTCTAATGATTGATAAAGAATCGCGATAAATATTAATTGTGTGAATAACGCAGGTTTGTTTGTTAAATATTTTGTCTAATTCTTTTTTATGTTATTCCATGCATTGAATTATTTATTTTTTGTTTATTACTATCCCACTGACGTTTTATTTAAACTGATCGTCATTATGATTCATTTAAACCGTAATTAAGTGAATACTTTAGATAAAGCTATGCTACAATTTATAACAGTAAATTTTCTGCAAATTCATTGATAATAAGTAAATAAATTATATGATACTAAAGTTACCTGGCTCCTAAAAATTTTTAATTAATAAATTTCACATGTGAAAATTAAAAAAACCAATGCTTGTAATTTTTTATAAATAATTTCTTGCCAACATTTTATTTTTTAAGTAAAAAAAAAAAAACAATTTAAGTGTGCTGATTTTAATATCATAAATTATAATACAAAAATTAGCAGACATCTGATAGTTATTTTATTTTTATAACTAATCAATTATAAAGAAAAATATTTTTGAAATTGCCAATTACAATTACTTTAAATTCATAATTAATTTAATTGTGATAAAAATCTAAAAAATTGACAGATGTCTGATAATTTTACTATCATCATAAATTATTAAAATTGATGGAATTTTTTAATAACAATTAAGTTAGCCGAAATCTAAAATTTTTTAGAATTCTTTTTATTGAAAAAATTATTAAAAAAAATTTTTTTTTTTTAATTTAATTTATAAAAAAAACATGAAAAACTTTGAGTATAATTTTTAAAAAATATTTTTTTTAAATCCAATTTAATAAATGAGAAAAAATAAAAAAAATTGAAAACGTCGTCGACTAACTTTAGTATCATAATTTTTTAAATAAATGTTTCTTGCTATAATTTATTTTTCGAAAAATTAAAAAAAATTATCAGCTGTCTTTGAATTTAAAATCATAAAATTTTTCCAAATATTATAACTAATTTATAATATTTATACTATAAATTAATAATTTAAAAACCGCGAAGCACTTGCGTAATAACAAAATGACAAGTGGTGCCCTCATTCATTTCACAAACTCACACACACCATTTAGAATTGCCTTTTTGTGGTTAAAAAAGAATCATGGCTTTGGCATCTGCAAGAGTTATTTTGAATCCTAGTAAGTAATAATTATTGATTACAGCAATTAATTAAAAATATTCAATCATTTTTAATCCTTCTGACACTCATTAACTTCCCAATCATCAATTATTATTTCACAGTTTATTTTTTACTTGCCGACTCCATGTTTTCCAGGTTAAGATTTACCATTTCATCATTTCCAACACTTTATTTTATTTAATGTAACTTACATTTTAAAAATATTATTTTGTTACAGTTCTCCGCAAAACTATCAAGCAAATTCTCTTCAGTCGACATTTTTCAAAATGTGTAAGTCAACTACTCTATGTCTCCACATAACGCAATTTTTTATTATATACTATGACTATGATTATTATTATTACGAGTACTATTGTAATATAGAACGTATTTTTATATTATTTCACTTTTTAATGCAATTTATTGAAAAAAATGTTTTCTTCAACAGCAACGAAGAAGTTTGGTGTGCTCGCAGTTATACTTGCCTCAAGTAACATCACAGAGGCTATATGCCGAGAAAAAAGTGTTCAACCGAGATAAACCACATTGCAATGTGGGCACAATTGGTCATGTTGATCATGGCAAAACAACATTGACTGCTGCAATCACCAAAGGTTATTATTTAAATACTTAATAATATAATTTATGATATGTACTTAAAGTATCAAACATTTGACATTTTATAAACATGAAAATTATAAATAATTTTCTTTCCATCCATTATTTAATAATTAATTTTTTAGTTTATATAAAATTAGATGTCATACTTTATATGAAATAAATAAAATAAATTATTTACTTTAAACTAATGAAAAAAATTTTTAACAGTGTTGGCAGAACAAGAGCTAGCCAATGCTATGGGTTACAGTGAAATCGACAATGCCCCAGAAGAAAAGGCTCGTGGAATCACCATAAATGTAGCGCACATTGAATATTCCACCGCAAATCGTCACTATGGACACACTGATTGTCCAGGACACGCTGATTATATAAAGAACATGATCACAGGAACAGCGCAGATGGATGGTGCTATTTTAGTCGTCGCTGCAACTGATGGTGCTATGCCGCAGACACGTGAACATTTAATTCTTGCTAAGCAAATTGGAATCGAGCATATTGTTGTCTTTATTAATAAGGTAATTGATACTAGCAATCTGGCAGTCACTATTTGTGACTACCGTGACTTGTGAACTATAAATAACTAAAATTTTACTTCATTAAATAATGGCTTGTATTAAATTGCACTGTACTTTCTCAACAATTGACATTTTTAAAGAGATAAGCTCATCCCGATGTTACACTCATCAAGAGCTTTCATTTGAGTACCCACATGCATTTTGATATATTTTTCATATATACATATATATAACATATATAAATATATGAAAAATTGATGTGAGTACTCAAATGAAAGGTCTCGATGAGTGTAATGTCGGGGTGAGCTTATATCTTTAAAAATGTCAATAGTTCACAAGATACAACATCATTTCTTTATTATGTTAAATTGCACTGTACTTTAGTAACTACTGACATTTTTAAAGATATAAGCTCATCCCAACATTACACTCATCGAGAGCTTCCATTTGAGTACCCACATGCATATATCAATATATATAATATATGAAAAATTGATGTGGGTACTCAAATGAAAGGTCTCGATGAGTGTAATGTCGGGGTGAGCTTATATCTTTAAAAATGTCAATAGTTCACAAGATACAAGATTATTTCTTAATGATGTGTCTAGAGATAGAGCATTTTCGAATGCAGCCTATATAGATTATTATTTAAAGACAATATCTAGAGATTTAATTTTTAATTTATTTAATTTCACGACATTCATTTTCAAGATTGCTAAGTTGTTAATTTAAATTTTTAGGTTGATGCAGCTGATGCTGAAATGATTGAGTTGGTAGAGATGGAAATCCGGGAATTATTATCAGAAATGGGTTACGATGGAGATAAAGTACCAGTAATAAAAGGTAGCGCTTTGTGCGCATTGGAAGGAAAGAATCCCGAAATAGGAAGTCAGGCTATCATGAAACTGTTGGAAGCAGTCGATGGCCACGTACCTACACCAATTCGGGACTTGGACAAGCCATTTATGATGCCCGTGGAGAACGCTTACTCGATCGCAGGTCGTGGAACTGTCGTAACTGGTCGTCTCGAGCGCGGAATCATCAAGAAGGGAATGGAAGCCGAGTTCATCGGATACAGCAAATCTTTAAAAACCACCATCACCGGAATCGAGATGTTCCATCAGATCTTGACTGAAGCTCATGCCGGTGACCAGCTTGGAGCTCTCGTCCGAGGATTGAAGAGAGACGACATAAGAAGAGGAATGATTATGTGCAAACCCGGTACCATGAAAGCCTACGATCATCTGGAAACTCAGGCATACATTCTCAGTACTGAAGAAGGTGGCAGAAAGAAACCTATTCCTAACTTAATACAAATCCAGATGTTCAGCAAGACTTGGGACGTCGCTTGTCAGGTTTCTATTCCAGACAAACCCATGGTCATGCCTGGAGAAGATTCTAAGCTTGTGTTGAAGCTGTTCAGACCGATGGTACTCGAAAAAGGTCAGAGATTCACGCTTCGTGATGGAACGATCACTTTAGGTACCGGGGTGGTCACCAACGTCCTCAAACCACTGAATGAAAAAGATCGACTGTTATTAACCGTGGGAAAGAAGAAGCGTGCAAAATTAACTGCTGAGGCTGCTAATTAGATTATTTAATCACATACGTATTATTCAATAACAGGTTAAATATTATTGCGATTATTTTTACGTCAGTAGTTTGATTATTCCTATTATTAAACACTTTTATCAGTCAATTGGTTTCATAATCCCGATCACTTGACATTCCGGGTACTCAAGTTTATTCAATATAAAAAATCATATCGATTGGCTGATATATATAATTGTAAGAATTTGCATTTTATTATGAAACCTTTGTATTAATTAAAGTGTTAATCAATAAATTAAAAAATTGAGATATCACTTTTTTCTAAAAAAAAAAAAAAAAATATACAGTACACGGAAAGAACAAGATGACACTGAATATCATACCAGATTTAACTGAGTGAAAAGAAATTTCAGATAGTAGCTAGTATAATCCAAATTAGAATGAGTATAATCTGGATTTTTCTAGCTATCGGAAATTTTTTTTCACCACAGGTATCACTGAGTATAATTTGGGATGATATCCAGTGTCATCTTGTTTTTTCCGTGTAGTTAACCAAATATTTTTTTTTGGTATTTTAAGGAAATAAAATAAATTGATTAAATAAATAGATGTATTGATTATTGAAATAAATAAACTAATTATTGTGGTAATTATTAATCAGTTGTTATTTATTGATAAACAGCAGTGTTTATTTAAAAACAGGCACATTAAACGCTCATTCAAAAAAAAAAAATATTTTAAACATTACACATTCTTATGATATATTTATAATTTATACCACACATTCAAAGTAATTAACTTTTAACAAATTCACACACCGCTCTTGATTGTTTCCAGTTATTATTTATCAACTTGAATTTAAAAAGTTTCGCACTTAAAATCGAAACTATTCATGCAGTAAAAAAAAGTTATAGTTTTCAAGTTAAATAACACATTAATCAATTTCAATTAGAAAAATAAGAAACAGTCCTCAAAGTTTATTATCAAACTAACTGCATTATTATTTTATTAAAATTAACTTCTGTTTTAAAGAACACTCTTGCACAGCGGTGTCCACTTGCTCAGTACCTGTAAATTACAATTACAATCACTTGTAAATAAAATTTAAATACTATCAAATAAGTTTTTAATTTTTTATTGAAAAAAAAAAAAAAACAGTTAACGTGGAAGCTATTTTGTAAGTTAAGTTAATTTCAATTTAGGTTTAAGTTTGTGACCAACAAGAGTGCGATTTTATAGTAAAATATGAGTACTTGTTAGGCCTTATCTCATTTTACGTATTGTTTATTTACTTTGTATGGCCGTACGCACAATTAACCTATAGATCCTCATCGTCTTCAGGCAATGCCGTTTCTTGGGCTTCCTTAAGATCCTTTTCAATTTGTTGTTGCCATTGTGGATCCATGGTAACCTCTGGTGGTAATAGAGCTGGCATGGCGACGAACTCCAAGTTAGGGTCACCAATCAATTTCCTTGCTAACCACAAGAAAGGTTTCTCAAAGTTGTAATTACTCTTAGCACTGATGTCGTAGTACTATATTAAAGAACAAAAAAAAAATAAATAAAAACATGAGTATCATAAAATAATTTTTAGTTGAAAATAAAAATTAAAAAAATGATAAATACCTGAAGATTCTTCTTTCGGTGAAAAACAATACTCTTGGCTTTGACTTTTCTGTCCTTAATATCAACTTTGTTACCGCATAAAACAATTGGAATATTCTCACAGACACGTACCAAATCTCTGTGCCAGTTGGGTACATTTTTATACGTTACACGTGATGTAACATCAAACATGATAACAGCACACTGACCCTGGATGTAGTAACCATCACGAAGACCTCCAAATTTTTCTTGACCAGCTGTGTCCCATACGTTGAATCTGATGGGTCCTCGGTTTGTGTGGAAAATCAGAGGATGGACCTCAACTCCGAGAGTCGCTACGTACTTCTTCTCGAACTCTCCAGTCAAGTGACGCTTTACGAATGTAGTTTTTCCAGTACCTCCGTCACCGACGAGGACACACTTGAAGGTAGGCATATCAGCTTCCTGGGCCATTTTGCTTTTTTTTTTTTATTGTAATGTTACTCGTTAATAGAACCTGGAATTTTTTACACAGTTAGAAAATGAAAATTAATTTAGCAGATATTTAATAATTTTTCTAACAAATTAATTATGGCAAAAAAAATTGACATGTAGAAATTAAAAAAAAAATAAAAATGCAATTTTTTAAAAATAATTTTTTTGTTAAAAAAAAATAAAAAATGGTCGAGACTGCTAAATTTAATGCCATAGTTAGAAGTCAAGAAAAAAAAAATATATAACATTGTCCTTTTTTTTTCTAACTATACAACCCCTAAGCGATTATTTTTAGTACAACGTGAAGGAATTACTGACAAAAAAAACCAATCAATAAATAATAATCAATGAACACGTGCCGAGGTTAAATAACTACGTGAATTTAATCATTACACAAAACGCAAACTTCATATCTAGAAATATAAATATCAACTAATGTTAATTTGTCATCAAATTTTACTTGACAAAATTATTTGAGTACGATAATATTTTACTTATACAAGTATATGTCTATGTGTGATTAAATATATGACGCTGAGGTGTAACCGGCAGGTGTAAAAGAACGTTTAGATTGTACTAGAAAAAAAAAAAAATAATATACTGACCTCGTACTTGATTTTATTGATACACGTTTGTGCAAAATTAAATAAATAATATATTTAATAAAAAATATCAAATCAAATGAAACGGAAAATGGAATAAATGTATGATGAAAATAATAGTCAGCCGGTTGGAAAATAACCACGCTGAAATTTAATGAGAACTTGGTCAAGTAAAGCTTGAGGATGCAATTGATGAAAAACTTATTTTATTTATGTAAATAAATAATACGTACTTTGAACAAAAAACTAACAACTGTAGACGTGTTATTACTGCCGGCGAATGATCGAGATAAATAAAAATAGTATTTTTAATAAAGAAATAATTTCTTTCCCGGGTTATTGCGATGGATGTGAAAATGAACGATAAAACTCACCTTGCTGCACAGTCGTTATGGCTCACAATGGCGTTCCTCCGAAGTGACTAATCTAGTACCCGCGTACCGGTAATACGTTATTTTAATATGAGGGTATATTAAAGAAAAAAATGAAATTTCTGAATTAAAAAAAATAATACAATAGTTTTTTTAAAGGTTTTGCTATTAAATAAATAGATTCTTTTTGTTTTTTCTGCTTAAATAGATATATTTTTGTCCAGAAAGTGGCGACCTCTTTACGAGACATCAACTATGGCAGACATTTTGTTATTGAATCACATGCCAATTTGAACCTTATGTTCTCAGTACTTAAAGTCATTCTCGGGTTCATCGGAAGTTCCCGGGTAATAATTTTTTGACCGGATTTGCCATGTAGTCGTATAAGTCGTTGTTTTTACTTTTTTTTCGCGCCAAAAATTTGAATATTTTCTCATGCTCATGTGTAAGTTTTTACATTTTTTAGTAAATATAAAAAATTTTAATGTTGATTAAAAGATTTTATTCTTTATTAATTATTAAACTCAATTAAGTGAAAAGAAATTTTTTTTAATTTTTTAAAAAGTTAACAAATTTTATTTTAAACACGCTAAAAAAATTTTTACATAGGTACCACAAAATTTTTTTAAATTGATAATTTCAATGTTAAAAATTATCGGGTATTTTTATTAATAAATTTAATGCAATAGTTTAAAAAAATAATTTAAATAATGTCTATAAAATTTTTTGTAAATTTTCCGAATGTACTTTTAAAATTTTTTATGTATTTTATTTCGGAGCTCCAAAATAATGAAAAAAAAAAAAATTTTGATTATTATAAAAATAGTTCACTAAATAAATTTAAATTATGAAAATTAAGTTAGCAGCCGACATTTAAAAATTTTTAGAATTTTTTTTTATTGAAAAATTTATTACAAAAAAATTAAAAAAAAAAATGTCACTTGTAACAAACCTCAAAAACTGTAGGTGAAATTTTTTAAAAATATTTTTCTGTTTTAATTTAATTATTAAACAAAAATCAAATAATTAAAAATGTCGGCTAAAACTTTAGTACCATATTTAAATTACGCGCTTAAATTCAAACCAATCAAAACCGAAGTCTTGATGCGGCCCTTAAGACATAAAATAAATAAAAAGTACAAGTGAGTAATGACGTATTAGTGTATTTATAAATTAATGATAAAATATTTTTTTAATAATTAAAAATAAGATAACAAAACAATAATAGAATCAGCCCGGGGTAATAAGTGTAATTGGTACATGAGTAAGAAAAAGTTGACGTCATCGGAGCATGCGCAGAATGAAGAACGGCACTGCAGAAGCAGGCGAGTTTGCTTAGGTATCGATTTTACGATCGTGTCTCTGGCGGTTAGTGTGTCCGATTCGTTAGTTTTTAGTGGCCGTGCTCCTCGTTGTTACATGAAGGATTTTTACGTGAATGGAATTATTAACTGTAAATTGTTGTAAATCTAACGTCCGTTGACTGTCGTGTAACTCGTCATAAAACCATGACTAAGGATAGATTAGCAGCCCTCGTAGCGGTGAGTTGACCAACAAACACTTGTACAATGTGTACCTAGTCAGTAGTTAAGTTATCAATATATTATCACATCATTAGACTCCTCATATCGTCGTAGATATACCTACATACTTAATGAACCTTAATGCTCTCGCTGTCCTGTCAGTTGAAGACCAATCGTAAGATGGATTATTGTAAACTGTTGAGTTGTTTTTTTTAACGTTGGCTACCACTGTCCGTTGTCAATTTTACAAAACTCAAAAAACCGGCGATCCGATTTAATATTAAGACAATAATATTCCACTAATCCAATCGTTGATTCCAATAGTAAATTATTACCAGTGTGGTCAAGTGTTGATGTCTATTATAGAAAGGCGTTTCCATTCTTGAGTCATCCACGGAGCTAGAACTGTCATCTATCTGATTATCGTCACCAACAACCGGCACTGATGACAGGTGTTACCGTTCAGGGTCTCAGTGCGCTCATTTTAATATTTATTTATTTTTATTTTATTCTATTGTATCTTTTATTTACTTTCACTCTTACAACTCGTACTGTTTTTATTTTTTCATTATTTTATCATAACGTTGTATTGTTTCAGTTTAAAAACGTGCCCCACCCCCCCCCCTTCCACTGTCAGTGAGTTATTCGATAGCTGTCGGTCATGTTAACTGACATTTATGCATATAAAGCCAAGCTATAACTGGAATAATTATTTAAACTGGCAATAAATAAACGGTGGCATTATTTTTATTGGCAGTCATGGTCAGGAGAGAGTTCAAAGAGACCTGAAACGCCGGTCTACTCATAATAATTACTAAACATCCTGTTGTTGAGTGTTAAACATCAAGATTGTAATTTTGGAGCCGTTTGTCTTAGACGTTTACTCAGCGAGGCTATGTACTGGTCTACTGTACTTACCTGGTACCTGTAAACTGGAGTTGTAAACTTTCTGCCGCCGGGGATCCTTGTCGTCCTTCACTACGTCTTACCGGATGTCCCTCTTTGTGACCGAGTTATTCGTCGTATTTTCTACCTACACCTTCACCACTTCCTCCGGTGTTAAACTCTTAGTTATTATTGTACTTTTACAAGTACTAGCTAGTACTTATACTCGTACTTTATTCACTTCTCTTCTTAACTTCTATTTAAAACTTCTTGCTCTACTTAGCTAATTTTTATTTAATATTTAATAGAATAAAAAGAAAAATGAATATAAATTATTGTTAAATTTTAAACATTAAAGTTTATAAATAGCTATGAAATAATTAAATTATAAGGTAGATCGATGATTTAATAATTGATGGAATTATTAAGTTACTTCATACAACAGCATATTATTAATTGAGTAATTTTTATGACGTAATCATTTATTGTTTTTTTTTTTTTTTTTTTTATTTGTTTCTATTATTATATTTAAATTTTATCGTCTTTGATTTTTTTCTTAAATTAAAATATTTAATTGCGTAATTAATGAAATTCTAGGACTCGCAAGATGAGGTCGGTGTTGTAATTCCTATTATTCCTCATTGTCAATGACCGGATGCCTCTTTTTTTAAATGATGAAAACTCGTAATGAATAACGACAGCCAGAAGTTTCTTCTTATTTTTAATACACCAGTGAGAAAAATATAAAATAGCAATAACAGTAAAAGAAAAAGAAAAAACCGGCGCTGTGCTGGTGATTACTAAAGTTACGCGGTAGTTCTTGCGAATAAGTAACGAGAAAAACTTTTCAATACACTTTTTTAGTATAAATTCAAGTTTCAATATTTTGTGCATACGCGGTTTTTATTTATCGGAGTTTCGCTGAAAATGAAAATATTTTTCATTGTTGCTTATGATTTATCGCCAGTGATTAATCAAGCTCCACATTTATATTATTATTCGTTTTTTGACAATTAAAAATACAAGGCTGAATATTGTTATTTTTTTTTTCAACTGTATTTTAGTAAAAAGATTTTAATTTATTCTATATCACTTTCCCTTGAACGTCACCCTACTCAGCTGTTTATGTTTTTTTAACAAAACAACATTTTTAAAATGATTTTTCGCGGCTCTTTGCTGATTTATGTTCTCGCCTTTGTGTACAACCTGATGTGCTAACGAGGATGATTCTTCATTGTTGGGGAGAAAATCAGAGGCGTCAAGTTTGCTTCTCTGGGATTGCCTTGAGCCCATTCACGATACTCGAACTAGGTTAACTATTGTCTGTGACAAAAAAATAATAAAAAAATGAAAGAAAACAACGATCATTACGTGAAAATAAAATGACGTCACCCTTACTCGATGTTTCCCTCATCAACTTTATATTATATTCCTGTACTATAAAATAATCCTTATCAACATCCGCTCACAAATTTTATAAATATATTTTCAGAACCGTCAACTTTATTAATATCTTTTCATTATTTACATTTATATATAAATACTCATTGGTCTATTCAATTAATTATTTACTCGCTCATTAAAATTTCTTTTATAAC